AAATATAAATAAAAAATTGTTGAATAACTAGGCCCAGTGCATTGATTTCCGGAACTTTATACACATCATATTATTCTATTTCTTACTATCATTTCAACGTTTCCGATTATAATGTTGTTAAAGTGCAAATTTTCAAAATGAATAAGGCTTCTGGATTACAGACGTGGGAGTGACTGTTCGGTGCCCCTTTTCTTCAGCTCTCACAAACTGTATGTGGGTGACAATCATTTAAATGTGTTTAAATAATTGTTTATAAAGGTGATTTTTATTGATCTCATGTCGGAAATGTTGAATAGTTGTAACATTATTTCAACTTTCTATGACCATGAAACAGATTTTCAAATCCACAGTATCTTAATTCAAACTCTATACTGATGAAATTGGGTGTAAAATGTAAAGAGGGTCTTGAAAATCTTATATTTGTTGCGCGATCCTATTGAACTTCAACACAAGGGTGTTCTCGGCATTGTTCACTGTAACACTAGCTGCCTTCGGGGTATTATCGGCATTGTTTACTGTAACACTAACTGAGTGTCATCTACTTGACTGTGACAACACTCTGCTTTCTCTCCCTTCAAGGCCACCACAAATCCACACTTGGCCAACTTGAATTTCTTCAACAATGTTAACTATCGGTAGGATGAAAAGCCCAACCTCAATGATCGTGCCTGTGTGTTGATATAACTCTCAAGGGATTCACCGCTGTCAGTGTTTATCCGTGCTGCAAAAGGATTCAAGACAGCCCAAGACGAACAGCATGTTCATACAGCAAAACCCCGTATTTCATTCGGCACTCTACAATCGATTTGGAAATAAAGTTTGATATTTCAAATGCTGTAGGATCTGTTTTCCCCAAAGTTCGTCTGCAAATAATCATCCCGAACAATTACAAAAATTCAAGACCACTCGAGAGTTGAAATGTTCTTCCGAAAACAATGAAACTTGAAATTAACCTTTCTCAATGTTAGAACTTCACGAATCATTGAAAAAATCACATGACTCTACAACAGGACCTGATGATATTTACTATCAGTTCCTATAACATCCACCGGAGTTATCATTAGAAAAAACTTCTTGATATTTTAAATTATATTTTTAGGTCGGGTAACCATCTTAATTGCCTTTTGGTGAAGTAAGGTCCCATTACTTCCAAAATCTAAAACAAAAAACGAAAGTTTTATTGAAGGGAATACACCCCATTCTGTTTGCTCTGTGATTGGAGATGGACTTTAACGAACGGAATCAAAGTAAGGTCCTGTTCGTTACGCCATTTAAGCTGTCATTTACGTTAAGACGGAAGGTCTCGTAGGTGTGTTAATCGATCAATCAGCTTTACCAGGTACATATTTATCCCTATCGATCCTCTGTTACTACTACACAAAGTTATAAATACTCGTTACGTCCTCTAGGTGGAATGCGTAGTTGTGGCACCTATGACCGCGGAAAGGCCTCGCAGTAGCGATTTGTTACGAGCACCGACATTCTGATTGACATATGCATTAGTCATTTTGATACTATGGTTCAATACAGAATCATATGACGAAAGAATATAATTCTGAATCGCCTTTAAGAAATAAACGACTTACGACTCCGGAACTTCAAATCATCTTATCACGATATAACTCTCTAAAAGCTATGCCACGACGCCATACATAAGGAAGTTTCGAAGCCGTTCATGTAAATATGAGATTTTTGTGGTGTGTGATCATTGGTAATAACACGTTCAGATATATAATTGGGCATTTGTGCCTTCGTAATTAGTATTAAAGCTTGGTGGTCGGGTCCATAAAACTTGCGATAAATGTCTATTGTAGTAAGTGACCTTCACAGTTGACCTTTTGATCCTTAACTCGCATCAAGTTTCAATAAAATCGGTGAATCCGATCACACGTTATCTGGGAAGCAAAATTTGACGATAAAAGTCTAATTTTAGTAACAGTGACCTTTTGATCCCACACATAATTCCATTCCGTATTACCTCATAAGCTAACATTGTATGCAGTTTCAAACAAATCCATCAATCCTTTCTGGAGTTATCATCTGGAAGCCAAAATTTGACGAAAAATATCTATTTTTTAGCATCATTGACCTTTGAAGTTGACCTTTCGACCCCTAATTCAATTCCACTCTCTATTACCTTATAACCGAAAGTCAACTGAAGTTTCATTGAAATCCACCCATTTTTCTCAAATTATCGTCTGGGAACAAACATCCGGACACACGGACGGCGGGACAGATGGGGACAAACACTTTAGTCACCTCTGTTTTCACCAGCAGGGCACCAATAGCTGGCATTAAGGCGAGATAAGGCCAAATATCATCAATAATCAATATACAAAAATATTGATGACTTCGAAACGTCCTTGTCGTGTCCTTTTCGTCATAACTCGTAACAGATGGATATGAGGACAAATTGTACCTTCATGAAATAGAATAGCTAAGATTTGGTGATAGGCCTACAAGTATCAGCAGAGGTTTAACGGTAGTTAGTGTAGTAGGACCTAACATGATTATTTTTAACACGCCAAGAAATATCTTCTTATCTATAGTGTAAAAGTCTTAAACCCATCAGTCGGCAACACGTTGTGAAAAGTCTTCTTTATCTGAGATGCTAAGTCTTAACAAAGAGAACTGTAAGGTTGTATAAAGAAACAAAAGTCAATAACACCATTTTAAACCATTTTAGATAAAAAAAATAGTAGAGCTAAACAATATACTAAACCGATGTCTAGTTCTTCTAGGTCTCGTCAGTAAAACCAAGTCTAAAATATTGGTCACAGTGGCCTACTAACACTAAAGATAAGTCTTACAAAAATAGCTGTGACCTACTTATAACACGACTATTCAGTGTCAAGGACAAGTTAATAAGTTCAGGAGGTAAAGTAGCTTAATGTTTCAGATGGACGTATTATACATGAAATGGGGCAAGTACTTAATGTTGTCATAATAAGAGGGCATAAAAACTAACAATTTCAGTATTTTTTTTACAATAAAAACCGTTGGACACGAAATTATTATTTTTGTAAATTGCGGGAGATATCTGTACATGATAATCAAGCCGTAACCTGTATTACCCTCTGATTGTATAGCGTTTCCTTCCAGTGACAACATACTATTTTGTTTGGATTGAATGCAAAAGCCATGCTATAACGATTTGTAAACGTTTCAACAATTTGTTTTACCTGTACTTCATATTTTGCCAGCTAATGATGGAGGCAGCCATAACGAAAGTGTTTTCGCATCACTGTTGCTCTTCCTCAGCACTATGATTGCTTTGTTGTCTGCCTAATTCTGATTTTGGTCTTTAGATAATTGTTCAAAAAGACATCAATTAACCGTTACCTTTACTCAGTTTAAATCTAATAAATTTAACATCACAAATAAAGCTGGCTTTGTAATGGAATCAATATATAGACAAAATTAATGGTTAAAAGATTTTGGACTTGTACTTGATCAATATGCCTATTTAACAAAGTAAACCAAATGACAGAGTGACAACAACAGACAATTGTTAATTGACTTATTTAAATTTTAATTATTAATTACCTTTGTAAATGCCATACTTTCAATATGATCAAAAATTATCATACACCTGTACTGAATACATAAAATAGACAGATAATGAAAACAGGAAACTATCAGCAAGGTACACATTATATATATATACCAAATATACATGTATTAGCATTTTTTTCATTAATTATTTTTCCAACGATTTTTTTTATCTCAAAACACAAGATTACAAGGTATATGTGCAATCACTTGCACATCTTCCTCACATCAAGTTATGGTAGGTAGCAGCAGTGTATGTTATCAACACCTTGGATACACAACCGGGCCATTAAACCTCTATTCCTGCAAATTTTGTGAACATCAGGGTGGAAGAGGTATAAAATAAAGTAAAAATAATATTCAATAATATCAGTTCTTGTCACAACAGTTTTAAATACAACTTCTCTTAGATAAATACACAGCTTACAAATAAATTTATCAATAATTTTTGCTAGAATGATTTTTGATTTTACACCATAAAAAACAGTACATAAGTATATTCATTTATTCTACGGATGCAAATTTGAAAGCTGATCAAGGTAAGTCACCAGTAACTCTAAATTCAACCCTGATTTCCGACCAAATTGTAACATAAAATATCTATTTTATCACTATAGCCTCTGATGTTGGTCAAAGTCTTTAATTTAAATATCCTTGATAGTTCCTCATTCTAACATGGAACCAACATCACATCATTACATAAGGCCTCTTAGTTACTAAAATATTGATTAAATGCATACTTATCAGATATATGATAATCCAAAAGTTATTGACCCAAGTGATTAAACAACAACTGACGTAGGTATATCTTGACTAAATTAGAGCACCTGACAACTCGGAGACAAAGTACATAGTTTACTTGTTAGGATATAGGTCCTATTCAAGTCATTTGCTTTCTTCCATTGCCCACATTGGTTAACAGTGCATAAGAAACGATCAGTGTTTAAAAGTTTCTAAATGACCATGCACAAAAGATAAATTTTTCTAACCATAATTTCATATTAAACTGTTTGCTACTCGTTTCTCTTTCTTTCACTTTGATTAATTCATAAATACAAATTTAATTTTTCCCCTCAAAACAAATCTTTTTTAATACGAAAACACAATGTTGGGAAAATATATTTAATAGTTTAGTTCTGAATTCATCTTCTTCCTGGCTTGAGGTCAAGGTCATACATTTATAATGTAACAAAATGGTGACACCCTTATAGAATAGTGAATTGACAACAAATGTTTACTGATCAGGGATTTTTTTCAGTTCATAGAATTTATGCATAAACATGGTATCTACATGGCAATAGTGAACAATTTGTATGTTAATAACATGTTAAATACCCTTGTCCCGGCCAATTTCATGTTATCAATTGAAAATAACATTTTCAATAACTTTCTAATTGTAAATAATACATTACATCAATGTACAAATAATTATGATCAAAAAGCTCCAACAATTTTACATGTAGAAATCAAAGTAAAAAAATAAATACACTCACTGAATACATTTATATCAAAATATTGCAAAGCATTCTGAAGCGCTGAACAAATATAATTTCAATTTAAAAGTAGAAAAAAACCCTACCTTGAAGACTGAAATATATAACAATATATACACAGTAATACAGGTAGAGGAACACTGGTAATTTTTGTTGTGGTTTTATTTTCAGTAATTTTATGTCTTTTGTTAATCCACGAACTCATATATGTCCACGAAATGATGACCAGTTGAAACTGAGTCAGGTTTAAGTTATACATCTTTTCCAGGTTATTTACTGTGTCATGTGTGAGCTATATATAGATTTTACCTGAACCAATTGTAATTAACACAGCTCTGTCTACAGGGTATGATGACTCCTATGTATACCACAGAAACCCATATAATATGCACAGTTATTTTTTTGGGAAAAAATAACCATCCAGTTCGGGGTGTGCACATTATGCAGATATAGGACTTTAAAGGTTTTTTTCATGGATAAATCAAAGATTCTGCGTGGTTGCCACCACTGTTTGTCAGAAGTACTCAAAACTGACACAAAAGGATTTGTCTGTTACCTGAGTGTAAATTAAGTACTAATGAGTAAACTTTTCATAAGTTGTACTTGAAAGAATCCTTCTGTTTGCGGACTTCAGCTAGTGCCTGTGCCCGCACACTGTCTGAAGGAGGCTGAAAAGGTCCAGTCCATGTCATCCCTACAGACTTGAGAACAGATTCATAACTGGTCCTCAGAAATGGATTGTATTTCTGCTCGTCCGCAATGGTAGAGGGGCACTATAAAATATTGAAGTTCAAAATTATTTTTCTTCTTTCCAAAAACTTCAATTCTTTAATCATTTTTGTGTGTTTATAAGTGAAATCTAGAGTCCTGAGAGGAAATGTTACCCACAGAAAAATTAGTGAATAGAAATAAAGAATATTTACTTCCAAATTTGTTTTCACAATTTATGGTACTTACTGTTATCAGACGTTTTTCTCTCTGTTGTTTCACCCAGTCAAATTTGTTCTACAAAACATAAACAATATCATAATATACCTATCAATATATACAAATAAACCAAATACTATAATGAAGAAAATCTGTTACAGTAACAAAATCTTCTACAACGTTTAAACGTATGGCTGTACTACTTGTGAATGTCTATTAAAAAGTCCTGCAATATTTGAACAGAAAATGTCAATCAAACTGTACTACAGCAATTAAACATACAATGTTTATCAAACTGTACTACAGCATTTAACCATACAATACTCATCAAACTGTACTACAGCAATTAAACATACAATGTTTATCAAACTGTACTACAGCATTTAAACATACAATGTTTATCAAACTGTACTACAGCAATTAAACATACAATGTTTATCAAACTGTACTACAGCAATTAAACATTTAAACATACATTGTATATAAAACTGTACTACAACATTTAACCATACAATGTATATAAAACTGTACTACAACATTTAAACATACAATGTATATCAAACTGTACTACAGCATTTAACCATACAATGTATATAAAACTGTACTACAGCATTTAAACATACAATGTATATCAAACTGTACTACAGCATTTAAATATACAATGTATATAAAACTGTACTACATCATTTAAACATACAATGTATATCAAACTGTACTACATCATTTAAACATACAATGTATATCAAACTGTACTACAACATTTAAACATACAATGTATATCAAACTGTACTACAGCATTTAACCATACAATGTATATCAAACTGTACTACAGCAATTAACCATACATTGTATATAAAACTGTACTACAATATTTAAACATACAATACTTATCAAACTGTACTTCAACATATAACATACCTGAGCATCAGTATTGTTTGGTTCCAGATGGCAGACAAATTCTAAGTTATCGTTTGCATATTCATGACCTTAAATAATCGAAAAGTAAACCTGAATGACTCAATGCAATGGACAAGGCAATCAAACATTGGAATGTTAAATGACAGGAGATAATCCTTGCAGTTCGTTAAAAACTGAGGAAGGAGTTATCTTGACAAGATAAAAATGTTAAATGAAAAACTTAAAAGGGTAAAAGAAATCATAAAATCACAACACCATAAAAAAAATTACAATTTCATGAAATAGTTGTGAAGCCTAAACAGTTTCTGTGAAATTGCTTAGCAATAGGCCAATTGGGCCTGTATTGCTCATCTTGTTTTGTTTATTCGAAAGAAAAGGAAAATGACTCTAAAGATTTACAAGTTTTTCCCCTTTGGGACCCATTCCCACCAAAATTTGAACAAAATATTGTGATTTCTACAGCATAGAAATTTCAAATAATTTGCTATATATCCCTATTAGGCCTTCGCCTCCCACTGCTTGGGGCCAAGACCAAATGTTTACACTAAACTGCTTCCATTTCATCTAAGGATACTCCAGACAAAATTAGGACAGAATCCTGGAATTCCTATTGGAGAAGACAGGTTTTAAAGTTTATGTCTATTTCCCCTATTGGGAGCTGTTCTTGAAACCCCCAAGGGGCCAAGATCTACCATTTATATAAAATTAATTCCCTTTCCTCATAAAAGGCTTCAGACCAAATTTGATTGAAATCTGCTCATAATGGTTTATAGGAAAAGTTGATAAACAGTGAACAGATGAAGGATGCCACAGTATTTCTAGAGCTATCTTGGCCTTTTGGACAAGATGAGTTAAACAACAAAAACGTTGAAGAATTGCACTTAAAGAGGGAGAGTCATCATATCTGACGGAAAAAATTCTATATACTGATATCGAAATGTATATTCTACCTGGCCAAACCAATGTTTCCCCACTCAGCTGACAGATATCATCTAGAGAACCAAGCATAGTAGAAGGTGGTCCCTCAAACATACGTCCACATCCGCCAAGGAACAAATGGTCCCCAGAGAACAAAGAATCTGGAGCCCCATATGGTCGGCCATCCAGTACATACACAACATGGCCCACAGTGTGGCCAGGTGTAAATCGAACAGAAAACTTGAGGTTCCCAAACTCCAGATTGTGACCTTGGTCCACTGTGCTGAAAAAAGACCATCACATGTTTCGGAGTGTAAAGAAAACACCTATCTACATCACATAGAACATTTGGTGAGGTAAAAAAGGTTTTTATATCACATAAAAAATTTGGTGAAATATGAAAGGTCTTAGAAGCATTATAGTTAATCTAGAATTAAAAGACTGAAACACAGTCTGCTTGATGGTATGCGTATATATCAAATGTTTATTTTCCTCAATCACCTTGATACATTTTAGACACTTTGCTTCACTGACAAGTCCTAGGACAAAACAGCAAAGCAGTTAACTCATTTTCTGGGTATGGTGTGTCTAATAGTACAGTTGTAATAAAAGAAATGGTATTCATTTGTGTGTCAATATATAGGTACCAACTTACTTAGTGACATCAGGTACATTATCATGTTTTCCTCCAAAAATTTTTATTTCAGAAAATGCTCTTTTAAAATCTGCATTTCCCCCTGCATGATCCCTAAAAATGATAAAAACAAGATATGAATAAGTACATACAAATCAGTACAGTTTTCTGCAAATTGAACTGAAATATCTTTAACTAATAGTGAAATTAAAAATTTTGTTATGTAAATATTAAATTTCATTTTACTAGATGATCTTTATATGTAACATTTCAGTGGAATTACGACCTAATATTTTACAAGTGAAACTTAAACTTTTAAAGTACTTAGAATGCAACAATTATGCATACAATTGTATGTTTACAGAAAGTAAAATGTTTAAAAAATAGAGATGGCGTTAGTGTCAATATTGTTATTTCTTAGGAAGTGGACTGTAGTGTTATGAAACACCATCAACATTGAAAAATACATTCTTTTTTTCAAAACATATTTATGTAGGTTAATTCTGGTAAATCAAAACTTGCCTCTATAGTGAGTAGATTATATATCTATCTATATATGGCATTACACAACAAACTGTTTAATCTAAAACAAAGACATCTCACCATCTAGATATAAAAAGGTAATACAATTTACGGACAACAGAATTGTATTTAAAAAGGAGAAAACTCAGAAGTCATTGAGAGGGGAGACTAACAAACAGGCGACATCTAAGGTGAGTGAAGGCATGTCAAAGGGGAGACAATTCAACTTGGAGATGGAGTTTATCAGAAACAAACTATAACCATTATGGACAATATCAATTTTATGAAAGAAGACATATCTTGAAAGTTTCAACTTCAACATATTATAATGAATTTCTTCAAACTAACCTAACGATGACCGTATGAATCTCAGAAATTAATCAGGAAGGGGAGACAACTTGTCTTACCAATGTTTATGCGTTACAAGTACAGCAGCAGGTATTATGTCTTGTTCCTTCAGGTATTTCTAGAAGAGAAAACATAAAATTGTAAAAAATTTCATCATCATTAACTTCATTGCTGTAACAACCTTGTTGCTGAGACAACCTTATCACCCAGTAAACATTATCACTATGGCAACATAACAGGGCAATATTCAACTTATTTTGCAAAGTGCCCTTTAATCTTAAGTCATGTTTTGAAAAAAAAGGATCATTTAAGGAAATTAAGAATTAAACTATATATATTAGGAATTTGGCTATATTATAAAGATAATCCATTTGGGAATGGGGTCAATATTCTGTCCCACAGAGCTCAAAGAAAAAAACATGCCTTATCACTATGAAAACTTTATCACTGTAATAACCTTATAAAAGGCATCACTATGTATAAACATAACATCACTATGTATAAACATTACATCATTATGTATTAACATTACATCATTATGTATTAACATTACATCACCATGTATAAACATAACATCACTATGTATAAACATAACATCATTATGTATAAACATTACATCACTATATGAAAATATTACATCAATATGTGAAAACATTACATCACTATGTATAAACATTACATCACTAAGTATTAACATTACATCACTATGTATAAACATTACATCATTATGTATAAACATTACATCAATATGTATAAACATTACATCACTATATGAAAATATTACATCAATATGTGAAAACATTACATCACTATGTATTAACATTACATCACTATTATTAACATTACATCACTATGATAATAGTACATCACTTGACAATCACTCTATTGCTTTGACATCAATGACTCCATCACAACATGATGTACTTACTATGACAGGTTCAGCGTCTCCAGGGTCCACCACAATAGAAGTTGCAGTCTTGCCACATGTAACTATATATGCATAATTGTCCAGTAGGATAGGCAGAGGTGTAATTGTCAGGTCTACAACGACATTTGTATGTGTACATATATAGTAACCAAATGCTAGAGCTTAAGCTTGAGGGTTCTAAGGAAGAAGAAAATGTAAACAATCCCAAAATTACATCTTAATAATGACCAAGTAATCAGAAAGTACTAGTACAAAAATGGGGAGATTTAACAAAACATTATGAGTAGAGTAAGACCAGGACAGCTACTTTAAAAGGTTTCCTAATGATAACATCTGTGTCATTATATACATTGTATGTTAATGTATACACTAACAATATTGGCCAATTCAAGTCAATATCTGTCACAACTCAAAATACCTGGGTAAGTAAACATATAAAACATGAACATCCTATATAAAAACTTGCCAATACCATTTATACCACTTCCTTTGCACACTACACAAAGCACTTCGAGCATACACTACACATACCACTTCCATCATACACTATATATATATATATGCACCACTTCCAGCATACACTAAATGTACCACTTCCAGCATACACTAAATGTACCACTTCCAGCATACACTATATGTACCACCTCCAGCATACACTATATGTACCACCTCCAGCATACACTATATGTACCACATCCAGCATACACTATATGTACCACCTCCAGCATACACTATATATACCACTTCCAGCATACTCTAGGTGCACATGTAGGCTTAATTAAGTACTTACCATTGAATGACTTTGGTTGTATCACACTATGTGTCTCACCATTGGGATATTTTGCTCTGGCCTTTGCTATGTCTCGTCTGTGGTAAAGCTTGCCAACACTTGTTCTTGAGTAGAAGAAATACCTATGAATGAAATGTAATGAGGTGTTACCTATAGCTTGTATCTCAACAGCATTGATATCACTCTCATTCTAAGCTATTTGTCCAGTCCTAGATGCAGTAACATCAACATTTTCACACCTCAGATTAGACATACATCTAGTCACCGACAGCAGCATTCGTTAAATCTAGCGCACATACCCATTAAGTGTTCATCTTGTTTGAACTACATTATATTTGCTTCCTCTCTCTGTGCTATAAAAACTAGGAGACTTAAATCAATTATTGATGATGTAGCACAAATCAGGCATTTTAAATATGTCCATAAAAACAGCTACAATCCTCCAACAACTCTCCACTTTATTAAAGTTGAGTTTGAAAATAAGGGAGCAGGTGCTATCAACATCAGCAATATTTACACCAGAAGTATTTTCAAGCTAACATTCCACCATCAAAAACTTGTAGAAATTACCTGTAATTTCCTACAGTTACTCTAAACCCATTGCATCAAAACTTTACAACTACAAACAAATACTGCAACAACTGAATTAGAAGATAAGAACACTCCTCCGTCAGCTTGTTCTCATGATTTCAGCATTATCCAAAAGATTAAATTACAAGAGCTTTTCATGAAAGGTCCTAAATATTGTGAAACTCTGCCCATTAATTGGAATATGATTTTCATCATACTTATGAATTCTATAAAAAAAAAAAACTATATATGCCAGAGAATTAGTGAAACTAGAATATGCTGTGTTGGATTCATTTTCAGATTGTGTTGAATCTTTGCAGTCCATTATTCTTTAAAAAAAATGAGGAGCTTGGCATCTAAAATGCAAACAAAACACACATCAGCCTTCCTTGATCCCGATGTTAAATTCACACTTCAAAATATACATAACAGATATGTTATTGTGCCGGCAGATATGGCGTCCAATAACTTCATCCTTGTCTGTGCCGATGTAATTACATTTCCTGCATACAAAAAGAACTAGACTTGCTTGATAACAAGGGAAACCCCACCAATACATTATGCAATTTTTCAACAAAAAAAGAGAAATAAATACTGGCTAATCATACTTCAGTATTACAAACATTTAAACTGCCTATTAATGATGAGGATTAATATTGACCTTCACCATTTGTATTAATTAGATTCCTAAACTTCACAAGAATCAATATAAACATATGTAAAACATTTTTGTGATACCGTATACAATATTCAAGAAATGAAATTAGTGGTATGTGGACTGTAAAGAACTCTAGGGAGCGCTTAACAAATCTTCAATACCCTCTTCTAAGAAGCATTACTTCAATAAATATATTTTATTTTTCTACTTTGCATATCACCATATACCCCTTTGTAAACTGAATGAAAGTCTTCATTCTCTTCTTATTAGAGCTTTCTTTTAAAAACAAAAAGCTGAAGAGTGGCATTAATATATGGTTGTGAACTATACTAAAGCGTATTTTGTGAAAAAAAATATGTCAAAACCAAAGGAGAAATATAAGGAGGATGAAATAATAGAATTGTTTCAGTTTTTACTTGACAACATCTTCGATTTCCAAATCCCAACAATCCCGCAAAAGGAAAAAGGTCGCCAACTGACTGACAAACTGTACCACGTGGTTTCAAAAGAGAAAGGCTGATGAAAATAACGAGGAGGTTTTACTATTAGTATTGACAAAGCTCGTTCGTTTGCTTTATAGTTCTGATGTTGGACATCATGACAACATCAGCAGGCTAGTCTGAAGGGTTCTCACTATCTTTCTGCAATTCTACTTTTGTCTCGTCCGTGTCCAAGACAAAAATTAAAATCGCGGATTGATAGAGTCGTTGCTTCGGCCCTTTGGACTAACAATAAGCCAAAGCTCTCCTGTAAACTCACGAACATAATCATACTTGCCCGATACGGAACAGACAGCCACCTTCTTTAGCCATGTCTGGTTGTCAGCATAAAAGGAATATCAATACATTTCAGCTCAATAAACTGCAACTTAGGCAAAGATAAAGCTTAAAACCGTATTTATAAGTATGACACCCATGTTGATTTTGTTGTGGAGACACCGGATATATGCGGCACACATTAGTACTGAAATTGGAGACGGTCGTATGGATCCGGGTTGGCACGAATTCTTGACTCCATACATGTATGCCACTGTGGAGATGTTTTCAATCATTATGATCATAAAAATCTGAATAAATTAAAAAATATAAACAAGTAGAGAAGTAGTTAGATTTTATAATAAGTCAATCATTCATGTAGCATACAAATGTACAGAATATTTAGAACAGGTTTATTTTTTTTTCAAAATGAGATGCTCAAGAACGATAAGCAAACGATAAGTCACGGAAAAGAAAGGAATCTAAAAGGTTAACTTAAATCCACTTAAGTAATCGAAAATTTCCATCATAAATTGGTTATATAAATTAATTTGCGTTCAGAGATATGATAAAAAAGAAACATTTTAACGAAATTTAATGGCCAGTGAATAAGTAATAGTAATAGTAATAATAAGTAAATAATGGACACAGGCAAAACAAATGCCTCTATATCCATACCTAAAATTATATGATGATCAGGAGATGTTTCCTTTAAAAAATTCTAGGATTCTAAGTTATTACATATGTATAGCCAATTAAATGCTAAATAGCAAAATCATTTCACCATTTTCAAGTTGAAATGACATTAAAAGTTTCCTCTTTAAATATTGTTTCTGGGAACTTGGGGCGCACAATTTTTCTACTCCAAGGCGGTCCACGGACACGGTATATAAAATCCTTCGTTTCATTGTTTTCTTTCTGCTTCGCTTCCTCGTATAATGCCTTCTCTGCTTCTCTTTCACAATGTGTTAAGTCATTTCTTATTCACTTTGAGGAAAGTTGACTATGATTTCTTATTTTTCTAATCTTTTTAAAGATTCCTTTGTTTGGTTGCTGCGACTCAAAACGAACTAGAAAAGGCCGGCTGTTATTAATTATGTCACTGGACTATGGTCTCTTTCCCAATCGTATAATTTTTCCAGGCCTATCTTTGTTTGACACTCCACAGACTTCTAATACATCTCCTACAACTTTAGCATCTTTTTCTATACGTTTCTTTCCGTCGTGGTGGGACTGTTCCGGAACTCCAAATAGAATTATGTTGTTTTCCCTTTCTGCTCGCTCTTTAATTTCAGCAACAATTTCGTATCTGATTTTGATATGATGTCATATTTCGTTGAATCAAAACCCAAACATCTGATGCAGAAAAGGTCCTGGCATCGATCACACTTCATGTACTTCTTTGCTTCCTTCGAGCATATCTTGCAGTTATACTGTTCCTCCATCAATGCGTCGTAGGATCCGAGTTGGATCCGAGTTGAGAAGCCGATTTCTTTCTACTTCTAGCACTTCCGGTTTTGCCTTTAGTCATTTTACCTGTTATATAAACTTTATTTATTATACAACATGTTATGTCAACTTATACTGATCACTCTCGTTGGCCCGGATGTAAGCGCGCGAGGGGTCTTATTGTGGGAGGAAACCGGAGTACCCGGGGAAAACCCACGTGGTCGGGCAGGTGACCCCTTACTCTTTCACGTCCGTTCCGGAAATCGAACCCCCGATCGACTAGGTGAAAGGCGAGTGCGTTACCACAGCGCCACCCGACCACCCCACCTGTTATTTCGCGTATATTTTCGTATCCACGAATTCACACTAAACCTAGGATGGTCTCATAATCACTTCCATACTATATGTATCGATAATTACCTCCTTATCGGCAAATTAATAAGTAATACATGTAAATACAGTATATAAAAGTTGCACCTAAAAATCAAAATATCACAAATTTTATAATAATTAAGACATTCCCTAAATAGAGAAATTAAAGGAAATTTAATTATCAGTATTGAGAACATAGTTTATGTAAGGGTTACACAATGGGTGGGCGTGGTACATGCATAACGGCCGGGTATTATTTTCAATTATTTTTCGAAAGTTAAAAAAATGTAAGTTTAAAAGCCTTGCCTTGCCTTGTCCTGTCTAAGGTGCTGACTCCATGTCTTGTCCTGTCTCATGTTCTGACATCTTGAATTGACTTATCTCATGTGCTACATAATATGTAACTCCGTGCCTTGTATTGACGCATGTCCTGACTCCTCTCCTTGTCGTGTCTCATGTTCTGGCTCTTTGCCTTGTTTTGACTCATGTGCTGACCCTTTTCCTTGTCCTATTTCATGTGCTGACCCCTAGCCTTGTCCTGTCTCAAATTCTGAATCATTGCCTTATCCTGTTTATGTTCTTACATCTCGCCTTGCCCTGTCTCATTTGCTAACTCTTTGTATTGTCCTGACTCATATTCTGACTCCCTGTCTTGTTTTAATGGTTATGAATATGACCTTGTCCTGACATTGGGTCAGACTTCGCCTTCTCCCAACCCACAACCCATTAGCTTGTCCTTCCTTACGGTACGACCCCTTGCGTTGTCCTGGCCTAGGATCTGCCTCCGTCATGTCTTACATCATGTTATGTGCTTGACCCTGCCCTACCCCAAGGTTTACTCTAATGCCACAATTTATGTTCTGACTTATTATCTTTCGATTTTAGTAACATCAACTGCCTGTTATGATAATCGTGAAGCTTTTCCTTACAGACGTACGTTTGGTTTCGCGTGTGAACATTTCTTTATCTTAAGGTCAGATACCTTATCATTAAGGTAATAAATCCAGAAATCTTACATAACAATTTAGTACAAGTCACGAAATGCATGTAAGGTCAAGTATTCTAGTGGGGAACACCACGCTATCAACATAATGGCATCAAATCTGTTGCTTTTCCTCGCTGCATTAGTGGCATGTTGTCATGGTGAGTTTAACGTCGCTTACTTTATTATTGTACATCACTTATGTAATATTTGTCTATATTTGCCCCAGAAGTACCACACACGACCCACGAAAAACAATACCTCGGAGAAGAACTCTTTTTTCCTGTGTGCGTCAATAAATTATAAATTCACTTTATCACGAAAATGAACGCAATAACTACACTAAATACTATACAAAAAAGCTCAATTGAAATATTAGCGGCAACTTTTATCACAAAAAAATGTTTTGTGCGAGACTAACGCCGAATATTACTCGACGAATAACTTTTAAAAGCTAATTTCGATATGGTTATAATTGGAAAATGAAATTGACAAACAAAGCATGATTTCAAATAATCAGACAATCACTTGAGCCTCTTTATCCCTTTTTCATCAAACCATATATGGATATTTTTGGAAAATAACAATTTACGAAATTACCCGAATAATTTTTTGTGCCATTGGTAATATTTCTGATTGTGGTTCCATTACAGAAATGTTTAAAGGAAAAGTAGCAATAAGTTAACATATACATGTATGTATATATTGTTATTCAGTATAAATGTTCACTGTAACTTGCAGGGCTAACAAAATATGAAAAACTGAACCAAGCCTTCACGGAACTCTTCAAAAATGAAACAATGGAATTGTTATGGGAAAGACATTTACACCAGTTCCAGAGCAAACAGGTACATATATAGTCTACTGGGTGTGTTTATTATCTTACTAGACTGTAGAGTCTGGGAGTTTGGCTCTTAATACTAATCAGAGAAACTTAATGTCTCTTTGCAACAGTTGTGAGACATGTTTTCACAGCTTAAAAAACTCTCTCTTGTTGGTATGGATGCACGCGCGCGCGAGGTCATACTGCGAGGGGAGTACCCCGAAGAAAACCCACTTGGTCGGGCAGGTGACACCCCCACCCTCTCTTCCCCGATACATTTTACTTAAAACTGTGTGTTTTTTTAAGCCGTAATAGGAACACCCGTAATTCCTCCCGAGAATATGACATTGTTTCCACTGGTTCATAAATGAAGATAGACACGCCAAACTTCGATATCACGTTAAGGTAAAGTTTTGCACCAATGACGCCCGATGTGACTCTGGGATATTCTTTATTTTAACTAAAATGCTGTCATCTTTTTGGTGAGAAACAAGCGAAAATATCAAAACGTGCAGTTTTCACTAAAAATGCCACTTTAATGTAGATTTTTTCATTAAAAACTTCATGTATCTGTAAATGAGGTCATTATTCAAGTCAATACCTCCGCATTTGCCAGTGTTTGCCAGGGTTACCGTAAAAAATACATAACGATATTTTTTAATGGATGATAAAGTCATCTTGATGAATTTTCTATAATAAAAGACGACATTTTGAAAAAAATAGATTAGAGGTCTTGTGTACCTTTCAAAGAGATCTAAACTGACCCCTTCTGATAAACATATAAAAACGATAACATGTGGTAGAAATTTGAAATTGCGGAAAGGACAAAACTGAAGACAAGTGAAAAATACTTCGTGATGTGTATTATATGTATAAAAAAAATCAAACACATGCAATTAAAAAAATATATGATACTATGTTATGATAACTGGAAAAATTTATTACCGGCTTCCGTAAACATAGTTAATTACAACTGATTAATTATCAAAAAAATATTCTAACTGAGAATATAATGACGGGAATTTTATTAAAACTCCAACATACATATACACTATGTAGTATATTGACTTTCTTCTGTTCAAACCGTTCGGATTGTGCTAAAGAATCCATCGTGTTACAGACTGAAAGACAAATAGGTCCCTTGATTTCACTATTCAAAACGCCATTTCAGTAGTGGTACATGTTTCGGTACCTGATACTAGGGGGCGCTGGCCTTCGTCGATTTTTCACGCTATCCTCTAGAGCCTTTCTGTCAATGACATCCACACGATCATCAGTGCCGCTGTTGTGAAGTACTGTCGTAGACATATCCTTAAATCCAGCTGGCTCCTTAATGAAATACGCGTGCATGACGCCATGTTGAAGAGCCCGCTCAAGATTTTTAACCGCGGTTTTCTTACGCCGACTAGCTTCCAGACTCTTGCTACGAAACTCCTCGGACATCGGAGTGATGTGATCGCGCTCCTTGTGGACTTCTGTATGGCTACTTTGAATGCCCTCCTCGTGTCTTTGGTGGTCGTAATTCGTATTATCCACAGAGAGCGCCGTATATCCGTCCCCAGAAGCCCTCTCATCTTCGCTCTCTTGGTTTGAGCCATTGCTCATTATACTTTGTGCCCTGTTCTGAAAAGTGTGTATACAGCTAAATATACTTTCGTTATCATAGTTTCGTTCATTTGTAACACCCCCTGAAGTCATACACGACTCGCAGTCCCCGTTTTGTACAGATGATGGCTCGCTAAAAGCGTTCTCGGCGCCGATCGATGCAAATGCTGCTCTAGTTTCAAGAGTGCGCCATTTATTATAGATGTCATTCCATCCGGTGCCTTCGCCGTTACCTGGATACAACTCGTCATAGTCCCCGACATCTCGGAAATGTTGAATGGTGGGAATGTTGCGTTTAAGAAAGGCTGCCTCACGGACGTTTTGATGAGTAGCTATCAAAGAACCTAACGATTGAAAGTGTTCTTTTATCAAATTTTGTGATTTAAGACCGATGCAGTCCAATTTTTGAAATCTGATCTTTGAATGGTGGCTAGGTGGATCATGTTTCCTATATTTTGACCCACGACCGAGCATGTCTTGAATTTTATCCTCGACCAACGTACGGTCACTAGGTGAACACATTCTAGCGTGCCTATTACTCGCAACTACCAAGTTCCGCTCTGGACATGCGAATCTGACTTTCCTGGTAGAAGTACTGTCCGGACGAGGAGCACCAGAAGGCAGCAGTGTATTTTTTGGATTAGTTTTATTCTGACACTTCATTATTCCTTTGATATACATATTCCGCTTTACGTCAACCGACATAAGTGTTTCGCTGTCAGCCTCTGTATCTCGACGTATTCTCGATTCGGCTGGTATTTCATGGACCTGTGAGAACATAGCAGGCCTATTATTGGCCTCAGGCAGGAGGTCGTGGTTGTTTAGCATCATTTCCCGTTTCAGCCGTTCTTTTCTACCCTTTGTTGTTTTTCCTGTCTTTGACGAATCACTATGACTTTGAAAATTAACTGAAGCGTGCTTATTAGAGAAATATGTTGTTATGTCACGTCCTACATGGACTATTTTACCAGAGTCCGAACGATCGAATCGACACACATCCACAGGTGTCGGACCGTTAGCCCTGTCCCTACTGGGCATGGAAGATCCCTGTATACTCGTGGACACGTCCTCTCGATTCCCTTTAAACGCTTTTTGCTCCGGTGAGGAGTCTTTAGTCCTGGCGCTGAAATGGCGATGATTTTGTTTCTTTGCTTGAGATTTATGTGTGTTGGAGATTGTCTGATGTCCGCCATATATTCTAACTAATTCAGGATCGGGACTTGCAGGGGGCAATTTCACATATGTCTTCCTTCTCCCTTTTATTGACCGCACTTTGTCGATACCGCCCATGCGTACGCTGTACATTTGTATACTTTCGTTTGCGTTATCAGAGACCGGATTTAGAATATCTTGGCTAAGATTATATGTGGGTGAACCCAGCCCCTCCTTCTTCTTTACCGGCACTCGCATGGTTCTATACATATTTGGATGACATGTACACGGTTTTGGCGACAGATGCCTTTCTGCAGATTTCATATTTTCAACAAACTGGTCTGAGTAGGTGATGCCATTGTTATCCTTTGGTGTAGACGTGATGGTGGTTTCGGATGAGTCAGAATCTCTCTGACGTGACGATTTAGCCGATAACCTACCTAGAGCCGCCCCTACTCTCTCCCGGAGCTCTTTTTGGAATATCGTCACATATCCTGGGCCTTTCCGTCCCTGTTTCAATCTTTCTACTGAATGTGCTTCCTTTCTATGAGGACGAACCGAGATGTTATCTGGAAAAAGAACATACCAATATATACATGGTTTAGTTACTCGATGAAATTTTAAAGAATTTGTGTAAGTTGCACAGAGAATCTATGATGACGTGGAATACTTGCCTTGTTGGCTAACGTCTGTAGCGTGATTCTCTCTCGTGGTATGACGTCTTTTCATATGTCTGTGTTTTCGTGTGGCGTTGAACAATTCTAGGTAAGAACAATACTGCGATTTGGATGAATTTCCAGACTGAGTGGAATCTGGTGTGGAGCTTCCTATGGATTTAGAGACCTCTGGCGATGTGTTAGCGATAATACCTCTAACAGGTCTCAGTTTTTCTGTAGATCCCTCGGCTGGCCTCAAATTGTCTGGGCTATCACACGCCGAGTTATTCCTACAGCCATTTGTCGATGGCGCAAATGCTGTGTCCAACCAAGTAATTGACCTCTTCGGTAATTCGTATGTTAGAATTCTTGTTCCTGAATCGAGAAGGACTCCCTGTTTATACACGGTGTCGACCCATTCCAATTCCTCGACTTGATGACTCATTGGTTTGGAACCTCTGTCGAATACTTTATCTATAAATGTTTCCGATCTTGAATCTACCCGAAATGAAGATTCTTCCTGAGGCAATGACACACGAGACATTGTAACATCCGTACTTGACTCGTCTCCAGTTGAATTCAGAAACGTATATACCGTTGTCCGTTCTATTGGACCATTAAAGTTGTGGCCATCCTCCTCCGAATGATATGCGCAACGTTTCCTCCGGTAACTGTATCCCGGAGATGAATACCCGGTTATCCTTGACGAATTTCACATCCACATGTTCATGTTTCATTGTAAGAAACATGTACTATTCCTAATTAGTTTTTATAGACGTTTATAAGTTGTCATCACAGCATCTGGCGGCGTTGTCAACAGTTACCATGGCTGGTAATGATATAATTGTTTTGTGACGTCACAGTAATGGTGACGTTATATCCAATGTGACGTCATAGAAACCATTGTATTGCTTTGAAAATACAGCGTAACAGCGAAAAGAAATAACGCAATTCTAGCAGAGACACAGAGGAAGAAAAACCCAAATAAATATGAATAATCGTTTCACAACTTCGCGACAATGAAACCAATATATCATTTAAGTTTTAAAAATGGTTTATGCAATGACACGCCACGATGGCAATTAATGTAAAATTTAGTCTTATGAGTGTTAGGTTTAAGTCAACTCTCAGAAATCTAGTTAACTGCAAATTAATTGGGCAAAATTACTCGGACTCGAAGAAAGAATTGCATTTCATAACCTTTTTAATATTTACACTGTGTGAAAACTCAATGCTACTGGCCATTTTTTTTCTAGAGGAATTAAGTTATCTGACTACATTTCAGAGGGATTTTGGCAAACGTGCATACTAATATCCTTTAGACATTTTCCTTATAAGTTATTTTTAAATGATGTCACTTATATATTTAGTTTTTTGTTTGAATCGGCTCATGTTTACCGATTTCAATGTAAACGTGTTACGTAGGTCACCCCGAGAGAAGATTTTAAGAGAACTTGTCTTCAGTTCATTTCATGGATAACATCGCTGTAGAACATTAGATCACAGTTTTAAGTGATATCCACCACCTGTCAACCATTATTGAAAGAAAAGAAATGTATTTTTGTTATTGTACAAGCTTACGTGGTTAAAGTGACAAAGTAATGTTGGACAAATTAACAGATTAAACAAAGAAGAAGAAGAAAAAAAAAAAATACTTCCGTGATTCACGATAATAGTTCACTGTCTTTAAAAACCCGGGCTAGTCATAAAGCAGAGAAAAATATAGTTGTGTACGTCAAAATGTTTTAACAAAACGTCGGACCAATACATATGCATGTACACTGTAACTTTCACCACATTGTTAAGTTTTCGCGTGCAAGCAAATATGAAATTCTTCTCAAAGATACTTTTTCGTTAAAATATGAAAAAAACGTATCATTCATTAGTAAGAAAATTAATTATTCTCCAGATTTCAGTGTTATCATGTAACCTTGGTAAATACTACATGTAGCTTCATATACAAGTACATCGTACCTACAGTACTCGTCATAGGAATTCAGACATTTTCATTTTGCTTCCGCGACAAAGAATTGATTTGAGTGACAGATCTTGGTGATTAATCCCTATCAGGGACATGAAAATTAATGTCACCGCCGATCCTGATGATTTTTTTTCTGAATTGCTGTGACGAGGACTGTAACGTCAGAAAAGTAAGCCATATGTCTCGGGTGCAAATATGGTTATTGACAGGAAGGAGACTTAGATATTGATAGGAAGTTGATGTTGTTATTTACAGGAAATGTACATCATAACTTACTGACGAAAATATTCTTTTAGAGACGAGAGGTGGCTCAATACTATGACGACTTCAACTGCCACAACATCGGACTTCCGGCCTCTCACACCACACCAACTTCCGGTAAACTCATTAAATGAAGTTAATGGTAAAACGTGTATTGTAAAGCCGCAGTAGGCAGTCAACCTCCCATTACTGGGCAATAATATAGCGAACTACTTATTTATCGTTAGTACTTATGTATTTATCGTTGTAAAATACTTACACTTAACACGTCACTGATTTATAATCCACTATACATTAAGTAAACCATAGATTCTAATACCGTCTTGTTTCCGTATCAGTCCACAAGTTGACTCCCTGGGATATTAATGTGGTCGCGGCTATGGGGGACTCTCTAACGGTAAGTTAACACACCTGACATGACAACTACATATTGTACTGTACTTATCTATTAAAACCCGGTAACTCAGTCAATAAATATATTCAAAATAAATAAGTAAATAGATGAGTAAAATCTAGAGTAAGTTGTTAGTTAATGATTGTTGGGGAGCTTGAGTATCAGAAGATGATTTACATAATTGTACTACTAACTGACATTTTAGTTTTGTTTTGTTTTTGTCTGATTTTTTGTTTGTTCTTGTTTCGTTTGTTTGCTTTTAAATATTTTGATACTTCTATAGGGCGTCGATACTGACCAAACACTTGCCACGTTTTACGAGTGCTTAAAATGTTCTCCAGCTGTCTGAGTTCAATACCAGATAGTTGCGTTATCCAAATAGACAAAAGAAAGTTAAAAAAAGGAAAGAAAGAAAAAAATGTATCTCTGTTTCTGTTATCATTAAATCTCAAAAAGCAATCTAGAGGTCGACCTAGAGGTCAATCTAGAGGTCGAGGTAAATATTGTATGCCTGTCTTCTTTCTTATCAAATATAAGGAAATGCGAACTGAATTACCTCGATGGAAAATTGATATTTTTCCCAAAACCACAAATAACGACGTATTTGTCCATAGTATGGAATTATTGAATAAACATACTATTTCAGCTAATTTCCCAAGAGATGACATTGTTTTCTTGAGATGTAGGTGTGAAACTATGTTTTAATGTTTGTGCAGGCTGGTAATGGAATATCTGCCTCCAGTTGGGTAGGAGTACTAACCGAGTACCGAGGAAAGTCATGGAGGTACATATATGCGTTGGAGTTACCTCTCTTGAACAAATACGTCAACGAAAAAATACTATTGATATCTCATTTGAAAAGTCTAAGACGGCTCTTCATGCATGCGTTCAACCAAATCAACGTTATTCACCACGAATTGGATTGAACGTATTCACCTATAATGATTTCGTTTTGACAATGTAAAGTATTTCTTAAAAATGCTAAAGAAATTTTTGTATGCAGATTAGGACAATGGAGAGACCAACCAATCTCGAGCTACCTTTACCTTTAGCAATGGGTGACATGACAACCATGTTTAAAGTAGTAACATAGGCTTCAAGCAATGGCTACAAAACTCTACCTTCTTTATAAAACATAATAATACTTTCAGTGATCTTTTTGTTATAATTTTGATGCTAGGAATTTTATGGCTGACTTAAACATACGTGGTATAGGATTCTAATGAAGGTAACGGCACTGTTGCCTGACGATTCGTAATTGCGAGGTATCCTGCGTAGTTTAGAAAAGAGGATGCGGGATAATTCAAACATTTCCTAATCGACACGGAGTAAGCCTGCTCAGGATTCTCTATACCACCCAATAACTAATACTGTTTTATTTGCAGTGTCGGTGGTGACGGATCACTGGACGAGGGCGTAGTCACATTACCCAGTAAGTAATGATATTTCGGTAGAAAGTCACGATTTAATATCTTAATCGTGTCTTTTCAAACGACCGATTCCTATTATGATAGCATGCGGTCGTTTAAACCTAATCGTGTGTTGTAGTGTATTTTTGTACATGTATGTATATATAATGTACATAATCCGACAACTCTATTTCGAATTCTGAAAATTCAAAAGCCACATTTTAGTATTTTTCCAACCCCGATCAATTGTATTCTTTATTCTAAACGTATCTTTTTCGGAAAAAGGGTGTATAAATACGCTAGGCTCTCAATTTTTTGGTCATCAATAAAAATAAATGAATAGAAGACAAAAAAAAAAAAAAAAAAAACACACACACACACACACCCTCACATATATATATATATATAAGTTCACATAAAAACCTGACCGTCACAATGGACTTTGAATACAAATTACTTCAGTTGGTATCTCACGTAATTAATAACTCCAGAAATAAAAGGCATAATTTTTATCAATCACTGTGACAACATACATATGTAGACATTGGTAAGTCTTTGAAACACGTAGCTATGGATACAGTTGTATTGTACCTGTTAATTAAGTTCTAAAAATAGCATCCTCAACTTAAGAGGAAACATTGAATTGTTATTTTCTTTTCAATTTGCAGACATCTTGAAAAAGTTTAACCCAAACCTGAAGGGCTACTCTCTGAATTTTGGAGACAGAAATGGAGCTGGAGCTAACCTCAATGTGGCTGACCCTGGACATACGTCACAGTAACCAATGCTTATTCGGCCTTTTATACGATATTGTAACACCTGTTGCTTCCTCATAGGCATACAGTAGGTTTTTAAGAATCAGACGGTTGCTGCGAGACCTTGCCACCAGATTATTTTAATCACTCATGTTGGACCGAATGAAATCCCGCAAGGGATCTTACTTTGGGTGAAAACAAGAGTAGCCCATAAAGCCAACCTTTTCAGACTCGTTCCGGGAATCGAACCCCGGATATCTAGGTGAAAGTCGAGTGCGTTAAAGCAGCGCTACCCGACCATCCGGGTCGTTGACGTCTTGGTCATTTTAAAATTAAGAACAGCCTAGACGTACCCAAGGTGTGGCCATCATTAAATACATTATTATCTAATTATCACACCTGGGGTACCTGCGTGTTTCAAACACGTGCGACTTGTTGTTTAACATCTAAATTCATATGATATTGTAAACGTTGCAAGATTTTACGCTCTTATTAACAATGGATGTTCCAAGAGGGTTTATCAAAACATTATTGAGCGACGATTTCATTATTCATGTAGCAAACGCACACCCGAAATCTTCCGTTACAATTTTCAAGCACAATTTTACATGCTAATGTATCTAAGCATATATATACATATAAGCAGAAGGCAGGGTACTTCAGATAGAAACAATGAGAAGTGTCCAACGACTTAAATTTCACTTCATTTAACTGTGGAAATGCCTCGATTTTTCCAAACACTTTACGAAATGGCCATCTTAGTCAGTTTTATGTCTGTTTTAATCATCATTTCTTTCACCTACAGTAAGTTTTATTTTTCCAAACGTTTTACTTAATTTACTTTTCAGTCAGTTGTATTCACCATTTGAATAGGTATATTGGTATATTTCCGCAATGTTATAAAGACAAACTTCGATATTTTCCGGTAGATACGCTAATTGTGGGGAAATTAATCGCTTCAGAGACACATTCGTTCCGAAGGATGAAAGCACCATCTCATCTCGCCGTAATATTCATATAGAATTCACTCATTAAAAACGACTAATAACCATTTGAGTATTGTCTTTATTAGTAATGTATTACAATAAGTATAGGCAACATTCAACGTTGTTCACTCTTAATACATGATCAATCGTTTTCTCAAGACGTTATCAGGTTAAATTATTTACAAGATTTTTATGATCTACGTGGTAATATAATCAGACTGATGCATTTCCGTAATGTTCTTTATAGTTGAACTAGGCTTGTATATTTACCACACACGAATGAGTTCAGACGATGTTCATCTCAATCTTATGTCCTCGTTTGTTCTCATTTGTCTTTGTCCCTATTTGTCTTCAGCTGCCCTCGCTTGTTATCATTAATCATCATTTGTCCGCATTTATCCTCGTTTTTTCCCCAAGCACCCTAATTTGTCCTCGTTATACCATCATTCGTCCTCGATTTTTCTCATTTGAATATCAATTCATAAACCTTTGTTCACCACGAGAGATATGTCGACGTCATTTTGCATATTTTGAAGAAGATGCCTTCTTATGGTAGGGCAATAGTTATTTTCCAATACATCTTCCCATGCCATGCCAAAATGCCTTTCCATAGCAGGCTGATATGCCAAGCCAGCTGCTTCGTTTTACTGCATATGCTCTTGATGATGATGCGTGGACGCTTTTGCTATTATTACTATTCAAACTAACAAGCTTATATTGACTTGTGCCGATTTTCTATGATCACAGCGACATGCCTGATCAAGCACGGATGTTGATCGAAAGAATTAAATCTATGCCTGGTGTTAGTTTCCTTAACGACTGGAAAATGGTGACATTGTTTATTGGTGGAAACGATCTATGTGATTACTGTAACGACCACGTAAGTCTTCTACATATGAAGAATAGATTGATTTCGAGACTGTAGTGTCATGGTAGGTGATGGTTACTAGGGTTACAATAGGTGTACGAGAACATGGTACCCAACATTGACCAATATTTTAAAAAGAAACATGTCAACATAATCATAATCTTAAATTCAATAAAAACTTACCTTTTAAACCTTGGTCATGTAAGTAATGTCACCTTTTCAAATGAGAATAAGTAATACAACACCGAAACCAACAGAAAAACCAACTAGCATCCATCAAACACGTCCATTCATATTGCAGAAAGAAACAGGATTATTGACATTTCTGTTTTTTTTTCGAGATTGATCTACGATTAAATTGAAAAAAAGGTCGAATTTGTGATTTTCCATATGTACAAAAGATGATGATAATAATACTCTATCCCATGAAGACAGATAGGCTACACTTTGCTTAAAACGTGGTTGTGGACATTTCTAACATTTTCTTCTGGTCGGAAATGTCAGTAGAAAAGAAGTTCTTACAAAACCAATAGAAGAATTGAATGTAAAGTTTGGATGAATGCACGGTCTTCATCAGATATCTTGTCAGCCATTGTCAGGTCCTTTGTCTGAGGAAGCTGGCCGTGTAGTCCTCGAAACGTCACACTCACATATTTTACTGGTTGTGTTATAAGAGCTTCTTTCCTCTTGGTAGTGTACATGCGCGGGTTTATGTGCCCCCTCGTCGCTATATAGTACGGAGCATCTTGTGAGGTTTCATGGCTGTTGCAAAGCTATGGCCGTGGTATATTTTCTGAACGTTTCCGATAATCTTTTTATATAGAAATGTCTTTTTATTTCTATTCTTTTACTTAATAATTACTTCACTTTGTCTTTTCTTTCCTCAAGTTGTTTGTTCGCTCTCCGAATAGCCAACTAGGATATCCTGAAGTTGATACTTCCTTTTTTAGTGAACAGAATATTATACTTCAGTCAAAAATTCCTGTGAATTTATTACCTTTTCGCACACTGTATACCTCCGTGCAAATACGCTTTACACTGGTCATTCGTCTTATGAATTTGACAGTCTAGTTATCAAACGTTATACGTCATTCTAACAAGTTGTGATGTAAGAACTATTTGATATTGTTTTCAACCCGAAGAAACTATCCTGGGGAAAAAGATAACTTTATAATTAAGACTTTGCATGTCATTTTTTACTAGTCGAGGTTAATGTTACCTTTACCCTGTCTCAGTGAATACATTTATTACCATTTTACAGGCCCGATACAGTGCCGATAACTACATAAATAACATCAAAACTGCGCTGGATATTTTACACGCTGAGCTGCCCCGCACATTCGTCAATCTAGTGGAGATATTTGACGTCACTCCGGTTGCTGCTCTCAGTCACGGTTTCTTCTGCTCCTTTGTAACGAGGTAACTTAACCTGAATTGTGATTGAAATAAGAAACTTGATAAGTATTATCAAACAACGCCCATTGTCAAAGACGTCAATTGTCAACGTCACATGAAGGCTACCTATATAAACATTTACTTACTTGTTTTCCGTCTGGATGACTCTTTTGGTAGCAAGGCATTGTCTAACTGACAAACTTAGATGTTCTAGACGTGTTATTTATGCAAATGTTGAAATGTATTGCATGTATGCAGCTATGCATGTCAGTGTGGCAAGGATCCAGCAGCCGTAGCAGAAGTCCGTCAGGCGGCACTTGACTATCAGTTCGAAACCGAGGTTTTGGTCGCAAGTGAGCGATACAATACTCGAGACGACTTTACTGTGGTGCTCCAGCCATTCTTTAGGACCACTGTACCACCAAATGAGGTAAGAAACAGTAGGCACGAGAGAATAATTCAATGCATTTTATTGTCTCATCAAAGATATTTGTGTTTACATCACCAAGATGAATCAACACGGAAAAGGAGGCTTCCTCGTGTCCCTTGTACAATGCTTCCTGGTGTCTCTTATACGATGCCTCATAATAGATCTTTTATACAATGCCTTATAATGGGTCTTTTATACTCCTAATGTATCTCTTATACGATGCCTCATAATGGCTCTTTTATGCAATGCCTCATAATTTATCTCTTGTGAAATGCATCTTAATGCGTCTCTTATACGATGCCTCATAATGGGTCTTTTATACACTGCCTCATAATGGGTCTTTCATACTCCTAATATGTCTCTTATACGATGCCTCATAATGGGTCTTTTATACACTGCCTCATAATGGGTCTTTCATACTCCTAATATGTCTCTTATACACTGCCTCATAATGGGTCTTTCATACTCCTAATATGTCTCTTATACAATGCCTCATAATGGGTCTTTTATACTCCTAATATGTCTCTTATACGATGCCTCATAATGGGTCTTTTATACAATGCCTCATAATGGGTCTTTCATACTCCTAATATGTCTCTTATACGATGCCTCATAATGGGTCTTTTATACAATGCATCTTAATGCGTCTCTTATACGATGCCTCATAATGGGTCTTTTATACAATGCCTCATAATGGGTCTTTCATACTCCTAATATGTCTCTTATACAATGCCTCATAATGGGTCTTTTATACTCCTTATGTATCTCTTGTGCAATGCCTCCTAATGTGTCTCTTGTGCAATGCCTCCAATTGTGTCTCTTGTGTAGTATTTTTCCAGAAGTACGTGCAATCTTTGCAACCTTTGTTGAATGATTGGTGGAATTCAGGAGCAGTTTTCAAATGATAGAGTTCAAAGTTGTAATATATTCATGCATCATTTCCTGATAGTACTTATTCCTGGGAATGCAAACAAAACATTTATACCTTTTCATCGTAACCCTTTGAGATAACCATAAAATTTTAAAACAATAATAGCCCTACTTTTTATGCAAAACTACATTCTTGCATTCATGATGGGTACACTGTCCCGTCACACAATTTATTATAACAGTAACACACTTCATGCATCAAATATATCGGGGATGTGAATCGATTTAAACATATTTCTGAGTGCATTGCTATAACTAACCACATGAAACCAAAAGCTGACCCGTTATAAAACGTGTTTGTTTATATGACGTAGGGGATCCATGATTTTCATGTCGGTTTTCAAGTGTATGTGATTCACCTGTTTCAGCAAGGAACCAGTTCACCGGACCTTTCCTACTTCTCGCCCGACTGTTTCCATTTTAGTGAGAAGGGACAATACGCCGCGGCACATTCCCTTTGGAACAACCTGGTGAGAACTGTCTTACTTTTCAAGAAATATTTTAGCATTGACTCAATTACTTAACTCAAGTCTTTAATATAAGCCATTGGATGCATGTTCATTGCATTGGAATCGATAATTATACGTGTAACGAATGTTATTCGAAGACCATTCTTGAATACAGAAAGGTTTAGAACTTTGTTGTAGTGTTTCATATTACTTACAGCGCAGGACATGTGTTGTGCGAACTTTTCCACATATTGCCGCCAACCGTCCTCCATATATCCCCGTTATATCTGTCCATATTTCCAGTTGAAGCTCTTTGTCTCCATAAGCAGCTATCCTTATAGTTATCTGACGGTAAACATCTGGCCCGTTGATATTTCTTAGATTTACTCACCTTCATCTTTAAAACGATGAAGGTTGGTTATCATGACCCTGATGCCGTTATAGGTACAGATGGCTATTCTGGAATGTTTCGTTGCTATTATTAAGAACATGATAGAACTGACATTAGTTGGAATAACAATTCTGTATTTATTTGTGTTTCCCTGTGATCCTGTGCTGCGCAGTTTTCGATAATGGACGCGGTCAATATTTCCACGGCAACTATTATATTTGCCAACAACGTCATCACAACTGTTCTTGATAAAACTATCATTTGATTGTTTCAGAGGACAATTAAATCATATAATAAAGTGCTCATATATGTACCTTTCGTTCTTCTTTCTAATCGTTCGCTTTCTTAAGGCATATATTCGAAGCCTGTAATGGTTTTTGCCTGTCATTTAATTATAAATGCTCAGTACATGTTGTTCTATTGTATTTTCCTTTGAAACCTTCTCGGTGGTCGATATTTCATTGAGTTGAATTAGGTAAACCCTTTGTAATAACAATGGCATTCTACATTATCTTTTTTAGTTGGAACCTATTTCCAGGAAGGATGAAGCATGGTACATTAATGAACCGTACTTATGCCCAAATACACACGTGAGTTATCAGTTTCACACAAAATTCCACTAATTCCTTGTGTCATGAAAATCGGTAATACTTGTATTAAAAATACAAAAGAGATGATCATACATCGTCTGTATCAAACAGCAATGATGCTTCAAGAATATCCAGTACATTGGTAATAATCAAGTGAATGTACGAAGTGTCCTTGATCCCGTATTTGATCTGTCCCACAACATTTACCGGAATTGCAATATTTTGTATTTCCTGAATGATGCATTGACATTTTACCGTAATAGAAATAATTTATTTCAAAAGTTCTTTTTCATTTTGATATATCATCCATAAATTAAGTGTATATTCAGCGAATCAATACTCGTGATAAAAACATACAGCTGATATTGGACATTGCAGTGTCATTTGTATGATGGGTAAAATAATGGACATGGAACTAGAAGTTACATATTTATCTTTATTTAATTCCAACAGTCACATCTAATTTATGTAGACGACTCTGTCATATCGAACAATAAACTTGTCCGTAAATGTATATTCATCTATCCAATAAATATAAATAGCAAATTTCGTTTTAAATGAGTTTTTCTTTGTGTTCGAAACTTTTGAACACTTGAGAAAGATTAAACATCACTATACATATTTAAATTTCTTTGCAGGCTACGGGGACAGGGCCATACTTTGCAACGTCCAAGAACTCTGCCTAATCTAGCTACACTTCGTGTCGTATGGTTTATCAGTAAATATAACGGCCAAAGTTGCCGTGTCTGTTGTTTATGTGTATATTTAACTGTCATCCAAAAATGACCTGGTTTCGACTAATAACTCTGCTTGGAGCCAATCTTTGTGGCTGCCACATGTGTTGGTCTTCTCTTATCGGTTCGATTCATAAAACACATTGTACAAGTCTCAGTTCAAGTTGCATCATTTAATAGATTTGCTCATGTAGAACTACACAACATTCTTGGATACGTTCCTTGAGTGTTCATGTTACCCACATCAGTATGCTGCAATCCACATGGTCAAACAATTGAATTTGGCAATCTGCGTAATCACTTAGATCATTTCTTGATGCGATTATTAAGAACAAGTGGCCGATCTGGCCTGTATCACTCACTCGCTTTGAGAAAAGTCATTACAAATGACAACAACAAAAAATCTAAGACAAAATCTAAATTTTACAGACAACAATATACCAAACATGCAACCATTATGTGAATAAATGTGGAAGAAGATGATTTATTTATAAAATATATTGGAAAAAAGAGAGATTCATGAGTAAAATCCCTTTATAAATTAAAGTCAATAGATTTTTGTGGTTAAAGTAATGGCTAAATATATTAACATTAATATCAAGACAACAAAGTGCGCTTTGTTTTTTCTATGCTGAAAGTTTTGTGTTGCAAGCGATTTTAACACGTAAATTTGTAACACTCTAAAATACAACATATATATTCTAGCTTCTATAGGTAGACAATTTTATATGTTGGGATGCCAGTTAAAATCTTGCTGAAAGATTCATCGTGCAATTTTGATTTTGGGTCTGGCAACATTTATTGGCCAATGGGCCTAATTTTAACAACTGAAAATAAACACCCCTAGGGCATCAGAAACAGCAAGCAGGAAAACTGAAATCACTAATCTGATGAATTCAAAATATTGGTGATATTGTTTCTAAGCTTTCAAACCATCTGCAAAGTGGCTTCATTGACTTCATTGATTAACACAGCCTGCAACTTAGCCAGACTGACACAGTGGTGTTATCTACAATGGAATGGCTGATACTATGGAGAATGACTCAGAAAAAGACTCCACAGTCATAATTATGAATAAAGTGAACTTTGAGAAGTTAGGGTTAGGCTGTGTGTGTGTGTGTGTGTGTGTGTGTGTGTGTGTGTGTGTGTGTGTGTGTGTGTGTGTGTAAAGGGTGGGGGAGTTTTTTTTTAGCAATTTCTGACTTAAAATCTGTTTTCCAAACAGGCATTTGAAATCAGTAGTTGGTCAGAAATCTTAACAGGTGTTAAAACGTGTTTAATGGGAATTGTTACATGTGGTTACTATAATACATTATGTATTTCTATGTCAGTATAATATAAACCTTCTGCAGCGAATAGATTGTGATACCAGTGTTACGAACATCGACTACGATATAACTGTAATATCACAAGTCAAATGTTCACTGTGACGTCAACTTAATAAAGAGCAGTCCAAATGAACATGCCAATGGTGAAGCCCATCTTCTCTAATCATATTCTACCCACAACATTTTCTTTTGGCCGAAATGAAGCACATCAGAAAGAAACATGGTATTAGTGGACATCTGAAGCACTTCATTTCATTTTTCTCAAATACATGTTCACAATGTACGGATACTTGCAGAAATAGGTATTAAGTACTTATATGTTTCATAATTTCCTATACTGAGGTCTGTGCCTATCCAAAACATCTTCAGATCAAATGTCATTTTTCAACGACAATTTTCATAAATCATCATAATTTACATTACTTTTTGTTGTGCTCACACGTATATAGAACTTTGATGGATGGTTTGATATATCTTAGTTATTCATCTTTGTGTAATAAACAGTGCTTCTACATGTACCACAATATCTATTTATCTCCTATGTTTAATGTTTAATTCATAACAGTTTTATAACATACACTGTTCCTCTTTTCAGGAGGTTTCAGCTATGTCCTTCCTGATTCAGGATATATTTACCTGCCTACCCATACAGGTTGAGGTAAACCTAACAAGGCCTAATATAAAGTCTTAACAGTTTTCATACTTCTGGCGGAGAAACTTTGTACTCTTCATCTGTCTCAACACCAATATCTTCCTGTAAATGGGGAAAAAGATGGTATGAAATACAATGAAAAAAATGTTAAGGCCAAGTATTTGTATTACACTGGACTCGGAAAGTCCAAGAACAGTATGTGTAGTATGTACAATACGGAAAGTTGAAACAGACTGCATACTTCTAACTTGAATATTTAAACAAGCATATCAAATTCATACATTGTCTACATCTCACCTAATTTTGACAGGTTTACATTCTCATGGCCATACCGTGACATGCTCAAATAAGAAAAAGTAATAGAAATGTTAAAAATTTTCAAAATTAATTATGGAATAAATGTATTGAACCAACAAAACATTGTTCAAACATAAAATAGATCATAATTTAAATACAAGCAAATATGAAAACTATACAATACAAACATCCAATGAACCATGATTAAAATATAAGCAAATGTGATAACTATGCAATACAAACATCAATGGACCATGATTAAAATATAAGCAAATGTGATAACTATGCAATACAAACATAAAAAAGGCCATCATCTAAATACAAGTAAGTGTGATAAATGTACAAGAGATCTGTTTAAAAAAGTCTTTTTCCTTGATGATCTTTTAATGTATCCCTTTCACTCTTGATTATGAAGGACTTTGACCAGATTAAGATGCCTAGAGGTTGGTGACTATGTCAAAATGTTTTCATTAAAATTATAAAATCTTTGAATTTTCAAATGAACTGTTAAAAGCTGATCTCCTTTTCCATGTTATTCATTGTAGCATACTGTCATGGTGTTCTCTCCGTTCCCATCAGGTAGATATGATGTAATTATGCAGTGGGATCTTAGATCAGAGTTCAACCGATTAAAATCTAAAGATAAGTTTGACAGTAAATAGACTAAAATTGTTCTTTATCTAATAAAACTTAAACAGACTACATATAACATGACATACCCCAGTACACATACCCCAGTAGTATAACTACTGGTTTTTTACACAAAATTTTCAAAACTTTTATTATATGAATAGTGTAAAAAGTGACAATGAAACATTACCATATATATCTATGTGTAAAACTATCACTAGGATGGCTGAAATTTATCGCAACTCCCAAAGTCATACTGACCAACTCCCCTTCCTCATCCAAAAATAAAAATAGCCACACAATGTACATCGACCATCCATTATGGAATCATCACCACCCTTGAGAGAACAACTATATACTGATTTGACAGTGAATCACCTATTATCAGGCAATATCTATTTGACTACTTAATAGAAACTTCTTTGTTGGTGTTATTGTCCCATGAACAGCCAGGGTCATACTGAAGCTTGTGGCTACCTCACTGAACACGTGCAAGGCCTGCATCATACCATCCACAGAATTTAGGTAAAAAATCGTGCTCAAGGAAACAACCAAGACAACATCATCTGTTTCTCAGCTTTCAGAGAAACACAATCAGACACAGGTAAGAGACGTTGAACCACACACCTTGAATCTTCACATCTACATATCATCCATCATATTTCTGTATTGTTTGAATTGAAATTGGTTCATGACAACATATTACAGACCATTAAAACCTCTAGATAGGGTGGTTACAGTATTACAGTATACCCCTCCAGTTCTTTCACTGAGGAGGTATTATAACTTCTACTGTTTCAGTAAATGAACAGATACAACATCTAGGAGGTTAACTCACATAAAGCTGTTTCTTTGTTTTCGGATAGCCCTCCAAAATAGCATTGAGAATGTCGTTTGCCTGCCAAATAAACAAGGTTCATTTATCACATAATCTGCCGGCCTGCTATACTGTGAATTTGTCTGTATAATATTTCTGTATACGTCACGAGTATAATATACCCTGAAGTGCTTTTCTCTGACTGCATCAGTCAGAAATTTATGGTGATATAATTATACAGACAATGACCTTACACCATAAATTAAAACATTTGTCTTTTTTAAGTTATGCAATAAAAAGTATCTTAAATTTGTTTTCATTTCACTGAAAGTTTCACGAAACTTGTTTTGAAAATTGAATTCTCTGATGCAATTTATGACAAACGTTATAAAGAAAGACTTGCAAAATAAAATCAAAAAGGGAAGATATGAATTTTCCTTAAGAAAATCAAGTTTGATGAATATCACAGGTCAAATTAGTCATCAATTATAACAATCATTCAAATTTTTTTTATGTACATTTATTACTAAGCTGCAGTTTATTGTCAAAGACCAGTATTAAAAGTAACTGTTACCATTATGTATTCAAGATTGATTTATCTTGGTTAAGGACTGATATTTTTGTAACAAATTCTCCTTCACTGCTAGTTCTATTCCTTGTACATAATTTTGTTCAACCTGAAAAAAAGTATCTTAGCTAGTTTAATTTCCAATATCTTCAATTCAGTGACATAACCTCCCTTTCTGGTCATACATCAGAGAGACCAGAATTACACTTAAAATTTTAACATATAAAGAAGTTTATATAGAAAGAATATTAAGCTCATTGTAAGGCTAAACAGAAAGCATTAACATGGCATAATTGATAACAAAATCTAATTAACCGTTAACTATAGTTGAAATTTAGAATCTGAGATATGGGTTGGGATGGCCATACATCAATATATGTACATTTCAGATTTGGTTTTTCTCAAATACTTGCAGAGTTATGAAGTTCAACTCTGAGCTAAACAGATAATTTTAACATGCCATAATTTATTAACAAAGACCAATAAACAGTAAATTGTAGGTGAAAATCAGAATAAGAAGTGTGTACTGGGATAGTGATATAAATATATTTCAGGTTTCGTTATGATGACCTATGTATTAAGAGAGAAATGAAGATTAATGTGCAGATGAATGCAAAACTTATACATGGTACAATTAATTAACAGTTAACTATGAGTTAAGATCGTAATAAAACTAAGCATGTACTAAAATGTTCTTACGTATGTATTTGCTTACAACTTTCAAAGTTTAATATAAATGCTGATGCTGCCAGATAGGTAACGGCTAGGTATTCCTTCGTGATTGCATCACATGCGAGACAACAATGCAAAATAACATCATTTCAATTATGACATCTCTTGATGCTAGTTGTTGTCCAAAGGTGCCAAACAGATAAGACACACGACAGAGATCAGACAAGACACACGACAGAGATCAGACAAGACACTCGACAGAGATCAGACAAGACACACAACAGAGATCAGACAAGACACTCGACAGATTGGAAATATAGAAAATCCAGCAATAGGTAGCATACATCTTATGCACAAGAAATATATTTGTAGATAAGCAATGGCTACAAGTCTAACAAACTCAATTTCATCAATAAAAAAAGACAGAAATCCATTATCAATGCCTTATTAATCATTTTCACAGATCTACTGTTATTACAACATCTTACCATTCTTTTCCTTTTTCTCCATTCCTTCACAAATACTTTTCGAGAATTGTAAATCTGTAAAGAGATCAGTATACAACATTGTTCAGAAGTACACAATTCTTACCCTAGTGTTGCTCTGAGATCAGTTTATCAAAGACTTTTAAACTATAAAAAGGTGTCTGAGGGCTACAACAGCGAACTTTATTTTCCATACTTCCCCATGCCTCCAGTTTTTTTGGGAGGTGCCAACCTTAGAAATTCATCAATAATTTGCTTAGAACAGATTGTGACTTATTTTGGAGTCTTTGAGTGATGTTTTACTGGAACTGTCCTAAGATATTTTGGACAATGTAGTGTCATCTACGTTAAGGTCAACTATTCTAGAATGAAAAAAATAGAGTAATAGTTTCAGAGATAACAATTAGTAATTTACACCAGTTTGAGAGTGATAGTTATGATCTTATTATTAAATAACGGTAATAAAATTTCTCTGTTTCTTTACCCGATCTTTTTCTTCAGGGGTGATGGTATGTCCGCCTTCCTTTAACTTGATCAACTTCTGTTTACAAGCTGTGCACTAAAAAAAAAAAGGTTGTCCATGACAAATAAACAATCAACATCATTTCATCCAATTTGGTAAAATATAAATGCCATAGAGATACATGCCATTGAAATCTATCTGTTTTACTTAAGTTTCATATTCCTCCTTATTGTTCATTCCTTCTTGGTACAATGCATGCCCTCAATTTGGGGAAAGACCAGAATAATGTTCTTTGTTTTTCAGTCTTTAATCATCACACATGTTCTGTTAGACATGATGACATAAATTCTGAGTCTGTGTTCTTATACATTGTTTGTAGTTTTACAAACATGTCTCCTTTTAAAAAACATCAACACTTTTTCGTTTTGTCTGTACCCAAATACGTTATTCCCACAGAAAACTAGAAATATCACTATACTATAAAATCATTATTTTTCGTGTGTGTTTTATTTTCCTTGAGTTTGTGGGAATCAATTTTAGCCTACAAAATGATATGTCAACCAAGTGATAATCAAAAAATTGACATGGATATCATGAATAATATTTATCCACTGAATCAAATGCCAATAAAAAAAAAGCATTTTGTTGAAAAACTAAAAATTGTGAGCCTCTTTAAAATTTCAGCGTAAACATTTCCTTTTTTGTTTCTTGTTTTCATTTTCCTCTCTTAAGTATACATGTATATTTGAATTGAACGTGTTTTGATAATTACCTCTTTATCAAGTTCTGCAAGCTGCTTTTTAGCTTCTTCAGTTGATATGGCGTTATTTAGGCTTTTCAATTCTGTATGATGAATGTATGATATTCAGTATACTGTAAACATATTTTCAGTTCAATCAAATTTTGCCACAAATGTTTTTTCCGCATAGTGAAAAAAGGCCATGACTACTATATAAACAACATGCAGAAACTAGGGTTAGATCAATCATTTTTCTGTGCAATGTTTTCCATCAAAAAGAGCTAAAATAACATTATCACTCAATATGTACACTTACAGTATCTGATGTGAACTACAAGTTCAGAAATATCAATCTAAATATCAAAGATGATATGACAAAAAACAGAATTCATGAAAGAAATCAAAATGACAGAATTCAAAAAAAGAAAAGAAATTATGAAAAATGCTGGAATGATTTGTTTTCTAGGCAGTGAACTATTAAATTCAAGACATTTTACTTTCAGTGGTTAACAAAGTCAGATAGTACAGACAGTACAAGTAGCTTAAACTGACCGCTGTCCAGTCTGCGCACTTCATCACCCCGCACCTTGGTCAAGTCAGACAACTGGGATATCTGTGCATCCATCTCTTTGATTTCCCCATCATCAACATCAGGGAACTGTGCCTATATAAACAACAGATAGAAATCCAGTTATTGCTTACAATCAATATACATACACTAAGTGTACATGTATAAACAAGAGGCCCAAGGGCCTTAAGAGTCACCTGAGTCACAATGCTTCTTGTAACACGTCATAGAAATGATTTTGTTAAAAAAAGTAACATAACTATATTGTACACATAATGCAAATGTAAATTGTGTATACAATAACTGCTGTCCTAACCAAGTTTGAATTAAAAGTAATTGCACTCAAGATTTGAATTTCTCTGTTCAAAATCTTCCATCCAGGAATAGTAAAACGTCTTTGTAATTTCAGTCAATTTGACCCTTTTTTGGCCCCTCTCAGGTCAGTCAAGGTCAAAATGTGCATCTCATCAAACTGTCAGCTTATACTAATAAAAAAAATTCCAACCAAGTTTGAACCAATTCTGAAAGATAAATAAACAAATTATGCTCAAAAATGTAATGTTCCTATATAAAAAAGATAGTAAATTTTACCCCCTCTCCAAGGGGAAATGTGAGACCCTGGGGTCATGACATTTTTAAGTTTTACAATTTTGGTAAAGTATCTGGAGGCCTTAACCATCCATGAAGAGTGCTTGACTCTATCATACCTGGGATTTGAGAAGAAGATTTTTGAAATTTCAGACAATTTGCCACATTTTTGGCCCGCCCAACAGCCCCTTGGAGTCGGTCAAGGTCAATATGTGCATCTCATTAAATTGCCATTTTAAGCAAATAATTCTTACTAGGTTTGAACTATTTCCAATTAAAAATAAACAAATTATGTTCAAAAATGCAATTATCCTTTTTAAATTATAGTAAACTTTTCCCTCTTCCTTGGAATTTAGATCCTCACATTTCAATACATTGTTAATTCTAAATTTGCTTGTCTGCATCTAATATTTTTATATTTCATCTCTTGTATGGATTCCTTAGGTTGCTGGTTTAGAAAAACATGGTAGAGTATGAACTAAAACACTGTTAACACTAGCTGTTGTTATATCACAGTGTTGTGTTTGTACGGTACCTGATCCGCTACATAGACTTTCTGTTTGCCATAAACTTTTTCTTTGATTTTCCCAGCCTCTGTCAACCCCTCACATGCCTTCACTACAGCCTGGATAGAAACAGTAGCAAATTTCATTCACATTCATATTTATGAAAATAGTTCAAAAGACAAAAATTCAATAGGAAACCCCAATACTGATTTCCAACGAAATGATATACTGGTCATAATCTACATGTACTTAGTACTTACGCATTTAAACATGTTTATGTTGCAAGTGTCATAGATATCAGATATGAATATCCTTAATTTGACAGAAATGGGTTAAAAAATTTTGTCCTAACAAAGGAAAATGTGTATTCATTACATGTATTAAATGTTAAAATGTAAGAGGGGAAATAACTCTATCATTCACATTAAGAAAATTAAAATACTCACTGTTTTGCCAAATTCTTTGTGAAGGTTGTTGACTATGTCTATAGCACTGTATGGTCTGTTCTGTCTATTAAGATAATCTAATACTGCCTTCACAGCTACAAAAAGTTAAAAGTTTATCTAAATAGTTGTATACAATATGTATATAAATCCTTTGTAAATACCAGCTACATAGCTACAATATAATATAAAGAATAAAAACATATTCTCTTTGATTCATCCACCAGACCTGGGACTAAAAAATAAATGACCTCTATGCTACTGATGGTAATTCTATCCTGACCTCTATTTATAAACTTTGGTCACAATCCATGAAAACAAGTCAGGACTGTGTTGCTATAGTTACTGTTTCTGAAACACCTAATGTATCCTGCTACAGGATTTAATAAGTTATAACATTTGACCATAGTCAAATAATAAAATATGTTGAATGACCATGGAGTATAATGGTCATTTAAAGTAAAACCTGTTTAAAGTTACTAGTTCCCATGGTAACCAACATTAAAAAAAAACAAGTGCAAATAAACAACAAATTGTGAACCAAACTTCAAGTGTCATTTGGATGCTTGTAAAACAGCTAATTCTCAAAATTGTGTTTTTATATTAAAGGGCGGATAGATCGCTGAAAAGGGAGTCATTTCAGTGGGCATATTTCCATATTGTACCGGTCATTCACACAAAATTTTAAAATGATCTGTTATAATTGAGCAGATTCCTAGCATGAACAAAATTGCATTAATCTTTTTTTGTATAAAAAGGATAACTCTCTGAAAAAGGGGGAAAATACAAAGTCACTTGAGGGGCTCTTCTTATTGTACTGGCTATTCCCTCAAAATCTTCAAAAAAAAAATCTGTTGTAAATGGAGTGAATGCATAGCTGTACAAAGTTTGTTTACAGGCAGATGGAAGGATGGACAAACAGAAAAGGTGATTTCAGTTTACCACCCGCTGACTTTGTTTCAAGGATGGGGGCATGACTATTGCATATGACATATAACATGTAATATTTTGCACAATGACCGCATCAATTGAAGTGTCTTCCCTGATAAGCATCTGAACAAGAGATCCCAGAAGGATCTTGGGCGCCCAACATTGTTTGACCAACTGCCGATAATACAACAACACTTTCTGATTCTAATAAAGCTGAAAATGTTCATGAGTTCATAACTTCATACACTAGTAAACCGTTGACAAGTACTCAGATTCAGACTTGGTTAGTGTTCGAGCACTGGCCAGGTCTAAACACGGACTTCCCTGATAAGCATCTGAACAAGAGATCCCAGAAGGATCTTGGGCGCCCAACATTGTTTGACCAACTGCCGATAAGACAACAACACTTTCTGATTCTAATAAAGCTGAAAATGTTCATGAGTTCATAACTTCATACACTAGTAAACCGTTGACAAGTACTCAGATTCAGACTTGGTTAGTGTTCGAGCACTGGCCAGGTCTAAACACGGACTTAAAAAAGATTCTATTCTACGTTCGTGGTCTAAATATACCTAAACGCTGCAGATTAACAGCTGACAAATTACACACTACCAGAGACGTATATAACACATTATTATATACGTCACTGACACTACACTATGAGCCCCACGCCAAAAACATCTGAAGTTATTGTACCGACTGTTAAAAGCTAAAAAGCGCCTGTCATATTACCCTCTACATTCCTATTTTAAAGCTATCAGGTGAAAGGGGGTCAGACAATTTACAGGTTCGTATTACATAGGCCTAATACGAGAGTGTAGTGTCACAACACAGACATATCTATCTTAAGTCCGTGGTAACAGTGATAGACTAGTACTGGTGTAAATGAAGGAAATCTCGATATGCTACATCACAGGTAAAAATGGTTAACGTTCAATATAGAGTAACCTTGGGCATCCTTAGCCTTGCTCATTTTTGCCGAAGTGCAGCTGCAGTTGTTCGTCGTCGTAAACAGATTTTGTAAGATGGCGCGAGTTCTCCAACGCAGAAGAGGTCTTTGTTAAGGGAGTTAACTCTGTAAGTATCAACCATGGTTGTTCCAAGTTATTCTAAGATCGATAGACGTAGGCTAGCTACATTATCAAAGGACCTCTCCGGACAACGTGTACAATAGTCTCCTTGTCACCAACAATTCTAGTGAGTCTTTATTTGTTGGTGACAAACCTGGCCGCTACGTCGATTGTGCGTCTTCAAAGAAAGTGATAGAGTAATATCGCCGATTTGAACTTCGTATTAGTCTGGTCAGAGACGTATATATCACATGTGATATATACGTCTCTGGTTTGGTAAAACGGCGCAGGAAGTTAAGTTCATAAGTTAATTAATAAGCAGAATAAAAACATTCGTTTTCGTATCATGACATTTATCACAACTTCAAGCTCAGAAATACGTATACGCTGCGTCGTAATTAACGACACGAAATGTCTACGGGAATTTTGTAAAGATTATTTTTATGAAGTAAGTAAATGCTTATCGTCGCAATAAATTTTATCCCAATTATATAAAAGGGGTGTTACAGTCACACGACCAGAAATAACCTCGCTGTAACAATTTCATATCTACATAACATTGTCAATGTATGCTATTTAGAGAAGAAAAGTTGTACCAAGGCGGGAAATCCATTTGCAGTTTTGGTGTGCGCTCTATCGTTTTATTGGAAATAAAAATGGTTTAACAGAACATCACAAAGGACCGTGCAAAATGATTTAGATTATTTTTTATTAAGATGATATAATTTTATCATGGACAACATACACACCAGTCTTCCCCTTTTCGACATTTTTGTTTAGGTTTTAACTGATATAGATATTGAGATCTAGTCCAAACATTCCGGGCAGATTTACATATAAGCTATTCATCTTTTTGTTAAAACCATACAAACCATACTTTTTGATAAACTTATTTGATGCTATAGATAATTGCGAAAAAACCAGTATCAACATAATATAGTAGTCAAGAAATTATTGAAAAATTCAAAATTGAATTGTGGTTATTTGAAAACGGTGATATCTCAACAATGCACCATATGTCTTATTACCTGTATTGGTAATGCTACATCATCAGCTTTGATTTTATTGTGCCAAATAATTAAAACTGTGCTGGATTAGCACTTTGCGGATTATGGTGACTGCCTATCCGTCTCAGAATATACCAACATATCAACATAATCATAATCCAAACTCAAATTGAACAAAAACGCAGCTGAGTTTAACATTCGTTAGTTTGCTACTTGGTTCCGTTATTGTATACTTTTTCTCATTGAGAATATGACATTACTTACTTGGATTGGTCAAGGTTTATATGGATGTCGTCAATGAAGAAGACGCTTACTCTTCCGTAACACCTGGGAATTCTCCTTGTACTTTCTCAGGAGTCTCCGAGGAAATCTTTCTTTTGTTCCTATTTTGCTCTAGTTTTATGGAATTTGAATTTGAGTTATGATTATGTTGGCATGTTGGTATTTTTTTATGCTTTTTGTTATGCCATTCAGTTTCTTCAGTAAGTAAACATGTTTGCAGTAACGTTTTTCCACAGTAAATAAACAAGCTATATTTCGTCGGAAGTTTTGACATGATCAACAAGGATCATTACAAAATAAATAGGGAAAATTGAAATCAACAGAAAATTTCTTGAACCGCACAGATGCTTTTAGAAAAGATGATATTGAAAACAGCCGGAAACTATATGATCTTATTAGCCTTGTGCACTGTATCTTCTTTCCTTTACTTATCAGTTGTTATTCTTTCTATCGATTTCATCTTGGTTTCGTACATCATTATAGATTATTATGACGCAATCTGTTTATTTGAACTTCTGTGTCACATATATAATTATAATTAGACTCGCAAATCTATACAATTTAATATTCGTCTTTTTAATCCACGTGTTGTTTTCTCCTTCACTTTGTATTAATACATACGCTTCCTTTTATATTCAGAAAAAAGAAAACACTCATAAAAGAGCGGACATTGCATTACATTGAGCTGTCCGTAACATCGGACTCTAGCGGTGGTTTGTAGAGACATATAGGAAGATACTTCATTAGTTTCCATTTCTTCCAAGAGTCGGGTACAGGAGGATTGTACACCTCCATTCCACTACTGTACACGTTTTTCTGGTCTTGGTTGTCTGGGTTATGCCAGGCTGTGATTCCTCTCTCCTTAGCCGTACCTTAAGGTAGGTAAAAATACTTCGGTAAAACAAATCTCATTGAAATAGAATAGATAATCAAATAATGAGATTGTAATCTGAATTGTTTCGTCACATTTTTGTAGTCATTTGTTCCGCTAGAAGTGAAAGTGCGAGATGTTTAGCGATATCTTGTCACCTCGACTATCATATACTTGTAGACATATGTAATATATAAATCTGATAGAAAATGGACTTCAGCCTTTCTTTCTTTTATGCATAAAGGACGATAACTGCTGGACTACTATCCATGTCTGGCGCGGTTCTGAATATACACATGAACCTGATCTGAAACTATCAGTTATATGAAAATAACGAAATTCACTGAATAATTATGGGACTGAAGCACTTTCACATCCATCGATTACTTTGGGTTTTCCTCAGTCGCCTCCTCGTGGCTTAAAAAGTTTTTAAACATCCTATTTCGTAGACATTTGATTTCGTGGATAAAAATAGCTCGGTATATCTACTTTTACTAATTTTAAAGATTCGTAGATATATGAATTTGTGGATTAAGAGCAACCACGAAATCATAGACTTTTTCCCCTAGAAAATGAATAAATTAACAGTATTATAGAAGTCCGCGTCCCGCCTGTGCTAGAATACATACATAATTTGAAGAGAAAAGGCGTCGAAATGAAGTTATAAACTCGCAAGAGGGTCATGTAAAACTTCAAGTTGAGATTCCCATCGACTTACCTGGAACTGTATTGTCAAGGAAACAGGCCAGTACACAACCACAAAGACCAGGGATGCTAAATAATGTCTTCACAATGTTGTCGTAGTAGACACTCCCTGTGAAAACAAGCTAGACGATCAGTGTCACTGAAAGCATGCAACACTATATAAGGTACACTGTGAATGACGTGATGACAGAGTTAGTGCTTAGAACAAGTACAACAATGATGCCCCGAAAAGAAAATATTTGGAAGGGAATAAATAACAGGGTTACCAAAAAGTATATGTCTTCAACATCTGTGTTGATATTCGTTCTGTAAATTAATTTGAATCCATAATATGGTAGGTCACCAAAGATTGTACAAAAGACACAAATGTGAATAGCACTTTAAAGTATCCATTTAGAATTAGATACAGTAGGGCCAAATAATGAATTGAACTTCAGCATAAAGCTGTTTTGTCCTCCTGTAACTAATCAGTGAAGGGCTGTTTAAACTCAAGGAGTCGATTGAGAAAACCACGATAGCGCTTACAGGGACATCTGTAGTAACAACAGTATGGTTGGACACTAAAGGAAAATGTTTTGAACAGGAATAAAATGATATCCAAATCTGGCGACAAAATCAGTGAGGATAACGTTAGGAGACGATGTCATTGTCAGTGAGATCTATATTCTAGGTGGGTCATGTGACGCAGTTGTAACACACGTGCTTCACCTTAGCGACACTTGTTTTGCAAATGTTGTAAAATAAATAAAGTGCATATTTATATACACAGGTACATCTATATATTTGATGACATCGCCTATGTTGACATTTTAAGACATTCCCTATGTTGACGATATTTGATGACATCGCCTATATTGACATTTTAAGACATTCCCTATGTTGACGATATTTGATGACATCGCCTATGTTGACATTTTAAGACATTCCCCATGTTGACGATATTTGTTGACATTCCCTGTGTTGATGTTAGTTGCCGTCAATGCCGTTTTTGAAAACTAACCTGTGTTGATTTCGCCTGGATTCTTTTCTGCCCAATGTGAAACGAGGATACCCATCAGAATAGCCATGCCGATGATTGCAAGGTTACGAGTCGATGACAACGAAACAGCCGATAGATTAGACAGCACAACGCCAATGAAGGTACCAAACATGACAATCATAGCGCCACCTAGGACTGGGTATGGAATCGTGATAAAAACTGCAGACACCTTCCCCATTATTCCAAATAGGATGTATATAATAGACACAACCAGGAACACGTGTCTGCTGGCCACCTAGTGTAGACAAAAAGGAAAGTAGAATTCAATTGATTAATTTTCAAAAGAACAATTGTGATACGTTTGAAAATCAATAAAATTAGCAGTTATTCTGAATTTTTCATTTTATCAAAGTTTATTGAAAAGACGGCATTGTTAATTGGATAGAATAATAGGCAAAGCCTTTATCAATTTTCTCCATCCAAAGACCAAAAGTGGAGCAACAATGAAAGCGTAAGAACATAATAGATAATCAACAAGTCTGACATATCTTTAGACAACGTAGAAACAAAAACTTAACACCTCTCCTTTAAAAAGCTAAGATTAAATAAGTTTAACGAAAAGTATTTTATTGCAAAATTGTCTAGCTCATCTCAAACACATGAGTACATGATTTCAGTACATAAACATAGATATTAGCAGATTTAGACCAAAAGTCTTGGTCATTGCTAAATCAGCTGTACAATTCACTATAATGATTCATTCATTTTATACATACACCTGTGTACCTATTAAGAATTCCACATACACGTATATGGTAGTCAGCAGTCATGCCAGGAATTTATCCATTACCATCCATAAGTTCGTCAATATATGTTTGTGTTTGTTTATGCTTATCGACGGTGTTTCCTATATAAGTAAGATCTATGTTAAGATATAATGCGGCCAGAAAGGTAAGCGTCTTCTGCTTCATCGACGACACCCGTCATGTAAACATTGGCCAATCCTGGTTCTCAAATGATAACATGGTATACAACAATGGAACTAAAGGTAAAACTAACGAGCATCAAACATATTTTAACGGTAAGATAAGAGAGAATTTGGTAATGCACCCGTTTGCTATTAGGAGGAAGGCTTCAGGTTCAGTCCCTCTCTTAATGGCATGTAAGCGTTTGTAAAACTGGTAGTAATTATTGCCTACTTAGCGTTCAGTCTTCGGAAGTGTAACGACTGGTTTGAGTTTGTATAAAAGACCGGGTGGGTTGTCTTATATGGTATCTTGGCGGTATGCTTCGATTTGCTGGGACAATCATATTTTTCATTTCCGAGAAGAAATCTTACACGAACATATTGCAGCCTTCCTTAAACACATGATCTCAACAGAAGCCGTCCATAATTTACCACATCAAAAGACGAAATTAAAGAAAAACCCATTGAAATTGTAGTTTAACCCTATGAAAAATGAATATCATACTATCCCCATATGAATACCTTGGTGATGCCGATCGCCCCGATGTTGCCTCCGAAGGTGCTGGTCGCGTGTCCACACCCGATAACCCCCGACACAATACTACAGAGACCCTCCACAGCAATGCCGCGATTTACTCCGTGTCGTGGTGGGGGTGGTACGTTACATATCCTTGCGCATGCGTAATAATCACCGATCGAGTCTAGAATGGATATCATGGTGCCAATGAGGAATGCCACAAACACTCCAACGTCAAATTTTGGCGACCCAAATTGATCTACAACACAGAAACGAAAGAAAAATATTTGAATTTAAATTAATACAATTTGATTAAGGTATAGTTGATATGATATCGATAGTGCTTTGTAACCTCCGTATCTCTTTTATAAACATTCGCTTCGAGTTCGATTCCTACCAGTGACGCAATCTGAACAAGAAAATCCCAACACGATTGATGGAACGAGGAGATGATGTAAATTTAGGAAGTAAACAAAGAGAGAGCCTTGAAAGGGTACAAGGATAATAAGCTATGGTTCGCCAGACGGCCAAGCAAATTTTTTTTTTTAAAAAACGAAAATTTGAATATACACCAAGAAAGATGTCCTAATGCACTTCTTCAATGCCAATTCATACTTGGATAAGGGACGTAAAACCAGGAGGCATTACTGATGATTCCAGCGCGTGCGTCAGTTCTGGCGAAAAACTCGTGACTTCTAGGGTTGTCTGTCAGAAAACCAGTGCTTGTCATCACGGCAGATACTGTCCATCCCACTACCATTCCGATCAGCACCTGTTACCGAAGCATTATCTAATCATAATATAAGTGTCTTGTTATTTCATAGCTCATATTTTCATATCAACATCATGAACAATACTTGTTAAAGATTCTTTTCAAAATTGTTTTATTCTTCATTTTTTTATTAGGAAGAGCTGTTGTGCAAAACAACACAATTGAATTTAACATTCAGATACGTGTGTTTTACTTCACATATGTTTGTCAGATCTTGCCTTTCTTACTTTTACATTTTAAAAATTCTCCTTGAGTTAAATATACACGTATCTAATACAGACACATATTTACCGCAAACACTTGATGAAGAGGATACCAGCAAAGATGCAGACCTTTCTTTTTAGACCATATTAGAAAAGGCATTTTCCTATGGCCAATATACAACGACATAAAAACAGCAGTAAAAGCGGTGCTGCAAAACACAAAATACTGCAGGTTAGATTTTTTTTATCTTTTGTGAAAGCTTTAATCATACAAAAGTTTTACTTAAACTATACTGGCAGTGTAGCAATTAATCGCACACGCTACCAGATATACGATGTGCACACAATATGTGTGACGAAATTTCTTATTTCACATCTGCGCACGATGTGCTATTTTATCGTGGTTCATATATATTCAGAAGTGACTTATGGGGAGAGTGATGGTGGTTTAGGTATTAAAGTTCTTGATGGAATATCAATAGATGACTTAATTATAAACTACAATCTACCGTTTTTTTAAGTATTTGAAATCATATGAATTAGTTTGTTTAAATGAATGCTGGATACCTACGGAGTATTCTCAAACCATTGAGTTTTTTCTTCCTTCATTTGTCCTAGAAGGCTAGGTATTGGCATACCAGATGGTGGTATAATTATACTCGTTAAGGATATCTTTTAAAATTTTGTTCATGAAATTGAAACAGTTTTTGACCCAATAATATCCATGCCCTGCAAACTCTGTATATTATTATTATCATTATGACATTCTTAACGGCCCGTCAACACATAAAAGGTCATTAGGACCATCAATAGGCAAAAAACAGCGACCCAAAAGGAAATAACATTAAACAAACCAAGAGGTAAATGGCTTTTTTGACCATGCCGCTTTGCATATCCAATTGAAGTAAATTATACATGTATCTATTTATTAAACAGACTGTTTTGGCAAGTGGGAAGCGGTAATCAGTGTTTAAGTGGAATACTTATCAAAACCGGACATTTTAAAATCTAATTCTTGATGAGAATGAAGCCGATCGATGCAACTCAATTATATCGTCCGAACATGTTACTCAGGATGATATTGACAGTAGTTCATGTTTGCTTAATAAGGTATCTTTGAATTGTAAGCAACCTTTTCTTATAAAATTGTCCTCCAGAAATTAGAAGAATGGATACTTTAAATCCCATATCTAAACATTGAACTTAAATACGGATAAGTCATGGTTCGACAAGAATTTAAAATGTTATGTATAAAAATGACTTGTGCAATTTTAACAAAGACAGTATAGCCAATCACACCTTATTTGGTAAACAAGAAATGAAGTTATAACTTGATTGAGCCTTGGAAAAAGAAGACAGTAATCTAGACAGGAAGGTGATGTGTTAGAATATATGCGACTGAAAAATCCACAATTAAATTAAATTGATTTAAATACTTTACAAGCATAGTTTTAAAACCTTGACCAAGACCGACGATTCTGTACATGCTGAGAATGGCCAGACTCGGTAATGAAATGATCTTCGTGAAGATGATACACAATTATATGAAGAATTAGATAAGATAATTAGTTACAATGTTGAAGATAGAAAAATCTCATCGTGCTGGTGGTATTTTGAATGAATGTTTGTTTCTTCGTTAGTGGAGATATACCAGTATCATACACCCTTTTAAATAACATTTTTAGAATCTGAGTATTTTCCTTCAGAAATGCTTGCTGGTGTAATTAAATCTGTACATAAGAAGGGAGATGTATCTACCCCTAATAACTTTAAAGGCATAAGGAATGTAAATTATCTTAGAAAACTGTTTATTTCCATGTTAAATAACATACTGTGGAAATTGTAAAAATTCCGAATTACATCTGATGCAAAGGTTTGGATTCAGACCAGGACTTCAGTCAATAATATCATACAATACAATATTTCCTTGTGAAAATGATATATCATTCTCAAATAAGTAGAATTTTCTTTTACCATGACAACTAAAGTACATCACAGAAATACGACAACTACGCAATGTTTAAACTAAGTCTCCCTCTTTCATTAGTAGTAGATAACAACTAGAAGTATTATGATATTAGATAGATGTAGATGTATCTAGCTGAACGGTATACACTCTCTGAAGCCATTGTACACTCCGATGTATGACAAATTAAGTGATTTAGAGAATCCTGCCGACTACAGTGCAATGACACGTAAAGTGCTATCTTTTCGACACAAGCATGGATAGTATTGTGAAAGGCTACCACTGCTTGTTAACTGGCCTTCAATATATACGTATCTTTTTAGGTATTTGTAACTACATGCATGAACACTTAAGTTTTGATCGTATAATCCGAAATGCACTTTTCAGCTGCAGTAATCACAACTTACATGCCTGTTATGCCCCAGTGACATTTAGTAAATTTACTTATTGCACGGGGCACATAGATTCCTCCGAGCAAAATAGTGGGCACTACAGTGACTGGACCTATAAATTTGAGTAGAAATCCCACGGCACCTGTGACACCTACTAGGCAGTGGATTACACCGGCCAGTATCAGGCATCCCTGAAACTAGAGATAACATAATATACTATTAAATATTCAAACTTTTTGAATAACGTTTTCTTCCACATATACTGGCATCAGAGAAGATACTAAGATTACTATATTTCTAGTATTCGGCAAACATTATATATCTATATATATTTCATCTTCTATAAGTATAATACATAGGACAATGCCTTTGGGGTTAAACCGAGTTTAGTCTTCAGATTAATGCAATATGTGAAGGACAGTGAGTGACTCTGCTGGAGGATCTACTTGTGTGAACTCGTAACAAGATATTTTGATTGTTTCAAAATTATTTTGTGATCATTTTAATATTAACTTATTCCGTAAAACTTAATCAGTCCTACGCGAAAGCAATACATCCGATAGGCTACAGTACAATCTGACGTCCCTTAATTACAGAAATATATTGCAACTGTATTGCTTGAATATTTGGTGCATACAGTCTTACCTCTTGTAATTTTGTAATTGCCAATTGCCTCTTCAGGATCTGCTCGTCTCTGTCTGTGATATTGTCCCGAAAGTCGCTTGTTATATTCATAGTGAAACTTCTGTTAACATTAGCATCCATTTGAAAAGCTAAGAATATAAAGTTCTTATTATTATGACATTCTTAACGGCCCGTCAATACATAAAAGGCCATTAGGGCCATCACACGGTAAAACACACAGCGATCCAAAAAGGAAATAGCATCAAACAAACTAAAAAGTAAAAGACGAATGCTAAACATTTTAAATGGTTATATTACCACAAAAGATTAAAATGGTACGTCATAGTGTATCATATAGATCAACATCTTTCAGGTAACCTAGAATTTAATAAATCTCAACAGTTTCAAAAAGGATCTTTTAGACTAGTAATGTTACGATAAAAAATTCTCGAGTAGACAGAAGGTCAATACAGTCCAATAAAAAATGTTCAACGGTGAATGGCTCATCACATCCTATGCCGAGAGGGTTATTACTTTGTTTCTTTATATATATTCGTAGGTAGATAGCTCGCGCTTCTGCCGAGAATATTGAGACGTTGTTCGGTAGCCGGCATCCATACGCTTTATCTCGTGAAACCATGACTGCGTCAACCTTATCATTATCTTTTGAACCATCAGGATATAAATGTAGAAATGTATATATTTTAACGGCAATTTCGAGAAGGATGAACGAAAAGTGTAACTGTCTGTGTCTGATTTAACCATTACATGAAGTAATAGTCAACTTCAGGTGAATTCAAGAGCGGGAGTGGAATTTCTATCGTTCCAAACGACTGAATTTGGTTAACATCAATATTTGTGTTTTGTAAAAGAGCGGAAATCCGAATACCAAAAGGTGGAATTGTCTTTGGATTGTTTTGAAACAAGGTTTTACATTTTGGATTAAATATCAGAGAAAAAGCAATATTTGAAGGATTTGACTTTAGCTGAATGATGTATCGCAAAGCCAATTTATTTAACCTCTACATAGAGGCTTACTGTAGGTGTGGTCTTGAAAGCTCCGAGAGCGGGCCTCAGACCCTTGTGATGAACAGTGCCTAATAATTTGTGATTTGTACGTCTAGCAGATCCATACACAACAGAACCGTAGTCTAATTTTGACCTAATAAGACCTCTATAAAGTCTTAGCAAAACTTTTCTATCAGCTCCTCAACCAGATGGGACACAAACTGAAGGCATTTGGCTTTAAGCCATGTTATATTTGGAAGGAACGACAAATTCCTGTCGAATAATACACTTAAGAATTTGGTTTGCTCAACAACTGGAATGGGAACACCACCGAGAGACCGATTTCGATCGTCTTGTTTTTTCCGAATTTGACAAAAATGCGTTCAAACTGTTTTTGATTGTGAGAATTTAAATCCATTTTCATCTGCCCAAATTTGTAGTCGATTCAAACATTGTTGCAGTTCATTTGAAGAGCATACCATAGATATAGCTTGAATGACTTAACCGGAGTGTTACTAATTATGCTACTTACCGGGAAGTTTACAGAAATCTTTATCAGCAAGTTGCAGTGCTATCAATGGAATCACATAGTCCCCAGATGGTCCTTGAAACAATGGCAGTCTATAGAGAGGTTAACAAATGCTGCATTATTGTAAAAATCATTAATTAGAAATGCTCGATGAATAGTTTTACTAATCAATTACTCAAGTTTGACAATTCATTATTCCACATTATTATTATTACATTCTTAACTGCCCGCCAACACATAAAATATATATGAATGTGTAAGGCATGTATGGCCCATCCGAAGATGGTAAAAAAGACAACTTCGTCTCGGTTGTTGTCTCTATAGCATGAAGACCATTCACCGATGATGGGTTTTACGGAATGCAATTTATTATCGGTTTATTGATTCCATTCCTCCTGCCACTGAGCTCTTAAAACTGTTTGATAACTGGTTTAAAAACAACTGGTGGAGCGATGAAGCTGCCTTTGCGTCATAATTTGTTTTTTCATTGCATCAGAAAACGCTTTTGAAATTCAATGTTCCATTTGCGATTCCTCAAGTATTTTATCTGACCTGTGCACTACTTCCGCATTAGAAATATCTCTTTCATCTTTTATATTGAAATCTGATAATGGATTTTAGGGTTGCAATTCCAAGATGTCCGCATCAAATATGTCGGTATCAATTTCTTATCTGCTAACATCCTCCTTTAATGTATTTGTTGTGACAAGTTAGTGTTGTTTTCAGCGAGTTGCACCGTGGACAATTTCATTATGATTTGATCAATGTAATGCATGTGATTACTTACCTGTGTGTTCATCCAACCTTGAAATAAACACGTTTTACCTGTGAGATTCTTTCAGATCTATTCACATATCCAACTGTTGGAGATTTTTGTGAAACAACCTAGGAGATGCGTGAAATTGTTAAGTAGGATAAACCACGGGTTGATGTAGAGATAGCAATATTTTCTCGGTATTATTCTTCACCAACGAGTGTTTTATTCTAAGGCAAAACACAACTTGAAAAAAGTTGATATCTCTCCATAGTTATAGTTAATTCAACTTTTATCATTAATGAGATGAATGCTGGTAAACGGTATTAGCATTTCCCCCTTTTCTTCATTATCATTTGTTCGGATTTATTTCGAATATTTCAGTTATCATCTTATAATAAGAAAACAACTCTGATCAGTTCTTTATCTTAGTCTCGATATCCTTTTTTATTTAGAACAATAATCCTTTGATACAAGAAAAATGTGTTTTATGTGTACTTGCTCCCTCACTGAACTGGGACATTTGGACCAAACCCCTTTCATATGAGAGAGAAAGTAATGCAATTTAAATATCACAAGACATAGTAAACTGAAAAGCTGGTGGATTGTCAAATATCGTCTTATAATCATAACCTTAAAGCGAAAAAAAAAGAATAACATAATTTATTATTGCATGTGTATGTTATGTTTATGTATGACCACCGTGTTGTTGTGGAAGAAGACGTATATAGGCTTTAGCCTACTGTCTAATCCTATTGGTTTTTATATCAATAAAATATTCTGAAATGAAATGAGTTTTTTTATTATGTTAATCAATAGCATGGCGCATTTTCAAGGATGTAATTTTGATCCAAAATCAGCGTACGTATAATGGAATGATTTCGTTATGACTGCAAATGCTAGAAACATACGGTAAACTGATTAATACTTGCTGATAAGGTTAACCAAGGCAACTAAAACAGTTAATGAAGATTTGAAGTTTTATTTCCAACAAAATGATCAGCCTACCTGATGCCCAGTGTGACCATCAAGCCCGTTGTTATTCCGTTCATCAGCAGAGTAGAACTCAGAAGATTTGTCCTGATATCCATATAATCACCAGCACAAGCGACGTCCGCAACAAACGAGGACACTACGAGGGACACGGAAAGAGACAGCAGGGCTTGCTTTGGAACAAAAACAAATATTTTGAAACTTTAGGATGGTTAATCTTAACAAAAATTTTAGAATTAGTATTAGCATGAAGATCAAACTTACATCAGTTGTTACTGATGTTGACATTTTTTTCGTCAAAATTTGTAAGACAGCTGGAGTTCAAAGAACCAGAACCACTCAATACCACCCAAAGGCAAACAGCTCGACGGAGAGGTTTAATAGAATCCTCCTTGGGATGCTAGCAACCCTTTATGAGTATAAGAAACCCGACTGGACATCTTTGTAATTGTTTGTTCAAGCCTATGACACAACCAAGAGTGATGCTGTTGGAAATCTACCTTCACTATCAAAAGTTTGGTTGATATCCTCGGTTGTCAGTAGACGCATTTCTTGGAATTAACACTGAACATGTAAGCTATGGGGCCGTATGGGGTTTTCGTATAAAGCATCTCGGTGTTCGGCTTTCAGGAAAGTCATCCAGAACAAGGACCTATATGACAGGTCAGTTCAAGAGTAAATATTTGTGGTTGGTGATTGTGTTTTGTAAGAAAACTAGGCCTTAAGGTAAAAAACAAATTGGCCGATAGGTGGGAAGAGGGATCCTTATTTTTTTAATGCTATTCCCGTTGATGAGGTTGCATTCGAATACAGTGGAGGACCTAAAATGAACCCTTCACATGATTAAGTTGCTGTCTTTTAACCTCATTCCTGTGGATGTTTTCCTATATACCAAACATATAAAGGAAAATATTTAGTAAAATCGCGCACACCACTGAATGATCGACAAAGTTAATCCAGATCAATTTCGACCAAGATGGCCTCGTCTTCAGCAAACATGATATTGACAACATGACAACATAATCATAATTCAAACTCAAATTCGATAAAAACATTTCATCTATCTGATGGTATGATAATATTTTCTGAGCAATTTCCGGCATTTAAAACATATTTGGGGAAATATTTGAAGACAAAATTTAAAAATCACCTTAAAACTACAGAGCAAGGAAACGTTTGGACAAAGAATACAGAGACTGTCAACAACATACTCACACAAGTGGCTGACTTGAAGCAACACAAAGTACCAGAGCTAGTAGAATGATTAATCAAAGCCTCAAACATTCAAATGTTAGACATCAGACGATTACTATATGATACAGGAAATTATTCATTAACGTCGCACATAAAGACATGAACAAGTTAAAAAAATAAGATGAAAAGCAAACACTTTCGAAAGTTCTTTTGGTCGACTTTGAAATAATGAACACAAACGAGATTGATACAATTGCCCTAAAATATTTTTATGTCTAATGGTGAAAATAAACTCGCAAGAAACGTTAGGAACGGAGGTAATCGATATTTTTTGTCCAGATTTGACATGTGGTTTTGGCGTCACTGTCGTCTGCATTATCATCTTTGTTAATACGTTCTTTTTCTCAAAATTACATCATACCTATATGCATTAATGGGGGTTTGATAGCATGCTTCTCATATTAATGTTCTGTTAGATTTGCAAGCATTGATACTACAATATTAGCTTCGGCGGTACAGGGCTATGCAGTGTGTTGTGATCTATATTGTACGTTTTGCATCTGAATGGATTGTTTTAATGTAATGTTATGCAATATATAAATAAAACTGGGTCTTATGTAAAGGAGAGTCTAAGCTTACAAGTCCTGAGTGCATGATGTTTATATAAGTTCGTTAAGCTAATGTTTTCAAAAACGGAAAGGTGCCAATGATATATAGTATCTTTTGTAAATCATGTTTGCATCATATTATTTAACATACATTGTATTATGCATGATTACAGGTTTATCATACAAATCTGTATACAATCCTTTTCTCATTTTCAATGAACTTATTTTTTCTATTGTTACTAAGCAGTCCATCCCTGTGAATTCATTGAACCTTTATATTTTTTTCGTTAGCTTTACATTTTCTTTTGAATAACAAAGATTGTGTATGAGTTTGTATTGTGATTTACATTTATTTTACATAGCCATTTATTAGGTTATTGAATAAATTATGGATATGTCATTAAGTATTATTTTCATCTAGAGTTGGATAGATTTTGGTAGCTTTGGGTAGGCGTGAGTAATTTGTCGCGCTCCTATAACATGGCAGCACGTAACTACTTTCGGAAAGACAGTTATGAATGCTGCTTTGTCAATGTTTGAAACACTCTCCTATACCCACCAATACTCGGAAAAGGGTAAGACAGACTGCAAGTAATATACAATTCATCACTGCATCATTCACGACCGAAGGAATATCTTCGGAGACATATGTAACGTGTTCTGGTACAATTGATACTGGATCACATTTTGTTGTTTTACAACACAATCTAATTTTGTAAGTAACATAAAACTAATATTGATACTGATATTTCCGTCAAAACAATAGTATTCTCGCTGAAATGTTATTGAAATATGTATAACTTATAGTTAACTCCCCAACTTACCTGAAATCCCATGATGACAGTTAGAACAACAGGTGGTCTATCAGATACGTTGTAAAGCAGATCAACGGAATAGCGATCCTCCACGTTGCCTTCATTTGATGGTATTTCAAGTACACAAGAATTTTCATCTTCGGAAGTACTTGTCTCATCAACATGTATTGTCATAGAATTGAACGGTTCGTCCTTCCTGTTTTGATGAAATCGAACCATTCTTCTGTTTTCAGTTTGCCAGACGATTTTGGTTAGATTTGCTCTTGTATATTCTCTTCACAAAGGAAATGCAATTTTCTATCAATTATTTAGAATTATTCATCGATTTCTTATATTCAGATATGTAAATATTGATTTATGTAAATATGCGAGACATACTGAATTCCTATGGAATAAATTTGAATTGATAAAATCTTATAGAGATATGGGATCATTTCTAGTAAAGTATAATAAGGAGAAATGATATCGTCCATTAATCAATGCAGACTTCCAAGCATTTCTCTTAACGGCCCTTTAATCGGCAACATAACTTTAAAACTTTTTATTTCCTAATCTAAAAGGCACAAAACACACACTATATCTATTTGGGCCCCATCCAAATCCTGAAGAAGTCAGCCAAACATTTCATGCTTCATATCAAATTGGTAATGAATCATGCAATTTCAACAGAATTATTTTCCTCGAATTAGTCCTGTCCTTCCAATCCCATGGGACCTCAACCTAACTATTAATCTGATTTCAATTTACTCAAACTTCAACCAATCATACAGACGGAGAAGGATTATTTCTCCGATTGGCTTCTTCCTTCCAAAGTGGCCGAGATTCAGCGTTTATGCAAGAATTTAAATTTTAATCAATACTGTTGAGTTTTTCAAAAATTATTTATCGATTCCTTATATTCAAATAGGTAAATATTCATATATGTGATGTAGTGCAACACGTTGATGTCCAGGAGATAATCTAGAATTGATAGGATCATATAGAGATATGTAATCATTTCGTGTAAAGTTACACAAGCTGAAATGATACGCTGAACATGTCGATGGAAATGACATTTTTGCAGACCATGTTATGGAGGCAACCTAAACTAAGGGAGAACGACTTCTTAATTTCCAAATACACTTTATATATTTCTTCATTTGGCCCCACCCTCAGCCCTTAGCGGGTAAGCCAAACAATTCATACACCATACCCAGTTAGGACGGAATGCTGCAATCCCAACAGAATTTTAAAAAGTTCATCTAGCTTTGCTTGTCCGAATTGGGCGGAAATGAATCATAGCATTAGCAGTGAGGGGTGTTAAGGAGTTGGTTCGCGTAGCCTTAGAATGGATTCTGCCTGTCCAATCCCAGGGGTCCTAGAACTACCAGAATTGTTACAAAATTGATTTCAATCAAATGGGCAAAATCTTCCTACAGGAGCAGTACGATTTTGAAAAATTCTCTTTATTTCCCGTATTGGCCAAGAGCCAACATTTATATGAAATGTGTTCCTCGTCTCCTAAGGATTAATATGATTATTATTATTGCATTCTTAACAGACCGTCAACACATAAAAGCTTATTAGGACCATCGACCGGTAAAAGACACAGCAGTTCAAAAGGAAATAACACTAGACAAAACAAACGGTAAAAGACAAATGCTAAAAGTCTATTATATAGACCAAGATCTTTCAGGTAATGTAGAAATTAACATATCAACAGTTTCAAAAAGGGGTTTTAGACATGTAATGTTGCGATAAAAACATTCTCGTGTTGACAGAAAGTCAATGCAGGCCAATGAAAATGTTAAAAACGTGTGTGGTTTGGACTGCATTGACCTGTCTACTAGAGAAATTTTGATTGTAACGTTACAAGTCTAAAGACTCGGTTTGAAACTGTCCAGATTTATAATTCTAGGTTATCTTTGGGATGTTGTCTCATACTATAGAATATGAAATACCATTTTTATCTTTTGTGAAAATGTACCCGTTTTAAGATTTTTAGCATGTCTTACCTTTTAGTTTGTTTGATGTTATTTCCTTTTTGGATCGCTGTGTGTTTCACCGGTTGGTGACCATAATGGTCGTTAAGAATGTAATATTATTAATAATAATGGTTAGGCTTCGTGTAGTGCGAACTTAATTTCTTTCTACATTAGCATTTATGTACGACATCTTGTATTTTATTTTACAGAATACCTTAATGTTTAATATGGGCCATTACGTCCTCAATTCTGTGATAATTTTGATGGTAACAGCTGTAAATGACATGATTATGATATTTTAGTTTACGACCATGCAATCTTTGGTAGAATCTTTCATGTTTGTTTATATTAGAATCCTTCTGTCACGCTTATCGATATATTATTGCATTGACTGTTTAAATGAACGGAATCAAACTGCTAGATGGGGTACTCAATGATATACATCGTGTATAATACAGATCGACTGTCAGCTGCACAAATACTCTGATGCTTTAATTAATAAACCAAAGTTTCTTGTATAATACTTTATAGTTACGGCACTATAAAGTTATCGGCTCTTTGCCCTACAATACATAAACAACTAATCTATAAGTAATCCGCTACAAGCTTGCTACTTCAGGAAAAAGAAGTCTATATGTTTGTCTTTTCAATAGAGGATCTTTAAGAGCTGTTCAATATGATCTCGGCCGTCATCGGGGAGACGTCATGGATTGGATTTTAACGCGTATACAGTGAACAGTGAAGAGAATCAATATATTTACATTTTGACATCCCTCAATATTATTCTTTACTGTCGACGAGTGTTCGTATTTCGAAAAAAAAAAACATCCTTTAGACCAAATTTCGACATATTTCATATTTCCTACAGGAGGGGTGGAATGTTTAATGAGTCTGCTCCATTTCCCCTCCTGAGATCAAATTTGGTCAAAATCCTCTCAGTCGTTCCTGATCAGTAGCGACTTTTAGAAAAAAAATTACGGAAACGCCGAGATATGGATGCCGCACCCGGACAAAAAAAAAATAAATAAAACGCTTACAACTGGCTCTACACTTAAAAGGAAATAAAGGTTGAATGACTTAGTAGCTTTCGATATTGCTTATCCAATGGATGCAAAGTCTCAGATATAGACTCGTTAAAATCAAATAAGAAAGGATTACCACTTCCGAGTGAATAAGACTTCTGAATTCAAGTTTTGGTTGCCTTTTGTAATTTTATTAAACATCGATCGGCTTTTGCATGTCCCTGAAATAATATCATCCATGGCATAATTGTGACCTATGAACGAGTTCATATCCAGTCTTTATTCCTTGATTAGTTTCAAGGTGTAGTGATGTATATCAATTTCCACACTATCTCATAATGTTTGGTCTAGTGCCACACTGCTGGATGTTCCCCTTCTATAGATACCATTAAGAGGATGCGGACTCTAACATTGGTACATTTAACATTGTTTTTATATGATCAATGTATACACCAAGTTGCATTATCTTATCTTACATACAAGCAAAGTCAAGTTCTGAACAAGATATTTTTAACTAAGGGCAATAACTCTGTAACCGAAGGGTCAAGAAATCTATATTTGGTACACAGCATATTGTCTTGGAATGATAAATGTATCATTATCTTAGTTTACATGCAACCCGTTTAAAGTTGTGCTCAACACACAATATTTTAACAAATAGCAATGATTATAATTAAGGGGGTGCAGGTCCTGAACTTGGTACCCTGCACACCAAGTTTTATTATCCTAGTTTTGGACACAAAAGTTTAACCATGGGCAATAACTTTGAAACTGAGGGTTCAAGGGCCCTGAATCTGGTACACTGCACATCATCTTGGTATGACCAATGTTTACACCAAGCGTCATGATCCTATACTATCTGTGGGCAAAGTTGTGCTCTGAACAGGAAAGGACGGACGGGGCGGCGACTATGTGACCCCCTCCCCCTTTCAAAACAATTCGGAGAGCATGCTAATGCGTTTACTTAATCATAGAACTGCTAGGTAAGGTAGCAGTGTGGGATTTAAAATGTTCGGTTTTTTCTAAATCGAAGTAATTTCGTTTGATGCACAGAAAACAGGTAATACTTATTTGTAACCCCCATTTTCACTTTGAGCTTAATAAATTTAACACACATGACAACAGAAACAATAAATTTTGAGGATTTGAACATGTATGACCGAACCTAGATCTATCAATGCCTGCTTGCAATCAGCGTAGTAACAGTTAAACGTCTTTTCTTTCAGAATGCACCAGAATGAATATGACATGCATTTCTATATACACATATGTACACATAGATCATGCAGTAACTGCTACTGGCGAGTAATTTGATGGGTAGTGGTGAAATACATGTCAAAAACAAAGAAAACTTTCAATGTCTGTAGACTATAGACTTATTTGCATTATTTAGCTACCACTTTGTATTAAAAAGATAAAGGTGAGATTAGTATAATGTAAGAATGTAAAATATTAAGTGAAACAATTACAAACTACTTAGTACTTCCAAATGCAACTTCTTAATAAAGAACATGTCGAGCGTAAATGCAAGAGAAGTACAAACCATTTCGACCACGACATGGTACAAATGCATCACAAAATCCACCACGAATGATAGCACGATTGAGGGTGCAATACCTCTTTATAAAGGCCAACGCGAAGGAGGAATATTACTAACAGCGAATCAACTGATAACCTACTAAGCAAGGTTTTATAATCAAATGCGACATATGTAGTGAATGGTAACAGAGAATAACAAACATTTCCAAAAACATCCATTCCAAAATGTTGGCAAAATGGATGCAGTGAAAGAAACACTGTTAAAGGTTAAGTATATCAAAATGTAACAAAAATATAAGAAAAAAAAGTTAAACCCCCCTAAAAACCAACAGAGGATTTTTTCATGTCGGAAAGAAAATGTGCATGCACTCAAGAGAGGTAGTGCTTTAATGATCTTAACTGTCGATAGGACGTGAAGTAATATAAACCAAACTAATGGACCTGAGCAGCAATAAGGTAAAGTTGTTACAAAACAATGTGACCAGGAAGGGTTTCCTGTTTGGGATCTTCAATAAAACCAGTACAAAATATGAAGAAATGAAAAATTTACACGGTGACGCCTGAAAAATTACAACGAGAAAAAACCTATGCCCTTGGATCTCGAAACTTCTTAAATCTTGTTTCTCAACGTCAAGTTCTCAACGTGAGTAGGTACTTTGTTGAGAATTTCTCAAAATGGTGATTCAACTGAAAAGAAATTGGTAATTTGATATGGCTACTGAAAAAGAGGAACTAATTTGACGGAGAGAGAAAAGATTGCGTTCATAGAAGAAGTGAGATCGATGGAAGAAATCATTTTTGGTAAATTTCGTGGTGTGTAAGGGAAGACGTCCGGAATGTCCTCTAAAGACTAAGATACAACGTGGAAGGATGTAACACACGCCATAGATGTGTAATCAAAATATTTTCTTTTGATTTCTTTTGATATATGTTTAATTTGATTGTCTACAAGGAATCAAAACTGGGCATGTTAAGATGAATACCTGTACATAATCCGTTGACAAAGTGCATGACTACATGTATAATTGGTAACTTATAATTATTACGGTTTATACAAAATTATTTCCCCTTTACCCAACAATGCTTCAAACCAAATCAAATAATTCCTATAGGAGGAGTAGGATTTCAAAGGATTTGCTTTTTTACCCCCTATTGTACCCCATCCCTCAGGCCCCAGGGGGGCAAGACCTACTATTGATATAACATTAATTACCCTTCACCCAACAATGATTCAGAAAAAAAATTTGGCAAAATCCAAGCATTGCTACAGGAGGGTAGGATTTTAAAGAATTTGCTCGGTTTCCTCTATTTTTAATGTGTTACGATAACAATAATGATAATAATTCCCTCTAATGGGCCCCGCCGCTCCCACCCAGGTGGCGGAGACCCAACCTTTGTAGAAAATTGATTCCCCTTCACCTAACAACCCAACAATGCTTCAGATCTGAAGTGTTGACGGGCCGTTCAGAATATAATAATAATTATTCTCCTTATTCATTCTGTCTTGCGATGACCCTCTTTGGCTAACGCTCCAAACTTGTTCCCTTGCCTTTTAGAATGTATCTTGACAAATTTCTCATTTATATCGCCATGTAAAATTACTTTCCAATTTTTTGGTGATCTCTCATTTATTTTGTTACAGTTGAGGCGGAGGGCACTTGTATCTTGTTGTAATCTACACATTTGTTAACAGAATATCCTATATCTTAGGAGGAAATTATTCGGCAGTGCCGTTTTCCATTGCGAGGTCTCCAAAGAGTTGTGAATAGGCGCAACATTATCCTGGAATACAAACTCTCCGTTGGGAAAATGTTTGGCAATTACAGGCCACAAGTTTTCTTCCGGAATATCTATATTTCCTGGAGTTTATATTTCCGTCAACTTCCACAATTGTGCCTACTCCGTCGCTACAAATACACCCCCCTCCCCGAAAAAAAAACCCAACAACATTACATTTGCTCTGACGCCAACATTTTTGTTTAGTTTAAACATATTTTATTGCAAAGGCAAATGGATTGGGCACAAGTTATCTCAACGTATGAGAGCCCTCTACACAATAATATATACAATGAATGTGACAACAGCTATGTACAGTTACAACTTATTTTTAAGTGTAAAATGTATTAGGGAATTATTGTAGATGCGGACGCACTCCGGCCGCCAACATTCAGACGCTTTTCTCTATACATAAACACGCCGATTTTTGCCCAATACCACCTGCATTTCATCTGAAAATATAATTTTTTTCCAGTGTGTTTGAATAGTCCAGTGTAGGCTATCTCGAAACCATGAAATTCACTTTTTTCTATTTTCGGGCAATATTGTCAGTGTTTTGGAGACACATCGCCTATGATAGCCCTTAGCTTTCAATCTCCACTGAATTGTACGTTTATACACCGGCTGTGAAACAGATCTGTTGAATTCAGTTATTAAATCCTTCAAATATCGTCTTCTATCACTTTTCTCAGGCCGATTTAGAACACGATCCCCTTGTTGACTAACTTCTCGCGACCGACCACTTTTTGGTTAATTTTCGAAATTGTCTTCCTTTTCAAATCTTTTCAAAACTTATTAATTGTAGACCGACTACATCCTGATGAATTCACGATCTCCGTTTTCGAATACTCAGTATCATCCATTCGTACGATCTGCCGTTTCGGGTCATGTGTCAACTCTTTTGATTTACGCGCCATTGTTTAACTGATTTGACAGATGGTGCAAAAAAATGACAATTTATTACGCAATCAGTGACGACACACAAGTCATCACTCCAGTCCAGTGTATACAGATAAACACGTTCCGTCTAGTATGAATAAATTTTGAGCATTTTTTTTTCACACCCACGTGTGCCGCACGACAATGCGAGGTCACAAAACGTGAAATACTTTTGTCATATCATTGTAATCCACCAGCAACAAACAGGCCATGAACCTCTTAGGATTGAAAAAAAGTTTTGTTTTGACAGAGCTGTGCAGGTTGTCCCTCACTCCTCCCTGAAAACATAAAAAAACAGGCAATGAAAAAGCAGATTGCGCCGCAAAGGAAGCTTTATCGTTTTTAAACTTCCATTTTCTGATTTTAAACCATTTATCAAACAGTTTTAAGAGCTCAGTGGCTAGAGGAATGGAATCAATATATCGATAATAAATTACACTTCATAAAACCTATCATCGGTGAATGGTCTCCATGCTATAGAGACAACCAACGAGACGAACTTGTCTTTTCCCGTCTTCGGATGTACCATACATACCTTATGCATTCATATATAATGAAAGGCGAAGATGAACCTCGATGCATATGATGCACGATGAGACATTTACTGTTAAACATTTTTTATTGGGCTGCATTGACCTTCCGTCTACTCGAGATTTTTTTATCATTAACATTACAAGTTTAAAGACTCTTTTTGAAACTGTTGAGATTAATAGAATGCTAGGTTGAAATTTTGGTCTATATCATAGAATATAATTTACCATTTTGATCTTTTGTGATATTTTAAAAATTTTTGTACCTTTCATTTCGTTTGGTGTTATTTCCTTTTGAATCACTGGGTCATTCACTGGTTGATGGCCATAATGACCTTTTATGTGTTGACAGGCCGTTAAGAATGTAACAATAATAGTGATAATAAGTAATAATTTGACAGGATATTATTACATGCATTAAAAACAATTATTGAATTCGCACCGGAGGCATTATATTTAAACCTCCATTTATATAATTACAGCTATACTAGTAACAGATGTCTAAATTGTGTTTGGAAGGCAACAGAACACATACATGTCTATCACCTACCCACATCGGTCATGTACATTATAACATTAGTGTCCCGGAGATAAAAAGCGAGTACGGAGAATTGATTGTATCAAACCGAATACAACCAAGGGGAGATAATACTCCATTGACGGATTACTTGGTTTATCCCGAAAGCATTGGCCACGAATCTTTTATTCAAAACAACACCAAACAAGTCTTTGTATAAAGGCATAAAGACACTCACAAATTTCATGTCTAACAACATTCCTTTCAAAATTGTCTTTGAAAGTAACTTACCGAAACACGGACGATGCCAGCTCGAAATGATAGAAAATTTAAACTCCGTTATTCGGTTTGCTTACCCATGTGTTAGTTTAACTTGCCGCGCTTCCGGTTATGAAGATGCTATCAGAGACACATACTGTTACAACGAACAGAGTATTGTCAAAAAGCTACGCGATTCCTCACTTCAAATCATATTTATAATGATGACATAACAGTAAGTTGCTGCAGTTTTATAATGGTTATCGGGTTGGTCTGACCCAATAGAGCAAGTGTACATATGCGGATGTTCTTTGTTCCAGAAAGGGATGTCACCAGTTTCGACGGATTCAATATACTTTTTCAGTAAATTATGGGGAATTTATATTTTTACCCTGCAACTGGTGCTGTCATTGTAGGAAAACTACATATATTTTTACTGTATTCGACAGTGACGGAAAATAGCTGTATTTCAGCACGTTCACTAATTTGACAGAAGTACTTTCTGAATTAAATATTACATGGAATGATATAAATAACTTTAAATGATTTATTTACGAAAAGTTATAGAATCACTGACATATCCATTGATCTTTAGAACTAAATTTCTGCACAGAGTAATTATTTTGGCATATGTCACCAGGTTAAAAAAAACTGCACAACAACACTGCTGGAGTTTTGATGATCTTATTTTCAATCAATGTTGCAGCATAAACAGAATACATGGTCAGTATCTTATAATATATAAGTTTCATTTCTTCACCTTAGCCAAAATACAGTATAAATTTTAAGACACTGACCATGTATTCTATATATTGCTGGTTTTAGGGTCTGTAGGACAAAGGAAACTCACTCTAAATAAAGAGTGTATCTACCTTTTAATCTAGCATTGATTCTGTGTTGTATGTATGCTTACAACTTATAAATTATTTGCCTTTTTATTTTTAGGATCAAGTATCATGTAAAAGACGTGTGCCTGTACGAAATTAATATCTGTTACCGCTATGGATACGAAGACGGGTCGTCAGCCTAGTACCTTTTCAGGGAAAGTGAAGGCCTTGTTGATGCGCGCATGGAGGGAGCGCTGGACAGATATTCAGTGGGGTGTGCAGCTTAAGAAAGTCCTTGCCAGTACTGGAGGGGACCCCAAGGATCTCCCAGGTATCTTTAATAAGCATTCATCATTGATTTAGGTTTACCTGTGATTTCTCGCATTCACCAACCGTGTAGACAGATGTGATTCTTTCTGTTATCATAACATTTTTTTTTAATCATTATAGTTACAACTTCCATTTCACAGCTACAACCAGCATGAATTTAGAAAATATTGGTATGCATAGTACATTCATAAAATTGTGAAAGACATTACTGATATTTTCTTTAATTTTGAAAAAAAGAATTACCGGGTAAAAGAATATACTGATATGACAACAGAGTCTTTCAATCAAACTCAAAATCAATAATCCAATGAAACTAAGGCAAGAAAACGAAGATTTACTTAAAGACTTCTGAAAAAATACAAAGAAAGCGAAACCAGGTGTTCAGAAATGGTAAGCCTCTTCAGTTTCATAAAAAAACTTTGTCATATTTATCTTTGTGGATCCAAGTCAGTAATGTGATGTTCCTGAATGAAAACAATGTGCTGGTGGTAAATAACTTAAGAACAATGAAGGACATTATCACTCTATGGAGAATAGAAGAAGCAAAGGAGCTTGTTAAGTATCAAGCTGAACCATCAAATATGGTATGTGGGGTTTTGGCCAACCCAGCTCCTCTAGTACCAGAGGCTGTATGTTGTCATGCTGGATATGAATTGTATATTCCAGATTGGAAGAGGGACACTTTCTAATAAATGTAGCTCTGTAGTTAGTTTGAAATTTTGTAGAACTTGTTTACTCGTATTATATGTTTTTCATTTAAATTCAGGCATGTTGTTTTCAGAAATTTTGGTTCATCAGGCATTGGTTGGACCTAATCCAAACACCCTAATTCTATCCTTCCTAAAGTATACCGTCCTGTCACAGGTAAGTTGTTAATGTTACTGAATTGGATTGCTTTATTTTGAAAAAAACACTTGCTTGAAAATATGACATAAATTGTAAGAAATTCAAGTTAGTAAACTGCTGTTGATTTGATACTAGTTCCTTCTAACAGATAATTAATGCACTCCTAAATTCGTTGAATATTTACACTGAAAAAAAAAAGTTTTGCTAGTTATTGTCTCAAAGGAAAAGTAAATTTCAAATATCAAGATCTACTACTGCATTCCATAAGAAGTTTATTAACAGTATTGGCTCTTTGCGATTCTTTCTATATTCAGTTCATTATATTCTGTCTTTTCATAATGCAGAGTTATCTGCCCATGTGAGCTGGTATTAATTTCTATTTCAATAGCTTGCATGAGAAAATGAAGTTGTTTTCTCTTTATGTTACTCTCATAGAGGCAAATGATGCATCAATCAATAACTGCTCACAAGAGCAGATAACTCTGCTTTACAGAAATCCTGTATACTTGCATGTATCTTATGACAGTTGTGGAATAGCAGATGCCACGTGAACATGAGGTGCTTTTGTATCAAAGCTATTTTTCATGAAGTATTTGTAAGTGCTCAGTATTTTCTGTTTGATCGAAGGACCAATACAGTTATAGTGAAGTACTGAAACATTTTAAAACTTCTCTTTTACTTATCCACCACTACAGGTTGTTCCCCCTAGTGCAGCGTTCAACCTCATCACCAGTTTTGATGACCTGTCTAAACCATTCTGTACACTTGGCCTGATTGACTTAGCAGAAGCATTTGCCTGCAATCTGAGGTAAAAATTTTGCCACAGTATTTTAGCTCAGAATCAGATTTATATATATATTTGATAAACAAACATATATTGTTGTTATTACACAAGTAATGTGACCAAACTTAGCTGTGATCAGCTGACGATTCCCATTGTTTCTGTTATAACATCATGATTTAAGTATATACATTGTGGCATTACTTAAGAAAGAAATGACATGATTTAATGTCGCCATATACATTGTGGCATTACTTAAAAAAGAAATAAAAAGTAAAAATATCACCAGTTTAGAATTTTTATCAGTGTAATAAAATGCTCTTTACACTCGTGTGTATCTCAGTACCCATGCTATATGATATGATACATAGTACACTATTTATCTTGTATTGATTTACGTTTCATACAAGAATTCGTTCATTTTATCTTGGGGGAGATTTGGTAAAATTAGTAATTCTATGACCTGTACCGTATATATCCTACAAAAATTGATGGGAATGTGTATGTATTGGGTCATGGTTCTGATGAATCCTAATAATGATATAGAATTGGTTTTGTAATAAAAATGTTCCTATGTTTTTTTGACAGTTTCACCTGTAGCTTGGACAGTAGTCTTACATTGTGCAAGTGTTTACAGAACACACTACACTGGCTGATGTTGTGTATTCACCAGTCCTTACAGATGATAAAGGAGGGACACTCTCCCCCAGAAATCCTTACTATCATTGACAGTGCCAGTGTAGCCGCGCAAAAGATTGGAGATAACACTACAGTACAAGCTTTGTTGTATGTGGCCATGTCTGAGGACACAGGTATATATTGTGCAGGGGGCCTGAAATGAAACTTGTTTTTGTTCAACTACTTTAAAGATATTTTGCTAAATATTTTCAAGGAAGGACTATTGCATTTAAAACCATGATTTTTATTCAATTTATCCTCAGTAAAATCTATGTAAAAATCCCTCTTAAGTTCTTGAACGACAAACCCGTGGAAGTACATGTATAATTATTTTTAGCCTGATGGTAAAACCACTTACATATTGTCATTGAGCTGACACTATAACAATTAAACAGGTAAACTCACTTACAACATGGGTGAACAGACCATGACACAGGTAAACATGTTTATAACTTTGGGGAACAGACACTATAACACTGGGGTACACACTTACTACTTTGGAGAACAGACACTATAACACTGGGGTACACACTTACTACTTTGGTAAAATGACATTGTAACACAGGTGAACACACTTACTACTTTAGTGAACAGACGCTGTGACACAGGTGATTACACTTACTACTTTGGTGAACAGATATTGTAACACAGGTGAGCACACTTACTACTTTGGTGAACAGATATTGTAACACAGGTGAGCACACTTACTACTTTGGTGAACAGATATTGTAACACAGGTGAGCACACTTACTACTTTGGTGAACTAACACATATTGTAACACAGGTGAACACACACACATTAGTGAACAGATATTGTAACACAGGTGATCACACTTACTACTTTGGTGAACAGATATTGTAACACAGGTGAGCACACTTACTACTTTAGTGAACAGATATTGTAACACAGGTGAGCACTTACTACTTTACACAGATAAACACACACACTTACTACTTTTACACATGCTTTGAACACAGGTGAGCACACTTACTACTGTGAACAGATATTGCAACACAGGTGAGCACACTTACTACTTTGGTGAACAGATATTGTAACACAGGTGAGCACACTTTACTTTGGTGAATATATAGCACACTTACTACTTTGGTGAACAGATATTGAACAGATATTGTAACACAGGTGAGCACACTTACTACTTTGGTGAACAGATATTGTAACACAGGTGAGCACACTTACTACTTTGGTGAACAGGCAAACATTACTTGTGAATTAACACATGACACAGTCAACCACACACATGTAATCTCAGGTAAACACATGTAAACACACTTGTGACATTGAGTGAACAGCTTAGAACATATGTAAACAGACAAACTCTTGTCAACAAACACAGGTAACCAAACACAGGTAAACACACACAATAGTTTTACACATGCTTGACCAGTAAACACCAACATGTCAGGTTAGCACCTGAATGAGACAAAAGCTAAAGGTTAATATTGTATCCTTTTTTTGCTGAATATATAGATTTTTTCCTGATGTAAATCTTCCTAAAGAAAACCAATGATTTTATGGCATTGCAGATAAATTTCACGACTTTGAGCAGACAAAAGTGAATGTCCAGGGTACTTTGAGTCAGCTTCAGTCAGACGTTGTGCCCAGTCAGACTCGCTTGAAGGTAGCATCAGCTCTCAAGTCACTCCTAAAGTAAGTTTCCATTATCATGTCACTCCTAAAGTAAGTTTCCATTATCATGTCACTCCTAAAGTAAGTTTCCATTATCATGTCACTCCTAAAGTAAGTTTCCATTATCATGTCACTCCTAAAGTAAGTCTCCATTATCACATTACTCCTGAAGTTAACATTTCCGACTTATTCCCAAAAACCCCTGAGCCAATTTCAAAGAAATTTTACAGAAACCAAAAAAGTGAATTATATGGTCACCAGCTCTCTGGGGGCCGAGGGACAGGGCTAAAAGAAGTCAAACTGACACAAGTTCCAGAAATCTTCCTCTCAACATCCAGATATGGCAGAATTAATTGCTGGCCATAGATGGAAGGGTCTTAAGGTGCTTTATGAAAATTGTGAATTTCACGGCCCTTGCTTGTGTAAATAGTATAAAAGCTTCCATTTTTTTATCAGAGTACAGAGCCTGGTTTGTGTAGATAATATTAAATCTTCTGTTGTTTGATCAGAGTGCAGGATCTTGCCCTACCAACACAGTCTGTGCTGGATGTATCTCACCTTGCAATCTGTCCAACTATTAATGGGCTGGTATCCCTAGAAGCCATCCTCAATCCTACCAGTGACATACAGCCATTTGTGGAGCAGTTGTGTGTCACAGAGAAACTCCTGGTAAGGCTGTCCTTATGTTTCCTCATGGAAAGTGTACTCATAAATATTCAAACGAGGTTTTAAATTTAATATGGTAGTTTGGAACAAATTGTTTGAAATTTCTTTAATTTGATAATTACTGCGAATTAAACTGGCATGATTGTCAAATTTTTACAAATTTATATTAATGAATAATTTCTCAAGTGATTTTGTGGTCTGAGAGAAAACAATAAACAGTTCAAATTATGTAACAAGTGTTAACACAAAATAAAATCCTATATCAGACTTTGTAAACGCTTTCTTTCACACAGAAATTGAATCGCTCCTACCTGTACTGTGAACTGTTTCGTGCCTGTTTTATGGGGCTCGTGGACTCTGCAGACAGCCAGGAGGAACTGAAGTGGGCAGCATTTACATATCTTAAGGTAGTGTGGCCTGTTGAAAAGGTTATATGTCAGTTTCAATGCCTTCCAATGTTTTGAGTTAATATAATATGGAAGTGTCTTTTTATTATTATTTTTTTTGCCCCACTCCCCTTCTATAGGTAACTGTCCTGTCCAGACTATGTCAATGTTTACCCACATTGTATCATAAAATCAAGTGTTCTACACCTAATCAGATTCTGGTTTGGATAAGAAAAGGAGAAATTCAATCTTCTAAACATTTTCTGGTTGTTCTGGAAAAAAAGGATATACCAGTTACTTTAATCTAAATTAACATCACAAAGATATACTGAAAGGAGAAATATTCTACCATACAAAAAAGTAACCTCATTACATTGTAGTGTAGTCAATATATGATAGATATTAAATAGAGTATGACAGAATAATTTGTATCGCTGGCAAAATTATGATATAATATTTTATGTCTTTGATTCCATTTTATGTAACAGCTACCACAGGTTCTACTGAAGTTTAATCAGCAGGCTCCCGGACAGGATTTTGGAAAGGAGCTAGAACAAGGGTTTGATCTTCTACTCAACTCTGTCCCTCTCTTAGACCTCACCGACGTCCGTCTCAAGTGAGTACATTATAGGCACAGTCCATCAGTCTTGTAATCAGAAACTCTTGTAAGTTCCTAAATTTATTTGAATTTATTTTTTTTTATGTTTATTTTACAGCTGTGAAGCTTTGCTACAACTGATTCATGTGTGTATGAAGTATGACCTGCTGTCACAGCCACAGATAGAGCGTCTACTCACTCGCAGGTACATATTAACATTAGAGGTGAAATAAATGATTATCTGAAAAGATAAAGCATTTTAACTAGAATAGAGACTTGAAATACTTAACACACATCTCATCAGCATGTTATCAGTGATTCTCTCTTTACCCTTGACTCCAGTCATTTAAAAAAAAATCCTGACATTTTTGTCAGTTTTGTCGAATTGATGTATATAATGTACTTAAATTGATTAACCAAGAGACATAGTAAAATTGAATGTTTATCATAATGTTTCTGTAATTTGTTTCATATTAGTGACATCTTGTCCTAATACAGTGTAATTGTACTGTAGTTTCATCCTCTTTTTCCTTTAAAAGTCAGTGTTTTTTCAACAGCAAGCACTTATTGGAATAGAAGGGTTGGTATTGTGATGTGAAAAACGTGGGTATTTGAAAGATGTTGTTGAAACTCGAGTTGAAATATGAATTCCTCTTTTAATACACAAGTCAGTGGAATATGGATTTATCTTAGGGCTGTTTGAGTAGAACATCTCCTTGACCCCAAGATTACAAAATAAATGACTTCAATCCATGATAAGATTTTCTATCTATTTATGCTTTATAAGTTATCATTAAAATTCTAAGGGTGGTACCCTGATCATAAACTGGAGTCCTTCTTTGTAAATTATCAATAGAATTCTATAAGTAGTACACCTAATTGTAACCTTGAGTACTTGGATGGGAAAGATGTTTTACTGGAAAACCCCTTATATTTATGCATTATCATCATTAGAAAGAGTATTTCTCATAATAAATTTGGCAGATATTTAAGTTTATGATGGGGCTGAAATATATTAAAGTTATGTAGGACCACATATCTAAGATGTTTTTCTTCTATTAATGTTGATGACAATTTGTCAACCATATATGATTTGAATTATATGCCAAGATTAATACTATCAGTACTTGTACTTTAGACGAAATGAATCGGCAAAACCAGCGAAGAATGCACAACCTTCCACTCAACCTAGCGCAAGTCTTATCCTGCGGGCAGAGAGCACCGTCACTAGTATACTCAAGGTAAACCCAAATAGATGGCGACATGGCTGTCTCGACGAGAAAGATGTTTTGATGTCCATATCCAGGAAATAGATGGTGAAGTTCAAAAGGGTAGCATGCCATCAATTATAGTGATATGCCTGGAATTCTGAAATATTGTTTTGTTTCTGAGATGCTCATTATACATTGTTGGTGTCTTCCATGCTTGCCCCTCGTAGATGTGACCATTTCATTGATACTTTTGATACTGCTGTAACTTAGTTCATGCTTCGGACAAAGAAATGGTATAACTTGAGCTGACTGCTTTTCATTACTTTAATAATAATGCAATTTGCTATTGTAACAGCTTCTGTTGTTTAAGTTTCATTTCATTTCTTATGATCTTAATTTTCAAATAATATTTCTTAGATTATATCTTTTAATTTCATTAACTCAAATTGAATTTTCAAATTGATGAAGCACATGTTGTTCAGAAGTTTTAAAATTGTGTAAGAAAATGTTTCTAGGTATTTCTTATTGTTTATGATTTAGAATTCAAAAACCAACTCTGATTCGGAAGATTTCATTATATGCTTCAATGAGGGAGATGCATTTTGTTTTAAAATCTTTCCTAAAAGATGTGTTTGGTTATGTATCATAAAAGTTACTAGTGAATGTATAAATAAAAAGTATGATAGCATTATCTAGTATTAATCTCTAATATTTTTATCGAACTGAAGTTAAATTATTAATCATGTTGAGTTTCATCTCCTAGACTAAAACAATATTCTATATTTTTGTATGCATAATAATTCCTTTTCTTTCCATCATTTGATTTTGGTATCTGCTCTCAGTGTTTGTGTGTATGTTTCAGCTCGAGCCTTACTGTAACCTCAACACTTTTGCTTGTGTAGAGTAAAAATTGACCAATCACAAAATCTGTAACATCACAATGCTCATCCAAACTTAATCAAATCATATGATATCTTGTAATTATCATCATGGCTTTTCAAATTCAAAGACATAATTTGTCGTGTTTAATTCACAAGTTTGATGTTTAATTTTGCCTTTTTAATAAAATTTCAATAACCAAGACCAATCTATCACATTTGGGCGTCACAAAGGTTTGTTAACCCTGATTTCAGTATAAGGAAATATATTTTCATGGTTGTACCATATAGCTGATTATATAAGGACAGCATCTTTACTTAAGCTTGTGTAGTTTTAAAATAATTAACTAACTTGTGAAAGAACTACCATATACAACAGTTATGTGATGTAATGATATGACCTGTAGGGAAACGCACCTGATTAATTTGCAAATCTCACAATCTCAGAAACACATGGATATATTATAATTCATTACAAATGATAACATTTAATAAATGGGTTTCTTATCTTCAAAGCCATCAGATAACAGAAGTCAAAAATCAGATTATCTTAAATTATTTTAAAAATAGTTATGAACTACTTACTTCTATAAGCAATCAAAAACTTACAAAGTAAAAATATCACTCTGACATGTGTCAGCAAATCTATAACTATAAATTGATAAAGGATTTTCACATTTTGTTTGATTCACATTTGAAAGTTTTCACTGACCGTTCGTTTGGTTATGTTTAGCCAGCCTTTGATCAACTGGGGCCAGATGGCTGTTTTTTTTCAAATCTTTGTCAGAATCCTGAAGACCTTTATCATATTTTGAATAAAACAAAAGATAACAGATCTCCCATTTCCTATCATGGCTACCAAATAAGACCCGAGATTTATTGTTTCTGTAAAGTCCCCAGAGTGTCGCATATAAAAGACTTCATTAATGAGAAGTGTTTATTGGTAAAATTGTAGTTCAACGATGGAGATAAAATACTTTGGCCAATTTACCATTGAATATGATGAAACTGATGATTGCTCATCAAGATATGTTACAAAAAATTTGATTGGTTCATGTGAATTGAGATCCCTCTGAAGTTTGTAAAACTAAATGTGATTGGTCAGTCTCTCTCTACTGCACCCTGTAGAAATGCTTGTTTGCAGTGAAGTCCATTCATTTTGTTTTCTTTCAGACTCTGGAAGATAAACTCCCTTATGGCAGATCCAGTAAAGACCCTCATGTAGGTTTAATATGTATTAACATTTATCAGGCCTACAGCCCAGCTTGGTTTGGAAAGGAGTAAAATATATGATTATTCTGAGGAAGGGCCCATAACCCAGTTTCCTCAGCAACAGGGCAAAAGAAAATGATAATGACATGGTGAAGACTATATTCCTGGTTTTGATTGGTGCAGAGGGATTTGAAAAACTCCCAAACCCATAAGTTAAATTGTCATTTTTCATATTTAATTGTTTATGAACAGTATTCCATTGGGTGTAGCTCATTAACGAAAATCACAAAATAGAGTTTATAATCTTAATTCACCCCACGGTATCCACATACCTCACTGTCATATTTCTAGGAAATCCAGGTTAATGTATACTTTTGTACATCTCTCCAAAATCACTAATGTTTTGACTGAAGTAAACAAAGTTTAAAGAATTTTTGTCTTGTTTACTACTCCGAGTAGTGACTTCCAATGATACTTAAAATACACATGTCACGAGTTTGTAGTTGAGAATTTACGCAAAAAAAAATCATTTGGTTTATTGTTATCATTTTCTAATATATATTATGAAAAGCTATTAGTGCTGGTACACTTCATAGCTAAATGAAATCCTACTTATAGTCAGGTGGTTGGTATACTTCTGTCCATTTCTGATACCTGATAAACTCAAATTTGAGTCATGCAATATAATATGATATAAGATTGCATAAGATGGTGTAGGAAAAGAAAAAGAAGAAAAACGAGGATTGGAGAGGAGATAATGAAGCTTTTATGATAGGTTGAACTGGGGTTTCTGTTTTATACTTGTTGTTTTCATAGTAATTTTTGCTGTAATTAAATTAATAAAATAATTGGTTTAAATTCACTTCATCACTAATATATAAATTCTGCCAGACTGATTTTAATTTCATTATGTCGTTATTTATGTGTTTAAATTTTCACCTACACAGTATAATATCCAACTAAGTGGTACAAATTACTCCCGAGTGTACAGTTTGTTCTAAGTGATATGGTAGTGGTGAATCCTAATGTCCTGAATTGATTAAGAAATATATGGTGATGTGATTGTAAGCCAGATCAATACCTACTTAACACCATCAGATTGAAATAGTCAGAATGTGTTTACCATATAAGGTGTTAAATTTAAAGATTTCAATTCAACACAGATTTAAACATCTGAAGTTGCCTGGTGTTAATTGTCATGTATAAATAAAACATGTTTTAGATTATTTGCAAAAAATTTCTCTTGGTATGCTTTACCGTTGTGTATAGACATGGTAAGTGTCTAAAATGCCTGAAATAGATGTTCAAGTATTCTCTTAACCTGGATAGGTAAATCCACACTTTTAACTGGTGTGAGATTTTCCTGTGTCACCTTAGGGTTGAGATGCATGGATTCCCATGTCAGGACGATGATACATGTTTGACGTCCGGTAACAATTAACTGACATCTCGTCAACAATTAAATCATGTCTACAATGCGAAGCATTGGGACAACGAAAACACTAGTACGAAATAAAACCAGCAGGATAAGAGAAAAATAATCATTCACCCCCTTGTCTGTAAGGTAGGGTAATCTCAAACCCCTGGAAAAGATTTTTAAGTTGCAAATTATGGTAAAGCTTCTTGTTTCCCTACTTAATAATCTTTTTCTCTCCTATTGAGATCCACCTATTTCACTGCCAAGAGGGTCAAAGGTTCTATTATTCTCCTATATTTCAATTTGTAGTTTTCTATTGTGTTTCCTTTTCTTTTTTTAATTTCTGCATGTACATATGCTAGCTTGATTGTAATCCTGTATAAAAACTCTGATTCACATAATTACATATTCCTTGCATAAACCCTTAAAGTAGGAAATAAACTATGACCTTTAACCTCGTCTAACTTAACACCGTTATAAGTAAGAAATATTTATAAAATGTTTTGTTGATGGAACAGAAAACAAATATAATATAATTATTGACTAATAATGAAAATTAATGTATAAAGAAACTATGTACATCAGTATATATACAAAGTATATTTTTTATGAGAAGTTGAAGATGACATAGAGTGGGAAGTCCCATGTGATGGATGCCATTACTTCTTTGTAGTTGTGTTTGTATGAACATAAATTAACTGTAGTAATTTGAATATAGATTGGTTACATCTGTATTGTATGAAGATGGCTTCATTTAAAATGTATGAATGTTATTGTGTTTTTGTATCTGTTATAACTAGGATTTGATGTAAGAAATATTCGTGAATGTATTTTCTTTTATGTTTAGGCTGATGTTAATATTGTTCAAATTCACAGTATGCTTTTTTCTGATTACTGTTGGAATTAACCTGCTTTAAATGTGTGTTACACAGACACTGGACGCTGACTGTTCTAAAAACCAGGATGCACTGATGGGTGTGCTATGTCAGATGTTATCAGGGAAGAGTTTTGAACTCATCTTAGCTGCAGCTGCTGCAACTGGAGAGTTGCAAAGTTTCGCAACCAAACTCATCAAGTAGGTTAAACTTAAGTTACTTAAGTTACCTTGATTGCAATTGTATTTGATAAAAATTGGGGATATTGAACATTTTATTTTATAAGTATTGTGGAAAATAGAAATTAAATCCTTGAAAAGAGGGACAACTCTTATTAGTATGGAATAGATAAAAGTTAAAATAAAGTTGTCTGTACATATCCTAAAGATAGAAAATATTTTCAGCATAGCAATCTTGTTTATAAACCAGTTTTGGGATCATTCTCTAATTGAAAAGTATAGTCAGGTGAAATGCTCTAATGTATACCTCTTAAAAAAGCTAGTTAATAAAAGGTTGTAGTTCAGTCTAGAAATAAGTAAATTGGTTGAGAAATATTTAAAGTCTCTATTTTAATTGCAAGATTGTGTTTGAAAAAGTATTGAAATAGGTTTGTGTACTGCCAAGAATAACTTCTTTAAACAGCTGTTTTATTCTCCCTACCTAGAAAAATGTGAAAATATGAAAGCCAGTTACCATATTTATGTTAACTCCCCACAAATGAAATGTATGTATTTGATGAAGTGTCATATGTTGTTTGTTTACTTGTAGGATTAATGAGTTTGCAAAGCAGACCCAAGGTGAAGCTGGGAAGGCAGCACAGACTCGTGTCCTGTTATTTGACATCTCCTTTCTCATGCTCTGTCACATCACTCAGCTCCACGGCATAGAGGTATCAATAATATACTTTAAACAGTCTCATCTTCATATTCTCATTCACTCATGCCCCTTTTAAACAGTTTTTTAGGCATTTCAGTCTTTGAGGGACTTTGATCAAACATCACACTCTAACAAAGTACCATAATATATCCTGGATAAGTTTTAGTTTTCATGATTTTTAGGATAAAGAAAAGGTCGCTTTCTGTTCCCGGAAAAGGTTTTTTTTGTCTTCTCATTTCCATGTTTGTTTTGAATTTTTTTAAATCAAGTATTATTTTTCATTATATCTAGTATATGGTTAACATCACGTTAGTTTTGTATTGTCTTCATCATTTCAATGTCCAAATATTACATATTTCATAATTAATGGGGAAAAATACTTTTATGGATAAATATTAACATCTTGTATCTGATATTTAGTATTTTGAGCTACATAATCTATACGTCATCCCTTCGTAAGACTGGAGCAGATTTTTTCACAGATGATATCGGTGTCGCCGGAGTACGCTGACTCTTTCTTCATTCAATGGGCCCAGCGGTGTCTCCCTGAAGATGGACGATACAAATGTGTGGACAATTACAGTGGGACTGACCAAGCAAAAGTTGACCTCCTTCTCAGCCAGCTTACAAGAGGTGATGAGATCAAACAGAGGTCAGTAGAGAGGTCAAATATGTTTAGATCAAACATTGTGTATACTTAAGTTCAGCAGAGGTCAATATAGTGGTCAAATTTGGGTTAAAGTTGAATATCATGTAAGTGAATATGAAAGTCAAACAAATGAAAGGATTGTCAAAAGAGAAATGTTTGAATGTCCCATTTTGGTCTTTAACATGCTGTCTTCTGTACAAACTATGGGTGTCCGCTCCTGGGATGAGAGAGACTGGGCCAAAGAGAGGAAATAGAGAAAATGCTTAGAAATCCTTTTTCTGTAGGAATGCCTGAATATTGTCCTAGTTTGATGTGAAGCAAGCTTGGGTAAAGGGGAATCAATTTTGTATAAACGATGGGTTTTGACCCCCTGGAGTGAGATGGGCAGGGCCCAATGGGAGAAATAATGAAAATTCCTTAAAATCCTTCTGTAGAGATATCAGGATTCTGTCCTGATTGGGTAAGAAGCATGATCCTCAGATATGGGATCAAATAGTGGATAAAGAATTCTCTAAAATCCTTCTTTTGTGAGAATGCCTTTATTCTATACAGATTTGATCTGAAGCATGCTTAGTTGACAGAAACCTGATTTAGTAACAACAAGGAGTCTGACATCAGAGATGTAGGGTCCAATAGGGGAAATGCGAGTTCTTAAAAATCTTTCTTCTGTACAAGGATATTGCCCAAGTTTGGTCTAAAGCTATTCTTATTAATTGTAAACTTGATTTCTGTTTGACCAGTAGGCTGGGACTCGCTAGAGTGTTTATTTTGTCGTATTTGAATTTTTTGTTAAATAATGCAGATCACTTATATTTCTCATGTGATTTAGTTTCCTGTTCATACCAGGGCAGAGTCAATCACGATTTCAAATCCTTCGCAATTATTTGTATGAAAATAACTCTGGATGGTGGTTACTGATATAATAGTCTTGTATAGTTTTAGTCTCTAATAGCTTATCATTTGCGAATTTAAAGTTATTTCTAGATCAGGTTTCGTGAAATCATGTATTCATGAATATGTCAAATTTGGAAAGTTGATGAAATTAAGTATTGATGAAATCAAAGCAATTTACAGTAGCTGAATTAACCAGAAGAATGATGCAGGTCCGTGGGCATCTTGTTCTGTCTTCGAGGGTGGATTTATACTGCAAATTATGGTTAAATTGAAACTCAAATAATTCAAGGAAAGCTATCGTCCATTACATGATTTTTTTTTTTTCACGGTTATAGTAAAACCCATGAAAAATTGAGCCATTATTTCAGTACAAAGCTTGAATTAGATACAATACAGCCTAACTTGAACTAAACAGCATCATACAACTGTTTGGTCCTTCTGGGACTCTGTGATGCTGTGGATTAAAAATTGGTTAGAGGTGGCTGGAGAAAATAAAAACTGAGCCAAAATTTATTTCAAATATGTATATGTAAAATTTCAGATAGGGTGGTCTGTAGTATCTGAGCTGATCAGGTCATCGTAGATTCAAATGTATTAGTTTGAATGAGACAAAAATTGCTCAAGTGTCAGTCGGATGATCAGGAAATAGAATAAGGAATGGATTCAAAGTTCAGGCAGTGGTCTTAATGAGGAATTATAGGGGAGTTAATATGGAGGTCAAGCATATCAGTATGTCAAAAGGGATCAGTTTGAATGTCAGTGAGGCATCATTATAAACGTCATTTGGTGATCAATTTCAAGGTCAGACTTTGATCAATTTGAGAATAGAAATTGTCATCGGTCAATATTAATGTCATACAAGGTTTGATGTGAAGGTCAAGGAATGGTTAGTTTATTGTATTGTGTAAAAACATTCAAACAAGACAGTATGAAGGTTGATAAAAAATGTATACATTTAACAGTCATTTTGATATCAGACACATTCATAAGAGGGATCAAAATTGAATCAAATGAATCCCACTTGGACTAGCATTAAAATGAAAACAAGATGTATGGTGTTTCAGTTTAACAAGATGGCATGAAATCTGCCTGAATGCTCCATTTGCCATACAAGAAGTGTTATTTGCCTGGGAGCATGGAGCTTTGGGATCAGATAATGTCAAGGTGAGTCTTTTTATTTATTCAATGGAAACTTACTAAGACATGCTTTCTCAACAATAACACAGCAATGTCCTTGGGAATCTGTTAACAGTTAAAACCCTTATATGTTTTTATCAGTGTTGGAAAAGAAGAACAAGATTAATTTGTTTACCATTTCTAATCAAATCTATTTTGGCATTGACTTCCGAATGGAAAATTCAAAACCCTTTTATGTAAAAAGGAAAAAGAAAGTGGATTTTATCAAATTTTGACTCCTCTTTCACGATTGAAATTGCTGATTGCACAAATACTTGGTTTTTGATAACAAAGTTAAGAGAAGATTATTTTTAATGTTTGTCTAGGTTATTTTAGAGAGGAGTCAGAGTCGTATGTGTAGTATACCTGTAGTGATGTCTGCCTGGCTGTGTAGCTATATGAATACCGTTGGAGATGATGCAAGGGAGAAACCTTTACAGATGCTGCAGAGGCTTCAGGTCAAGATAAGTTCACCTGACCCAGAAATCTACTATGTAGAGAGGTAAGTTCTAGATTTAGTTTGACAATTTGCAGTTCAAGATAATATATTTGTGTATATAACAATGTAAAATATGACACAACTTTGTTTCGGTTTATAATATGAGATACTGGAAAAGGTTTCTATGCCCTCACCGTTGTATTGGGGAACAGATAGTTTTATATGTGTCTGTCTCATCCCATTGCATCACATTCAGCTTTTAAAGATCAAATAAAACCCAGTAATAAAGGGTCCTCCAGATCTTATCTACTTCCATAGTAACACCATAAATGCTAGTTCCTACTTCTGAGTTTGTAATATAATTGACACGTAAACATTGATGTGGAATTAAGTTTCTGCTCAATTTAGAAAAGATTGCAAAAAGGGTGACATTTTCGATTATTGATTCCTATCTTTCTAGATCACATTTGATGGGAATCATACTTAGAAAGATGGTAAATGATATTCTACCAACACATCTGAAGGACATGTCCATGCAGTTTATCCCTCCTAATGCCATACCTAGTGAAGTGATGGAGAAATGCTTACAAGGAGTAATGGCCAAGGGCTGGATAGATCTGAGGAGTGTACACACCCTGGAACAACTTCTCAACCTGTGTGGCTCAGACTGGTTCTGTGATCGAGCAATTATGGTATGTTACTGAGGAGTAAGTCAAGGTTGGGACAGGGTAAATGATGTAGGGTACTAATAAGGCTGTTTTTTCAAGAGCTATCATTTTTAATAATTTTCTTTTTTTTAGAGGATTGCCATTAACAATCATATCACCAAGATACCTAAAAATGCAAATTTTTATTTCTGTAAAATCAAAAAAGTTAATTCAAAGGATAATATACCGTATAGCTAGTCATTTTTGCAGGTCGAAATTTCTACAATTTTCTTTTAAAACAATGATTATATTTTACTGAATCACATTTTTGCACTGAAAATGTAAATAGACATCTTATATACACATGTCCCATTTTTCCATTGCCTAAATTTTTGAGATGACATTTATGTACTGCAAAATAAGAAAATTGTCATCCCGTGTTATAACCAGCTGTACAGTAATTGTAATAACTTATTTGTGTACCATATCAGGTTTGTAAGACACAAGGATATATAAGCTGCAGGGCCAGTTTTTAGCGATTTTTTTTACATTTCATCCACATATAAGCCGCACTGGATTATAAGCCACACCCTTTCTTGCGATATGGTGACTGCTTTAACGGTAATGGATATTAGAAGGCAGTTCTAGCAAAGCGGTAACTGTTACGTTGACCAAAGTTTGTTGATATGACAGACAGTGAAGGGAATTTATCAAGACCATCAGTGAAATATATGATAAAGTTTGCACAGTTAATCCCATATTTTAATGATGTTTTTCAAAGAAACACAAAATAGCAAATATCAAATTTGTGTGGCTTTGGTGCTTTCACAGATTGTCTATGCACAGATATAGGGCCTGACATTCCTAGGGTTTATGAAACAAATTGTCTGTGTACCATTAAACACAGCCAAATTCTTATCGTCCAATATTATTTCTTCTTGTAAGTTACATGAAGCCTTTCATATCATAAAAAAGCATGGTGGTCTTTCTAGAATTTGACCTAAAACCCAATGATCTATTCATCCAAGGATACAAAAGGCTATTGTAAACTTCTGCTATGGCTTTGAAGAAAAGAAGATAGTATTGTGGTTCATTTTAAAAAGGTAAAATCAATCAAATCCATGAGAATATTATCAAATGACGATTCTAGACGATCTGTCACAAATGTGATGGGCAGGTAGTCATAAAAAACTCAGTATCGTCTTGTACTGGTGTACTGGTATGTTTCGTGGTTTTTTTTTCTTATTTTTAATCCTGCCAGTTTTTTTTTTGCATCCAAATATAAGTTGCACTGGTATATAAGCTGAAAGCCTGACTCAAAAGGAAAAAAAGTGTGGCTTATAATCAGGAAAAGACGATATATATTTGCTGCTGTACACTGATGTAAATTATTCAAGAAACAGTCAAAATGGTTTTGATATAATCCAAGTAATTTTGTAAATAAGAAACGGAATGAAAACAATAGCAGAATTTGTTTTATATCTTCTTCTACAGCACATGTTGAACAGCAGTCGACTTGAGGACTTGACCCAGGCACTCAGCCTCCTGTTTGCCGTGTTTCACTTAGACTTGGAGCACATCACACTGAGCTTACTTCTCCACACGGTACCTAAATTACTGCAGTCTGCTGACAAACAGCAATTCCTGACTGACCCGCGGGGTTATGTCCTAGCCAAGACCTGTGTCCTGTGTATTGTGGCTGCACAGACTGCACGCAGTGTAGCAAGCAAAGGTAAGCTGGTCTTTTCAGGTCATATTTACAAGTTTTTATAGAATAATATTTCTGTGTTAAACATAGTGTGAACAAATAAGCAGAAACGTTGTTAGTTGTTCTGATGTGGATCATCTAAAATATCTAATAAAGACACCTTTTCACAGGTAAAAAAAACCCCTGCAACTATAAGAATGGAATAGTTTTGATTTTCATGAGTTATGTTTTCTCCTACAGCATCCATGTCCCATATAAGGCGAGGTTACAACAAACGGTCACGGAAGGAGATGGAGCTAGAGGTATGACGGAAAGGATTTCTAGTGACGGGAGGTTTTGATGTATTAGTGTTTCTTGAGGAAGACAACTTCTACTATACTTATATATTTACCTGTAAAAGGCAACAGTAATGTTGTAGAGAAATATAAAATCTCTCTATGTCGACCTGGGTAGATGTTTGGAGTATTTTTTTATTGGTAGGAAACTTTTGTACACCAAAGAAGTCCCACTCTCTTGCATAATATGCATTGAGTTTTTCTTGCATGATCTGTGATAGATGCTGATTGGCTAAGAAAATTCAAGCATACCATTGTGTTCACTGGTAATCTCTTTATTTGCAAAGTAGATGTTTATCCAAGTTCAGGCTTGTACTTAACTTTGTAAGTTTTTTAATGCTGCATTAGATATTGTTTGAACTGGTAAATAATTGAGAAAGGATTGCTCAATGATTAATACCATAATGTTTCCTATTATAAACAGAGCCTGGATGAACAAGATACTCGCCCATTGAAGAGAATGAAGACCATGGAACCGCAGCTGACTCTAGACTCGGAAGGATTTAATCTTGGTAACACGTAATTACTGTATATCCCACATATTTTTGGAAACAATATATTTTGTAAACAAAGCCAGAATTTGGTGAAAATCCTGTAACTGAACAGAAGAAGGGGGATTCTGAAGATTTGCTTCAATTTTACCCATTAGACCCTGTCTTCTGTCCCTAATGATAGTATCCTGGCTATGGTTAGATCCTTGCAGGAGGCACTTTATGGATTTTGAAAAACCTGGGATTATGGGCCATCGTCGCTGCCATGGTTTTGTTCTTGGACAAGACACTTTACCTCAGTTACTTTTGAGAACATGTCAGCTACCAGCTATAGCAAGGAGGCTCTTACCTTCAAATGATCCTGGCTAATCACAGGGCAAGAAGCCAAACAATCAAACATGACAAAACTCTCTGTTTAAAATTGAAACTCTTTCATGAAAGAATTCTGCAGACAATGTTTAGTCAAAATCTATTTTGTAGATATATGTCTCTTTTTCTTCTGTTTAGTGATGATTCCTTTGCCAAAAACATGGAATTATACCTTCCATTTATTCTAAACCCTTTCCCCAATCAGTCCAGAATGCTTTCAACCAAATTTCGTCTAAATTTATTCAGGCATATTAAATGAAAACTTGAAAGAAAAAGTTTACACTCCTTTGGTAGATATATAGACACCTAAACTCACCAATCCTTTGGATTAGGTGTGTCAAAAAACAACTAGCTGACTTTTGTTTGCCAATTTAATTGTGTCTAAAATGTACATACATAATCAAACTCATTTTTCAACTTTCTTTCAGATTTTCTAACTGCTAAGGACGATGGGGAAGCATCCCCTATCATAGATACAAAAGATCCACTGAACAAGGCATTAGGTAAGTCATAACAAGTGTGGTGTGTTTGAGGTTAATATAAATAGATGAATTTGAGAACCTCTTAACAGATTTAGTTCACGTTTACTGCACAATACCATAACATCAAGGCATACTCCTTACCATACTTGGGTAGTCATTGGTTAAAATTAATGAGTCAATTCATAGGAAGACTTCAAATTCCTCAATGATACTTACATGCATCAAAGTGGGGGCATTGTATTTATATAGACATTTTCTAGTTTATTCTGACTCCTACTACAGCTCCTCTTCTCATCAACATCCTTAAGTTCCTCTTCTCTTCAACAAGTTATTGTTATACATAAGCGATATTTCGTACAATTGTTAGAACCAAAAGAAGTGCATTTATAAGTATGGGAAAGAGGCAGTCTTTATGTTTGGATATGCAATAGGAAACATTAAGGAAACATTACCTTGAGATGATAAAGTATTCTATTTCTTTTAAAATCACTTACATTTTTATACTAATTGACCATTAACTTTTCATCCTGAAAAGAAAAACTTTTTTCCCAGGAACCAGGCAGATTATTGAAGTGAAATAAAACCATAAGTTTTATGATGAAAACTATTTATTAGTTGCCTTTAAGTCATGGTTTTGTTTTGCAGCTAACTTAATGCGACTGATGAATGCCATTGCCCATAGTGCTACCATAAGTCAAAGAACCAGCTTCATTGTTGCATTCATAGAGGAAAGCATTAAATGTGGAGGACAGTATTCACAGTTCATCCTACAGTTTATACCTCCACAAATGGTGAGTCGTGATATATACCTCCAGATAACAGGTTGTGCTAAATCTTCAGATAACAGGTTATGAGCAGTGGTGTATTTCAGGCATCATTCATTGTTACCATTCCCCATCATGTTAGTATATCTTGAGAAATATTATATATCTGTTTAAATTTTCTGGCATAATTAGTTTAAATTTTCTCACATGAATTACGCTGCTAGAATTTTATTTATGTTTTACCAATTTTTGAAAAATTCTGTTTTTTTTTTATTTTTGAATTTTTATATTTTCTTTTGATTTTATTGGATTTCTGTAAGAATTTGTAAGAATAGTTGTTGAGTATCACAACATCTATGAAGCAAAAATATTAGTTCACTTCTTCAAAGTGGCTATGTAATATAAATTTCTGTATCAAAAGAATGTTGGTAAAGAATTGGTGGAGAGAACGGAGAGCGTTGATTGGGGTGATGGAACCCAAGCGAAAAAATGTCACCTTATTAACCAACATTTGAAGTTTGATTATTCTAAAGACTTCCCTGTTGCTGTTAATCAATGAAAGATACTTACACAAGATGCGGCTTTTGTAATTGTGACTTTGCCGTTTCACAAGGCAGAGAATATGAATATATGAAAAAATAAAAAACTAAGAAACATTGACAGAACAAAACTTTGACATAAGCTTCACAAAAATGGAGCCAAAAGCAGAATTCATACTTGGAAGATTGTCAGCAGTTTGGGGCCTGCGACTTCCAGATATTCCTACTTCATGTTATTACTCTTTATCAAAACTGAATGTTGGCAGGTCTGCATAGTATCTACATCATTTTCTACACCATAGATCAGGGTTATTAGTTAAAGGTTTAAGGGTTAACGGTGACATTCGACAATTTTTGTAAACCATGGTATATTCTCTGTGATGCTGTAGATGAATAATTGTTTATATACTTTTCCTTCATTACCAGCTGTCTCAGATCATGAAGAGTATCCCAGGTGTGTTCAACAACCAGCAGATTGTCCACATCTGTGATCTTGCCAACCCAACTGGTCGCAAAGTGGCGGCAAAGTGTGTCTGTCAGAACTCAAAAATCCGATCAGAATGAGGTGACCGACTTGGGCTAATGCAAGACCAAAGTGACGCTGCAAACTGCAGTAAAAGTGAGGCATCAATCTCTTTCCAGTGGACCCTAATGATTCCAACTTTAATGTAAACAAAAGTGAAAGTGAAACCACATGTGTGTACTTGTTCAAGCCTGGGTAAAACAACTTTCATGCTGATCTGGACTGAGGTTTATTACTAAACAGTTAGAGTGTATCTTCTCTTCCCCTGGAAAAGAATATTCATGCATTTAGAAGTGTGAGATTTCCTTGTGTCTACCAAGGGTTGAGATGAGAATTCAAAACTATGCCATTACACCAACAATTCAAAACATGAGGACAACAAAATCTCCTAGAAAGCCAGCAAAGTGAAAGGGAAGTAACCATTCTCCCTCTGTTGGAAGATAAAGGGTTGTTTACCCTCAGAGGAAAGATTATAAACTTTATTTCTCAGACCTGAGTGAGGCTACATCATCATGGACCAAAGTGAGGCTACATCATCATGGACCAAAGTGAGGCTACAGGATCTCAGACAGATTAATTGCACATTATTTCAGGCCAGAGTGAGGCTATATAATCTCAGACCAAAGTGAGACTATATAATCTCATACAAGTATGTGACCAATCAGAGTGACACTAAGTTAACTTAGTCCAGAGTGAGACTAAATAATCTCAGACCAGAATGAGGCTTCATCATCATGGACCAAAGTGAGACTACAGGGTCTCAGACAGATTAATTGCACATTATTTCAGGCCAGAGTGAGACTATATAATCCCATACAAGAGCGAGACTAAATAATCTCAGATCAGTGTGAGACTATATAATCTCAGACCAGAGTGAGACTATATAATCTCAGACCAAAGTGAGACTATATAATCTCAGGCCAAAGTGAGACTATATAATCTCACACCAGAGTAAGACTATGTAATCTGAGACCAATGTGATGCTGTATCATCTGAGGCCAGACAGAGGCTGTGTAATCTGAGGCCAGACAGAGGCTGTGTAATCTCAGACCAAAGTCTGTCTATATATTCTCAGACCCGAGCAATGCAGTGTAATCTCAGATTGAAGAGAAGCTGACAGCTTTAGCAGAGCCTTGGTGATGGCCAATAGATATCAGATTTGATTTAATCTACTTAAGCACCTACAGCTTAGAGTGTCACTCTAGATTGAATATTGCACAACTGAACCTGACAAACAGGATATTTCAAGGTCTTAAGGAATAATCCTGGAACTTTAGGAGATTTCTCTTGTCACTGTTAAGACAATGTCAGTGAAAGTTTGAAAGCCTTTGATTTTTATAAAAAAATTATCAAAATCCAAAATGCAGAATGAATTTTGTAAGTGGATTGAAAGTGCTTTAAATTGTGAAAGTTTTCTGTTATTGATCAGCTCTGATTTGAAGTTGTAGTAGATGTATGACATTAAAAAGTAGTTAATTGCTACTATTACACATACCCACTCATATCTTGATTTTTTTTATATTGTAATCTTGTCTAAAAATACTTTAAATCCTTAAAACCACAAAACTAACTTTCAAAAAATTATTTTGCATAGGTTTGCATTATGATCGATATCAGAAAATAATTTTACCAGAGAATCGGATATATTTGCAGCAAAATGGATGTGGATATTTTTTTTCACATTGATTCAGAAAGATTGCATTGCAGTTAGGTTTATATAACAAATAAAACTACATGTGTAGTGATGTAACAGTTGTGTAGGGCCATTCACACATGTGTTTTGTATTGGTAGTCTTTGTAAAGATTATCTTTGAATATTAATGACATGCAAATTAATGAATATTAATGACATGTAAATCAATGAATATTAATGACATGTAAATCAATAAAGCATTGATAAAATTGTAAAAGAACATTTGTGTTTCTGATTTTTCTATATATATATACAGTCCTGTCTGTCACACTTCTTTGGCATTAATCATTTATCTGGCTATATGTCATTCTTGACATGTGCCTTTTTGTTTTTTCTTCCCATTTATTCGATAACTTCTTCATAACTTACAGTAAGATTCTGTCTTATTCTTGCACTCTGTCCTCATCCATAAATATATATATAAAAAAAACCTACTGTACTTTATTAGGAATGTCAAGATTCAGTCCCAATTCGGTTTTAAACAATGGGTCTGTGTGCCAAAGAACAAGGAATGAGGCCCAATAGGTGAAGATTAGGTCTTGGCCCTCAGGGGCAGGGCCTAAAAGGGAACATAGAGAAAATTCTTTTGAACCCTTTGCTTTTTTAGGAATGTTAGGATTTTGCCCCAATTTGATCTGAAACCTCCAAGGGTGAACGGGAATCAGTTTTGTATTCATGGTTTTTCTCAGTCCCCTGGAACAAGAAGGTCAGGGGAAATATTAAAAATCTTTCCTCAGTTGGAATGTCTGGATCCTGCCTTAATAAGACCTGAAACATCCACGGTTAAAGCAGAATCAATTTTGTATAAACAGTGGGTCTGACCGACCAGGGGTCGGAGAAGTGGGGCCCAATAGGAGATATAGAACGTATTTATCAAATTTTTTCTTTAGTTGGAATGACAGATTCTGTCCTTATTTGGACTGAAACATGTTCAGGCGAAGGAGGCTTTTGAATAAATGGTTTGGCAGATCCCATGGCGAGGAGCGGAGCCAAATTGGGAAATAGATATTCCTTTAGTTTGGAAGTAGTAAATTCAGTCAAACAAAGATTAATGAGCAATACAACCACTGTAAGCTTTTTGCTTTCAAACTTTTCAAGTATCATTACTTTTTTCGTCCATAACTTTATCATGAATGATTGTAAGAACCTGTTTCTCTTTAATTTTGAATTGAATGGTTTTGTTAATGGTTAGATATTCTGTTATTTACCTTACTGCAACGTCTTTCATATTGTGGACTTTTTACGTCACTTCCTGTCTAAGATCTGTCCATCATCTAGCATGCAATATTGCTTTTGTTTGCAGATATGTATAATGGTATCGCCATTAGCATGTTGAAACAAAACTTAATCTTTGAAGGTGAAAGGTGGCTTATTTTCGAATTGATATTCGTGTTCCATTCTGGTTTTTTGTTTCACAACAATACAGCCAAACCTGTTTGTAAAGGCCATGAAAGGGAGCAGAGTAAATGTGACCTCTATTGAGGTGGCCTTAATACAGAGGTTCAATTGCTTATAATTGTATTACATAACCAAAACAAGTGTCCTTTATAAAGATATGACGTTTAGGGTGGTTTAACTTTACTTGCAAATTGATCTGCATTTCTGTTCAAATAGTAAACATGACATGAAATCATATTTTTCCTTACTGCAGTTAGAATCGATGTTTCTCTCCATGGTCTGAATTTGTCGACATGTCTATTTTTCTCGATTCATATTTTATTATTGTACTTGGTAGGTTTATGAACATGACATGAAATGGTGTAATTTGTGAACAACATACTGATTAGCCAATTTTGGAGGAGCCTTTGTCCTTTCAGCATTACAACCTTGTCCGGAGATGATCAGTTTTCAATGCTATATTCTCCATGACACGAAATAATGGTTTGATTCAATGATTTTCTGATGTATTATTGCCTTTTGTTTTATCAGCATTTTATTTTTTCTAGCGGCCTTTTGATTCAGATTTAATTGTTTTTAGGGTCAGGATGACCTATAGCCATCGTGTTTCATCTATGGTCGTGCTCCGTGTTCAGACTTTACATTCAAAAGGCCCAGGTGCTGATGTTGGGCCTCTAGCATGCTGGTATGAAGGGCCATCCAGTTTATGCATATTTTTACCTTGACCCCCTCTCAAGGTTACATGAGTCTAATATATCAAAATTTTTAATTTGTTTCTTCTCAATAACCAACATGACCATGGTGCTGCTATTTGGCCTATACCTTGCTGGGATAAAGGATTAACAAGTTTTTTAAAATGAGTTATTTTGACCATTTTTCAAGGTCACTGGGGTAAAAAATGTAGATACGTTAAACGATTTCTTCTCAATAACCAAAAAGGCAAGGTTACTGATATTGGTCCGTTGGCACGCTGGGGTGACGGGTTGCCAATTTTGTTCACGTGATTAATCTTGTCTACAGGGCTACAGGGGTCAAATGTATTAAAAACTCCGAATGAATCATCAGTAACCAAAAGGGCCTGGTTGTCAATATTTGTTATCTGACATAATGGGAAGAAGGGCTACCAAGGGGTGGGGTGTGTGTGTGTGTGTGTTGGGGAGTCATGGTATTTATGTAGTAGCATGTATAAGGAACAGGATTTTAAATGTACAGAAATAGACTTATATGAATCGACAACGTCTTCTTTGTAAGCTGTAGGGTAGTTGAGTAATTGAGGCCTATTTGGCCTTTATCATTTATAGGTCGTTATAGTCAAATGACCGTTAAAGCTTATGGACCTCTTGTTATGGGACAATTATTGTTTCATTCTCAAATCAATATTCATTTTGATGTAAGTCTTTTTAGGTACATTGTTCCTCCAATGGTACTCATCTTAACTGAACGTAATGTTCACGTGCTGCAATGCATGATCGGTCGATTTGGTTAGTGTTCAATAGCTGGATCTCTTAGCCGGAAATTAAACGTGTCCGTTCATCATAGACGGTATTAGATTCCAGCTATAGGCAAATATACAGTGTACTTTTGATAACTGTCAATAAATCATACGTTTTGTAACAGGCTAGTGGTCGAATATTAACTTAAAGAAGTTGAGAAGCATCCCTTAAAGTTACTCGTCACATTAAGAGATCACCCCAATAAGCAAAAAAAAAAAAAAAAAAAAATCATTCCATAAATCACAGTAGCTCTGTGAGATAAAATTGTATTCTGCCATGTACAAGTGATTTCATTTTGAAAATTCCTTTACAAAAATATGAATATTATTCTCAATATAAGTCTGAAAAATATCACCGAGACACAATTCTAAACGTCTTCTAGTCGTAAAAATATAGGTTTCTGGATATAGAATAGTTTTTATAAATATTTCTTTCACACCATCAGAGCTATTAGCCTCGACAACTTTTGGTTCAAAATCGATTCCATATAAACGCGATCTCGGACAGAAATATAACTATACGTTTGATGCAGTGTAAGTGTTTCGTCTCCTCAGCAAATCTTATTATCGCATGAAAGTGGCACAATGTTTTTGTATTTGAAACGGATTTATCTTCATTCTCCTGAATTTCGTTGACTGCACGCACACACACAAAATCATTCTTAAACTTTCATGTTTCAAAAATTGAAATACTCATCTGTTATGAAATAAAGTGAAAGTGAATTGATAGTTATAGCAATTGTATTTGACAGATAGTTCGATATCTTGATGAAGTCAAGACACACTGCTAGACAAGGAGTCAGACCACAAACTCCAAACACATGCAGGTTAATATTATTTTTTAAACAGTTCTGTTCAAAATCTTAGTGTAGAATAAGGAGATCGGAGAGATTGCCTAAACTGCCTCACGTCAACAGAACGCCATTTTGTCTATATCTCCTACATGTAACTTACCTCATCATTAGAATGTGACACGCTCGAATGACGACTTTCTTTTACTCCAGGGGAACGACTTTGAGCTGAAGATGTCGCCCGTGCTCAGTGGCTATCACGTATGGAATGACTTTCATTTTCTAAAAAAAAACCTTTACAGACTAATTATGAAGAAATTTGAAATCGCCTTCTCAGTTTATGCAATTCATATTTAGCATGTAGCTACCCATTAGTTTTACCCACTAGATTTTCTCGAATGAATGACAATGACCTTTCTTGTGCATATTTTAGTCTTTACATCACACAACTAATTCAGGAACGACTTTTTGTCTGGAGCCAACTTTTGCTGTGAAGAGATAACTCATCTGAAATCTTTCAATAAAGATTCAGAAGGTATGGAAATATTGACAGAATTTGCACGGAAACAGACGAGTGTTGTTACATTTTTTATAAATGACCTGGGAGTATAGCGCTGGCCTTGACCGTGCGTGTCTGTACTTTGTTATTCTGTTTCCAATTTCTAACGGATGGAAATATTGAATTGCAATATTGCAGACTTATTTTCCCCATTAGAGCCATGTTACGACCATTTAAATTCAATTTTTATTTGTTTGTTTATAGAAATCAAGTATGATCAAAAATGGAAAGCATTGTTTAACCGTTGGGGAAATTTATAGGTTCCCAAATTTCGAATTTAGTGTAGAATATTCTGTAGGCAGCTCTCTGATATTTCCTATGCTGCTATGAATTCCGCATGTAAATCACAAATTTCATCATAGATTCTTTGCTGTAGAGTCTGTCGGAAGATCGATTCCATGAAAGCATCAAGAGGGAGTTATTGTCATTAAATGTGTTAAACTGTTCATTTGGATTATGAAATATACAGATATCGAATTAATTTCCCATTTTTGTCTTACACTTTTCGCTCAAATGGTCAACAATAACACTTAGATTTCGAAAACCGATAGATAGATAGATAGACAGATATTTATGAGAAATGCAGTGCACAACAACAATAACTCTATTTGCATGGTTTAAGAATTATTGCTCTTTGCTGTTTATCTTATTCTTAAATTGTGTTCTATTTGAGGAGCATAACCCGTCTCCGACGTCCCTCGTTTTCTAACGGACCAGAAGGATAACTTCTTATGTAAGTTACACTGTGTTACTGACTGCACTCGTTAATGTTATGATCAGTAGAATCACATGGGCAATAGCGACCGTATTTGATTTTGAAAATGGAAGCTTGTTACCGCTATTTACTTCGAAATTCCAATCTGATCAAAACCATATCTTAATCTACACAACCGTTTCGTAAACTCCACTCTTCTGGTAGATCTAGACATATGGTTTTAATAAGATTGCTGAAGTACCAGATGGATTTGAAAAAAAGAAAGACTTTTATATGGGTTCCATTTGGCCTCTATTTGTTCCTTTCTGATTTTGTGATTGATCTAAAAAACAAAATGGATGACAGGCAACCATCTTGAATTTGACTGATAAAGATATTTATCGCTTATTATAAATTTTCTGGAATTTTCAAATTACTAAATTAACTAAAAACGAAAGTAGGAAAGAAGATAAATGAAGGGAAAATCTGCAACCTTTAAGAAACATATTTGGATCAAACAATTGAGGGCGATAAGGCCACTTTGGTACCTGTTGTCGTCAATGTAAATGTCATGATTTATTACCATAGTTACGACATTAGGATTTAGAAAAGTTCAAGAACCTCTCAATTTATGTTTATTCTCAGCAACTACAATGTACTAAGTTTGGACGTCAGGTTGTCAAACTCTTTAACCGCCTAAAACGTCGACTACACCCATCGAAAAGACAAGAGCGCTAAAAACATCTATATTTTTACTGATGCCCATTGGAGGTAATGGTGTCGCTTGCTCTTAAATGATGTGGTAATTTATTTATCTATATGTACTTTCGGAGTCAAAACGTAGAGTTTGTGCATTATAATGTTCAGCGTTGTAATTTGTAATACGTAGAATATTGTTGAAATTGTACAATATATCCATGGACATATTATCTAGATGTTTACACGGTGATAAGAGAATGATATTAAATAGAACCTTATATGATAAACGCAGTTATGAATGGACACTGTCGCATTACTTCACGGACCTTACTATATATGCTAATGAGTTAACAATCAATGTGTATATGGTCCTAATATTGACAATCGATGCTGATAAGGTACTGGAGGCGAAAATATATTTTTTTAAAACTTTGTTTAAAATTCTCAAGTTAATATCATTGAAATTTCATTTAATCATTCATAAATTTTATTTAAATGAATTGTAGTGGTCATGTGTCCGAGGATAAGTAAAATGCTTATATGACAGGTTTATTCTGTACCTATACTAGGCATTTCTAGAGATATACTTTGCTTAATTATGCAAGAAATGTTTCATGGCGTAGGATTCAAGAACATTTTACATGTGTCATGATAACCCTTTTAACTTTTTAGACTGATAGATGATTAAAATTATATTGTGATCGATATTTGACTAAAAACGTCCTGAACACCGTCGTCAGACATAAAAAGACAAACAATTCACTGAAATCAATTATTTTATTTGAGAAATAATGATTGATTCAATTAAGCCAGAATGAGCTACATTGTACTTTCCTCTACCACAGATTCGTCATATTCAACATAGTCGTCGTCGTCCTCTTCACTAGAAGAGTAGGATCTATCGTCTTGGGAATCACATATCGATGACAAGAGCGATGATGACGATGAATGGGAATCATTATCGGGGTCAGCTGGTCCTCCGAAAGCTGATGACGACGCGAAATAAGAGGAGTTCTCAAGCAGACCTGTTCTTTCGTTGTCTTTTCTGCCTTTGTCCGAACCTATGTATTTCAAAAGAGCACTGTTTTCTGCTTTTCTCTCGCTGTCTTCCAGACTGTGTGGCGTCACATCACAAAATGCAGCATTGTTAAGTCCGGAAGCGGAAGTGCCTGTTGATGCGGAATGATGAAGAGGATCTCGGTAGTTGTTTGCGGAAAGCTGAACAGCATCAGAAGCCGATCTAGGCACGCTGGGATCCGATGATACGGCTGTAAATGTAAACAATTTGAATAAAAGTATTTAGAATAAAAATGAACTGTTAATCTAAAATTTCTTAAATATGATTAGTAGATCTGGTCCAGTCTCTTTAACTCATACACAGTACAATGGTCGCTAATGGTTCGCTTCCTCAGAAACATGACTGCTGCATTACATGGCATCAGTGAAATTGTGAAAAATGGCTTTAAAAAAAAAGAAGAAAAAATGCATCGGGCGCATGGCAAGCGTTACAAAAAATAAAAATAAAACAAAAAACAACAACCAAAAATCATTTTAAAATGCTGAGCGGAGATAAACACCTAGAGTATTAGCGACGTATTTCCATCATTCACCCATTTGTGAAATTTCCTAGTTGACACTCCGTGACAGAAATAATATCCAGAAATGCAGAATGATATATGATGATGTCGAGATCTTTATAACCGACACGAAAGCCGTGTCTGTTTAATGTCACTACGACACAACATTGTTCAATACTTGTTCGGTCATAGAGTATAATTATATATATACCGTGACGTGATATAATAGCCAGCTCCAACATCGCAATGAAAACCACTTTATGGCGCACAGCTAATGTATTTTTGCCGATGTTGACGTTTACCAGTTATTCTCAATAGAGGCTGCTGTGAACTAGTGAATATACATTTGTCCAATCTAGGATGGGTTAACTTACATCTTACACGAACAATGGAATAAAGACATGCTTTAATCTTGATCGGTATTAGTAGCAAACCAGCATATTTGATGGGGAAATCCAAAATGTCCCCAGGGCCCGATTTTGTAACGTGCATCGGGCGCATGGCAAGCGTTACCCATCAAGTTCTATTAACACTGCTCGATGTATAGAAATTAAGGATTTTCACTGCGAATGTAGAATAGTGTTTGGGAATGTTTCCCTAATGAAGACAAGAATTTTTAACACAACACCTGATCTCTTCGTTGACTGGAATCTGCTTAAGTTTCATGGAGAAATGATACAAATTTTAATTGTTGTTAATCACATTTGCATATAACAAGTTCAGTAAAATATATTTTGGCTCATGTTGTAAATAACGCATACTCTTTGAAGCAGCTTATCTGGAAATTCCGATAATCTATACCCAGATCAATGTCGTTTATATTGATATATATAATTTAACCTCTAGAAAGTCATATATGTACATCACTGAACCAAAATGTTTAAAATATTAAAAGTTTGAAAAATACCACAACCGGTAAAACTGATTCTAAAAAAGGGATATTTGCAAAGAGTCCGAAACCAAAGGCCCTCTATAAACTTCGCACTAGACACTAACTCGAACTCATAACTGCGATTAGCCTGAGTTGACCATAGATTGAGCACCCATCGTTTATTACGCATATATACATGTATAAAATCTTCATGGTTCAGATTTCACAATATAACCTTCGCCATAAAAAATCCCTCGCATATCACACTCCAGTATCTAACTTATAAGTATTTAGTATGATTAAAAAGAATTTCAACTAATGTGCCGAACCATCAACCCAATCTGAAAACTTAAAGGAATCACAGGAGGTGCACCAATCCTCAAGGAAAGGTTGGGTTTCTAACAAGCTAAAGACAAATATACTATACATTAACATGTTTACACAACCTAGACCATGTAAAGCCTAAGAAATGACCGTAAATAACAAGATTAGATTAATCCTAGTAATATAAATTTTGCTAACTGCTCAGACTGGTGTCTACGGCTAGAGTGCCTGATACCTCGTCTGCCTGTAAGTCCTTTCCTGCTCTAGCACGTGCAGACCGCGCGTCACTCTTTTATTGGACAACCGTACCTAAACATCTTACTGGAATGCCCGAAGAACGTACCTATAGGCATTCTCAGAAACGAGGAAAGATATAGAATTCGCCTGCTTTAAAATTTTATGACCGTCTAATTTATTTAGAGAAGAACAGCCATTATATTAATTATACTATATCGTAAATCTAACTTGACAGTGCTGAAATTCCACAACTGTCATATCACATTTTATATCCTGATTTCTATCCTTTGAGTATTTGCTCAGCCCATAAAAAATCATTAGTCAAGTTCAAGGGAGAAAGGAAAGTTGAAAATAGAAATACTGATATTGTCATAATGTAGTTTTCTCACGACCTGTTGGAACCATACGTCACAAACTATTAAGCTTCGTTTGATGTTCAGGTGATGTCAGCCCAAATTGAATTATCTCTGCAGAGAGAAATATAAAGCGGGAGATACTGATAGTTTGCCAAATCTCAAATTTTACTTGTGATAAGTTTTTGAAATGTGATGTAAATGTCCAATGTATTCGTTGGTTTGTGTCTCATTGTGGGGTATAATGTCCACGCAATAACCAGCATCATATGCAGGTGGTTGCAAGAGGGACAACTATAGAAAACAAAGCACAGAAAAAAGATCCCGAGAGCTACAATTGGTGCTAACTGACTTTTTTAAAAAAAATGTTTCAATGGAAGAAAGATGACACCCATTCTACAGGAGATGGTGACCCCCCCAAACAAACAAACAAACAAACAAACAAACAAAACAAATCAACACAAGTGAATATCACCTTTTAATATTTTAGATTGCATGCAACGGACCCAAATAATTAATTAAACGGCATCACATAGCTGTTTCGTCCTTCCAGGACTTGCCAGTGATGATAAGGGCCTAAATATTGAAACCTAGTTGGCGATTTAGGAAAATTCAAAGTAATCCAAAGAAGCATCAAAATCTAGACGGGGAGGTGCAGTAGCCCCATAATTAAATGAATTTTGTATTTTTTTTTATATTACACAATTTTAGAACAGCGTCAAGTACATGTGTATATTCGGAACTGGGCGACTATTCGAATGAATTAAAATCGTGGCATGCAGGTTACAATTCACTTCTAGATTCTTCTTACGATCATGCAGTGGCATTCAGCAGTTTTCATGGACTCTCTGATGTTTCCTTAACAGAAGACATCGGCAAATTCACTTCCCAATTAGCACGGGGTACCCCACAATTAGTTCGACATAGAAGGGGGTATAACAAGCATATTCCTTCCCCATCGCCTTTACTGGACGTTAAATGTGTTATTCATCATAATCATCAATAGCAACAACTAAAGCGGAAGTAAAATTTTAAGCCAAACATATGGCCGATATCTTTCATTTGGTTTGATTTTACTCCATCCAAAACTAAAACAAAGGTTTCAAAGATTTACGGCTATTTCCCCGGAAAGTTTCAATAATATGTTTTCCGTGAGTCAAATGAGAGAGGAATGGTACGTCGGGCAGCAGTTTGGTACGCAATACATTATCACTGAGCACGTACGTACAAGAAGTAGCTGTGTACGTGATGTGAACTTTTCATTTAGCCAAGGCAAGTAAATACAATAAGGTTTATTGTGAGTATTGCATTATTCCTTTAGATATGTTTAACTGTTGATTAAATGCATTCAGTCCTTATGTTGCACAGGAGATTTCCATTAATGGTCTACATTTTTAAAGGAATTTATGATTAACCATTAATTGGGGTAGCAGCACACATATGTGACAATATTTCACCTATTACCATTCTTTATCATCTTTAAAGAATAGCTATAACTGATATATTATTGTCTAAATAAAACTTTAAAAACTTCAATCCAACCTTGGTCCCTAGAAATATCTTTACCGTACTTGGAGAGGTTCTCATGCGTTTTTATAATTATTGTTTTTTCGTATCATAACTACCGCGCAAAAAAACCTTTTGGGATCTCAAAAAAATTTTCTGACAAAACACGTCATTGGCAGTTTATCGACAGAGATAGTCTAATGTGATTATAACACGATTTGCCCCTGTCGTCTTTCTGACAAGGCCACTAGTTTGTTATGAGGTGCTAATGGTGAAAATTAACTATACATGCATCAAATAATACAAACCATTAACACTTGTAATCGCAATTACAGGAAAGCAGTCCTCTGACCTCAGGGGAATAGCATCACCAACAACAGACACAGGCTTTCTGGTGTATACTGATATCACAAACTACAGTCATATCATCATGTTCTTCTATGCGTGTAAAACTACCTCAGCACGTGAATTTGAATTTAAATGGAATAGGAGATTATCGAACTGGTAATTCACGGTGTTTAAAGGCATTGCTCATTAATTTTCAATGCAATCTGACAATGGTGGAAATTTACTGCAAGGAAAGGAAATGGTTTTACGATAAATATTATTCTTAATGTGAACGTATCAAATTAGTGTTAAAGATTTCATGAAGAGTTGACATGCTTTACGGGGATTAATATTTTTCTCCCCAAATCATACTAATACCATGTTGAGAGTTTTCTTCAGTTTATAATTAAAGGTGCTACTATAACTCCATCATCTGTATCAATATCAGTACTATACAAGGATCGTAACACTCACTGATCATAGACTCTGAGGTACGTTTTAAAGTAAGGGTGGATATTTACCATCAAATCCTACTAGTTTTTCAAACACTTATGATAATGGTGCACTCGTGAATGTTTGCTTCTGGAGAGAAATTGTCTATCTAATTATCAATGACATTTTAATAATTGTAGTTTCGAGCAAATTGATTTTTAAAGAGTTAACACTTGTGTTGCTCCGTTACGTTCATGATGTTCTTTACATGGTTATATGTAAGCTGTCAAACACAATTACTATCATCCCTTTTCTCGGAGTTTCCGTTTTTGAGTTTAGTGCTCACTCAGTCGATCAGATGACTTGCTTCGAAAACATAGTAGGTTGGAATGAAATGAATGATGATAAAATTTCATATTCCTTCCAACTTGTCGAATGTTTGTGTGATGTCCAATTCCCATGATTATCATGAAAATGTTTGATAGGTCCATCACTCAATAACAGCGAATGATATTGTTTTCTAGATTGGATTGGAATGGAATGGAAAGTAGATATAATTTTTCAAAGGAATATCCCTGTTTCTACGTGTAGGTTTCACCAATTTAGACCCTTTGTGTCAATGACGCGACCTAGAAACCATCAAAGGATTTAATTTTATACATTATTTTGATGTATCGTATCGTATTCTAAATCTAAATCGGAAAAATGTTTTCACTTGTGTGTCGCTTGAAGAATTCTTTAATCCGCGAGTCTATTGTATGTATTGTGCACCGGAGCATTCAATCATACAGTAAGTACTAGCCTCATCTTTCTATACAGTAATTCTGTGATCAAACTCCATTGCCCTAGCGGGACGAGCCAATTTCGAGAATCTTATAATTGACACTGAACCGTTCAGTGTCATTTATCTTGTTTTACTGGGAGTGGTTTGAATAGACAGATAAATTACTACTGTTTTAATGTATCATATTATCCAATGTTTATCCTGCCCTCATTCAACAACATTAAATTGTCAAATTTCAGGTAGTCGGACAGTCATCTGGCAGTGAAATCAGACAGTGTGACAGGCTGTAATACTTCTTTGTCCAGGTTGTGATGACACTATAATAACACATATGCATTGTCGAATCACCCAGGGTACTAGTCTTTATGTGCACTTAGCTGTTGGCCATGTGAAATTAAATATACAGGAAAGCGTATGGTAAGAAGTACAATATATATATATATATATTGTGATATTCTTGCAGATATTATTTTGTATAACGTGATGGTCCGTTTATGGTGCTTTAGGATACTAACATTGACTGTTCCATCAACAAGCAAAATTTTCGTTATACTTATGGTTCCTATATGCTAAGAAACGTTTATACTTGAATAAAGTCCAAAAGAATATACAATATGGCGTATGAAATAATGCAGCTGTCGACATAACCTTCAGTTGCGGTTCTGGATCTGGCACTCTGTTAAGAATACACTGACATTTGAGCTCTGCTTTTTGCAAATGTTTAATATCCAATAATTCTATCATCATGGAAAAAAACCACACAAACAAAAATCTCCCAAAAAACCAAACAAAGCAAACCTGTCAAAATACTCATAATCCAAACCAATTTTCAATAAAACCAGAGAAAAATATGAACAAAAGAAAGATTTACACGGATATTCCTGAAAAAAAGGACAAGGAGAATAAAACCAGGTGCCAGGTGTTCCGGAAGAGTAAGCGTCTTCTGCTTCAATGTCAAGTTCACAAAATGACAAGGCATACAACAAGCAAACCAACTTCTTTAGCCTTTTATGAAACATTGACGCACTAACAATGCCTTTGGCATTATAACTTTAAATTGTCAATTCAAATGAGGCATATATTACCTTGTATTTGTTGAAATTCTCCTTTTTTGCATCTGCAGCTGAATTTGATAGATTTGAGTATTTTCTTGTAACCGTGTCGGTAGGATTTATCGAACAGACCGAAGATAATTGGGTTGAGGAGTCCAGACAATGATGTACTGAGTAGAGCGTACAGGACGGATATGTCGCTTATCTTTAGCCCAACTTTCCGAAGGGTGATCAGAACCTGCAATTGATACGAAACTAACATTAACAAAAGAGAAGAGTAATTTATTTTAACATTTAGAACGTGCAATGCAGGTGATCAAATGTCACTAAGATTCGGACCAATTTGTCAGGGTTTATTTTGTGAGCGAGACCCGCATCGATAGTGTGAAAAAGGACACTAGCCACATATCTAATTCTACAAACTAATTAACCAAAGAAATAGGTTCGACATATTGAAGGAAGCGTTTAAAACACATGATCTGAAGGACCTTAAGAAAAAGGGCAAAACGAAACTTTATCTTTAGCTCCATAAAAATAATGAAGAAAATACCGACATGCTAATTATATCTTAATTCGAAGACAAATTCGAATAACTATGACAAAAAAAAAGGATTATGAAAGATTTACAAGAAGACTCCTGAAGCCGTAAAAGAAGAAGAAGGCCAAGTGTTCCGGAAGGGTAACTGCCTTCTGCTTCATCGACGGCAACCGTCAAGTAAGGTAAACAGCAACGGAATTACCAGGCATACGTATTGATCATCATAGACGTCGAACATCATTTCATGAAAAATTCGAATTTATATCTTTTTTTTCATTATGACAACTGGTAACATTCCTTTTAATTTTCAAATAGTCAAATAAGATATACAATAGTATACATGTGATAATTCAAGTTTGTCCATCATTTGAATGGCGTCAGTTTTGACTCTATACGAGATCTTAAACCAATAACTACTGTAGAAATCAGTAAGTAATTCAGAGATTTTTTTAGTTGTATGTACTGTATCAAATTCTAAATCTATATTGAAAGGTGTCGTGCATTTGTGCTTTTTTACGATTTCGAGATTACAGGTGGTAGACACTCTGTCAGACGTCTGTCTCCAACGTTTCCCTTAACTCTGCATATCACGTTTTAGTTCACTGGAAAATTGACATTGTTCAGATTATACACAAGTACATGACGTTCTTTCGAAATAATCCAAATAAAAATATTTAATTTTTGGGTTAGTGCACCTAACAATGTGGTATTTGACATTTGTTTCGGTGAACTTGCATTCCCCTATGTCGCCTGTTTACTTATATGTCTGTTGGTAATTACTTATTTGATTATTTTATTTGATCAGACGCGTTTTCATTACAGTTCAATAACAGTTACTTTTATTCGGTGTGTCGGGAACAGAAAAAGACAAATGATAAAATCCAACGATTCATATGAGTCAGCTGGCGTGCAATGTTATGTAACCAAATACTTTAAAAAGCCATCTTAACTTTCTTAATCTGAGGAATGTGTTAAATCTCTTACTGTCCTCATACACATAAATGATGAAGAACAGGGGTACTTTCGAGAAAAAGCAGAACAATTGGTATTTAATTATGCTCTTTGATTAATGTCCAAATTTCATTGTGTAAACCGTTTTCAGGATCATGTGATCCGGCATAGGGTCAATGTAATGTGTCCATAGCAGCATGGTTATATTGTGTTCATTGGAACGATATCGACTATGTAATGACTAATGACTAACGACTATATACACGAAACAATATGATGTAGTATGCATCGAAACGTGCCTGTTCAGCATCAAAATTTCTGTTTCAGAATAGGTAACCATTTACGTACATATTTTGGCAGTAATATTAATTTTTCGCTTTCCACTCAGAAAATAATGTACTTATTCTCATTTCTAAATGCTACTTATAGAAGTCATTGTGGATGCGCTAATTCGTATCTGTCAAAAATTGATAATGCGCTGAAATTTGCTTGCGCAAAATAAAGTACTTTTACATTATTGTAATGTAAATCGTATTGAGCCATACGCAATCTAGCAACATATTAAGGGGAATGTGAAAGTGGCATTGGGGCATCTTATCAGGGAAGTTATGGCCAATATAAAGGACATAGTTTTGCAGGCAGATATATCAAATTAATGTGATGCTCGCAAGATGTTGTTTGCCAGCAACAGTCATGTATAACGACATAAATGTCATAACAAGAGAGTTCAGTGCTTTAATTATCCTTAATTAAAACCGTCATCACAATGGTGTGACATCTTTATATATAATTAGCTTTCCTTCGACAAAATATCTCATTGCTTTAAATTAGAAATTTTGAAGATTCATTATTTCGCTGAAAGACATTTCGTGTTACGACGAGGCAATGCAAGACTTGATAACATATCACTGCAATTGCCAGCGGAACGTGTGCGGAATGGTATCATTCCAAGAGACCTGTAGACTGACAAAGGTATTTTAAATAACATTAGAACACAAAACTAATTAGCGTACGGTGTTCTGAATCACAGCATGAAGCAGATACGTGTCAAAATAAAGAATATTACTCAAGAAAACATCCTCTTAGCTCTAATTGGTTATCCCTATGTATTCATCGTCACATTTCTAGAGATTTAATTATATAAATAATCTGATTCCAAAACAAGAATTTATGCTCATTAATACATAATTCTTATTTTCCGGACAGAAAGCGGAAACGTTTTTTTGCACGTATTAGGATGGCTTTATTTGTATACAAAGTATTCCTCGTAAAGATAAAACCCACTTGTACATGAATATTGCACATATTCGAACAAAAATTCTGCATTTTAAATAACAGATTATTCAACAAAAATATGCTCGTTTAGATTCTGAATGTCCCTTCAACATTCGAGGCAAATAAGGACAAATCTCTTAGATTTATGGGACAAAAGCAGTAAAAACGTTACCATCCAATAAAAAAGGAAAATGGAAGAAGATACGTTAAAAAATCATGTTTTGCAGGTTGTCCAGTTTAACAGATAACCGGTTTCCTGAAACTACAGTGTTTTCATATCGCTGTTGATCCGATGGCGTTTTCACATCACAGCTTCTGAGAATGATGTCGACAGCTAATAAAAACTTGCAAGGTTTAATTTGATAGTCTAAGATCCTGTCAACAGCTATACTCATTTAAGAGCAGCCTCGACACGTATTCAAGGTAAGTGTTTTATGCTGTGCATGTGTTTGTGGGAGTCTACAGTAAGTTCGAGTCAGTCGTGAAAGTCCAATATTGACGCCAACTTGATAGAGCTGTATTACAAACTCACAACATATTTAACTTTTACTGTGCAATATAAAATGTATATGTTCATCATAATACCTAGTGATTTCGTTGTTATAAGTCAAGGTTTCATTTTAACACTTGACTTTACATACTCGAATTGAACTAGGATTTACATATTTGTTGTCGTCTATGAAGGGAATGACGCTTACCCTTTCGGAACATCTGTTGTTATTCATCTCGTCCTTTCGTCTAGTTCTTTCTTTTTTTTATCATACGCACGTTTCGACGATTCTAACAGAAATATTCCTGGTTCAGTGCCATCGGATGATATCTCTTTTTTTTTCTAGTTTTTAGATTAGTTGGTGTCTATCTTTACCTCTTTACATTGGCGAAACCACACTAAATCCTGTAGGAAACCATCAGGACAGATTAAAGATCGTCTGTAATGTGATATTGGTCAGCGAGCAAATGAAACCTAACGTGTTTAATAAGATTGTCTGATATCAACTATAGGGCTCCAGCTCACATAGCAGTTCATTGTATCCTTGTACTTTAGCTTGCTTAAATGTTAGAGAAATGCAGCAAAACCGTGAGGTTCTACAATGTTAAACTCGGAAAGGTGACGTGTACTTTTGGGTAATAGGTAATATACTTCCGCCGGGTATAGATGGATTTATACACAGAACGAAATTGCCGTTTTTGTCTAGCTTACAGTACATGTACATATTTATAGGGACATGAAAATAATACACCAACGACATTTTCGACATCGTTGTAATTATAAAGCAGCTCAAATGACATTCACAGAAAATGCTACGGTATCTTAACACATAGAAAGTATAGCCTGTTTTGCCACTGAAACTTTTGTAAAAAAAACTTCTTTTCAAACCGTATAGGTCAGATACCTATTTCCCAATAGTTTGTTTCGCGGAATATAGCGTTCATACAAATAACGTTACAGAACGATAAAAACATAGCATTTAGCAGTATACCTCCGATGTTTGAAAAGAAAAGAATTATATATATTTCAGTTTCTTAATCCAATCTGGTTGCAACATGTAATTGCCTGTATTCTTAATTTGCTACAAGCCGATGACAATATTGTAAATTATGTTGCATTGGTTCAAGAGTAACACGCAATGTCTTTCGGCGTGAATGGAGGGGGAATCTGACATTAATAATTAAAAGTGTTTATAAACAGCGTTGCCTTCAGGAATACTCCTTGCTATATTGATCTTACAAATGACAGATAAAACAGCAGGGAATTAGTATGGGACTGGAGAAAAATGTCTGGTGCGCAGTATAAGAGGAATACATGTACTAAACATTGAATGTAGCGATGATTGTTTTTTCGATGTTTAAGATGAAACTGGCCTTGGGCGTCGTAGGCTGAAACTTAATTTAATGAACAGGAACGCCCCAGTCGAGTTTGTAAGAAACATATGTCATGACGCTGCCTTTATTCTCCATCCAGGGGTTTAACAGTGACAGACGTAAAAAAAAACAAAAAACCCCAAGTGTAAAACATCAATATGTCCTCATCTTGCATGTTTATCAACGTAACGTATGGAACATTCTATCCTGAGTCTGCCGTGCACCGTCAATAAACTTTGAAATGCTACAACTTCTAAACCCCTTAGCGGATTTCAGCCAAATTTGGTTTAAAAGATCTCTGGGTAAGGACAATATCGTCTCTATAAATAAGATTGTTTCGACTCGTGAATGTGGCAACATACTACTGCAAAAACTTTGCTTTAAAATGCTTCGCGCCTCAACACCTTTATGGATTTCAACCACATTTGACCTGACACATCACAGGGAAACCGTTTCTGAAGTAAAGGAGGTCAGTTATACATCGGGGAGAGGGTCGAGGGGGGCCCCAATAAGGGAAATCGAGAGCGGCTACATGGATTCTAAACATGTTTGGTAAATGAGAAGTGAAACATGGGATCAGAGTTGCTGGCAAAAATAGGGTTGAGACAATT